GTCCCGCTATAGTGACACCCAGTTCCCATTTGACAGCAGTCTATATATATATAAACATAATTTCAGTATTACTGAGACTGAAAATAAATTTTTATTTTTAGCTATAACTTTTAAACTTAAAAACCAAACATAATTTATGGCATACCATTAGATAGTATATACAGTGAGGTTTTAAATGGTATGCCACATGTCTATGTTTATTTTTTAAAATTAATAAAAAACAACAACAACAACAACCAAATGAAGCCATTTCTTGCCCGCCGGAAGACACTCGAGTGGCTCTGGGACCAAGGCCACCATGACCCGAAATACCTCATGGAAGCCTCGGGTGCTTCCCGGGCTACAGTATTTCGGGTCATTAAGAGGTTGAAGACGGGAGCGGGAGTCCAACAGAAGCCTGGAGCCGGTAGACCTCCAATTTTATCCCCAAATGACCGACGACGGCTTACTCAACTGGCCCTCAATAACCCGATGGAAAGTTCATCTGGACTTGCGGGTGAGTTGGCCAGAAGAGGAAGCCCCTCGGTCTCTCGGGTAACAATTTGGAGGTCATTAAAGCGTTCCGGGCTACTTAAATGGCTCCCGAAACCCGTAACTAAATTGACACCACTCCATAAGCAAAAACGCTTAGAGTGGTGTCAAACCAACCTCGGCCGGGACTGGTCAAATGTCCTATTAACGGACGAAAGCTACTTTCAGCTCTACCGCCATAAAGTAAGGATGTGGGCGCGGCGAAGACCCGAAAAACAAGTCCCGAAACACGGCCCAGCAATTATGGTGTGGGGAGGCATCAGTGCTCGTGGCACGACATCACTTGGAATGGCCAGAGGGACAATAAATGCCGAAAGATATCAAGACATATTAGATGAAAACCTGGCCTCAATTGATGTCTTTTATCCCGAAGGCTTTGTCTTTGAACAAGTCAATGCACCTGCACACACGGCCAGGTCCACTAAGGAATACTTTGTGAGACTCGGCCACGAGGTGCTGGACTGGCCACCCAACTCTCCCGATCTAAATCCCATAGAGAACCTATGGCGATTAATGAAGGATGCCTTGGAGAAGCAAACCCAACGCACCACAGAGAACTGGATGGACAAAATCCAAGACATTTGGGATACTGAAGCACCCAAACACTTAGAGTCATTAGTCGGGAGCATGAATTCCCGACTTCAAAAGTGTATAGCGGCTAATGGCGACCGAATTAAATATTGATTTTTATTTTATTTATTTATTTATTTATTATTATTTATATATTTATTAATTAAATATTAAATAAATTATATTATACCTACAGACAGACAGACAGACAGACAGACAGACAGACAGACAGACAGACAGACAGACAGACAGACAGACAGACAGACAGACAGACAGACAGACAGACAGACAGACAGACAGACAGACAGACAGACAGACAGACAGACAGACAGACAGACAGACAGACAGACAGACAGACAGACAGACAGACAGACAGACAGACAGACAGACAGACAGACAGACAGACAGACAGACAGACAGACAGACAGACAGACAGACAGACAGACAGACAGACAGACAGACAGACAGACAGACAGACAGACAGACAGACAGACAGACAGACAGACAGACAGACAGACAGACAGACAGACAGACAGACAGACAGACAGACAGACAGACAGACAGACAGACAGACAGACAGACAGACAGACAGACAGACAGACAGACAGACAGACAGACAGACAGACAGACAGACAGACAGACAGACAGACAGACAGACAGACAGACAGACAGACAGACAGACAGACAGACAGACAGACAGACAGACAGACAGACAGACAGACAGACAGACAGACAGACAGACAGACAGACAGACAGACAGACAGACAGACAGACAGACAGACAGACAGACAGACAGACAGACAGACAGACAGACAGACAGACAGACAGACAGACAGACAGACAGACAGACAGACAGACAGACAGACAGACAGACAGACAGACAGACAGACAGACAGACAGACAGACAGACAGACAGACAGACAGACAGACAGACAGACAGACAGACAGACAGACAGACAGACAGACAGACAGACAGACAGACAGACAGACAGACAGACAGACAGACAGACAGACAGACAGACAGACAGACAGACAGACAGACAGACAGACAGAGAAAGAGGGAGAATGTAAAATATTATGTATATATAAAAATGTTATTCAATTGTATAAATGGTTTAATTAAATAAAAAAAAACATCAGAATTTAAAGTGCACGTCACATATTAAGTATGGTACACTTTTAGGAGACCCTATCCCCTTTTTAAATATATTATTATCAGGGTTTTTAAAAAATAAATGCCTGCCCTGGCAATGCCAAAATAGATGCCATAAATGCCTGGCATTTTGGTCATCTATTTTATTTGCCTGCCACATTAAATTGCTAAAAAGCAACTGTATTTATAAAAAAAGTGTAATTTACATTTTTTAGCATGTTAATTAAATTTACAATTAATTTACTGTAGTTCCAATGATATTAACTTTTAATTAAAGACAACTAGCAAATATATTATAAAAACAATATTTTAAAAAATTAATTAATAATACAAAATTAAAATAATAGGTCTATAACCACCGGAAAATAGATGCCCAGGGCATGGCAGATGCAGGGCAGGCATTTGGCAAAATTGGCATCTATTGTTTATGCCTGACATTTTTAAAACCCTGATTATTATCAATAGCATCGTAATGTTAAAATTAAATAAAAAGATTATATAAATCAAGTATAAGTACTTACATAACTATAAGTATAATAATAATAATAATAACAATAATAATCATCACTATAGATGTTGTTAATACAGTTTATGGAAAGGCCGACCAAAACAATGCCGGCTATAAATGTAATACTTGAAAAAAACATGACTGTCCTCTTGCGGTACCGAAAACCCGATGTTTTCATTGCATTAGTATTAACATCACTATTATTATTATTATTATTGACAATAACGGGTTGATTGGCATTAATAAAATTATTATTATTATTCATATTATTCATATTATATTAGTAGTGATAATTCAATTTTTAATTTAAGATTAAGAAAGTATTTAATTATAAATTTAATTAAATTTCATAAATATATGCTAATAATAATAATAATTTTTTTTTGCTAAATTCTAAAGTTATTATATAGCTATAAAAATAAATGCAATAATTAATAATACTATTGAAACTAAAATTAAATTATAAATGTTTAGAATAACTTTATTTTATAACATAATTATTCAATGAAATTAAATAATAAAAACTATTATTATTATTATTATTTTTGCTAATTTTTTTTTTAAATATATAATAAAACATTTAACTAAACATATAAATATTTTATTGTATATCCTCTATATACCTGTACTTGTGTTAACAAAAAAAATGTTAATAATATAATATATTATATATAATAAAACTTTTAAATAAGATAATTAATTTAACTATTTTTATTATTAACAATATTATAATTTTATACAAATATATTACAGTTAGTCATAAAAAGTTTTTTTTTATATAAATTGATAAATTATAATACAGTTTATAATATAAATAATAATTTGAAATATAAATAATTTGAAAACTTTTTATTAAATCTATTTAACAATAAAATCATAATTATAAAAATAATAATCAAGTATCAAAAAATTAAGTTGTTAATGTCTATTTTTTATTATTATTAAAATAAATAATAATTTATCAAAAAATAATATTAATATATATATTTAATTTATTGGTTTATAAAACAATTCAAAATAAATATTTAGAAAATTGTGAAATAGTTTTTTAATATTAAAAACTATTTTTTGAATAGTTTTATTATTTTTTGTTAATGTTATATACAATATATACAATTACATTATTATATTAAAAATATCTAACTTTCCTTTTTTTTGATTGAAGGTAACACTAATTTACTACTGTTACCTTAATAATAATAGTGTACCTAATAATAGCCTAATAGCCGGGTGCTATATGACTATCAGGCCCTGTAAATGGCCGGATTCAGTCTCAGCCGACGCAACTCGTAGGCATAGGCCATAGCCAGAAAACTGCACACAAAGTACCAGACCGTCAACAGTAAGTTGGCCCCGAAATCGGACACAATTACTGGACCTATACTCAGGCCCGAAAACATGAGCATTAGTGTACCGTACGATCCAACTGTCGGTTCGTGTTCTGTGTAGTAGCCGTACATACCGGCAAACTGTAGTACCAGACCAGGTATGTTGACACCCAGTTCCCATTTGGTGGCTATCTATATACAGAATATATATGATAAATAGATAGATAAAGAGAGAGAAAGAGAGAGAGAGAGAGAGAGAGAGAGAGAGAGAAGAGAGAGAGAGAGAGAGAGAGAGAGAGAGAGTAAGAGAGAGAAAAAGAGAAAGAGAGAGAGAGAGAGAGATAAAGAAAGAGAGAGAGAGAAAGAGAAAGAGAAAGAGAAAGAGAGAGAGAGAGAAAGTGAGAGAGAGAGAGAAAGAGAGAGAAAGAGAGAGAAAGAGAGAGAAAGAGAGAGAAAGAGAGAGAAAGAGATAGAAAGAGAGAGAAAGAGATAGATAATGTAAAATATTATATATATATTTGGACAGTTGTGTGTGTATAGTATATGGGGCCATACATCTCTATTATAACTAAAATTGCTTTGATTAGTATAGATAGATCGATAGGATGATCACAATTATGCCAATTATAATTGTTAAACAAGCAAAACACATGTATATCCACTTGAGGTATCGGATGTAAGATTTTTTCATCACATTATTATTATTATTATAATTATTCATATTATTATTAGTAGTAGTAGTAGTAATAGTAGTTGTACTGATAATTAATTTAAATATAACTATTGCAAACTAGTATTTAATTAAAAAAAATTAAATTAGCATTAAAAAATACATATTACTTTTATTATTATTATTATTTTATGTTATACTTGTAAAATTAACACTACTGTAGTTATTATAATAATATATAGTTAAATATTATATATATATTTATTTAATGATGAATACAATTAGAAATACTATGGAAACTACTATATTATAAAATGTATAAAATATACTGTATATATATATAATGATACTATAATATATAGATAAAAAATTATTTTATTAATATTATTATTATTTTCTAAGTTTATATAATTAAAAACTTTGAATAATAATAATAAAAAAATATTATAACTAAACAATTGCTGATATACTATATATGCTGTATATGCTATACGCTTGTGTTACTAAAAAAAATAATTATATAATAAAATTTTTTAAATTGTTACCACCATCATTTTGTTTGTTTGTTTGTAAATGATTAATGTGCTTAAATTAAAAAGTAATCGATAAATTGTATACATTTATATACATACTTTACATTGTATTATAATTTTTTGTTTTTTAAAAAAAAAACTATTTACAACTGTAATATACTCCTAAGCCTAGCCTAATGTATAGTAAATATTTATAACGTATATATATATATATATACAGTATATATACTGTAATAACTGTATTTTATGACATAATTATAATATGACATTAAAAAATAGTATAATAAAAACTAATTTTATATAATTTAAAAACTTATTTAAAAAATAATAAAATATAAACTTTATATATACTATATATATCTAATAAACAATTGTATATTATATGCTATAAATACATATTAATAAAAAAAAATAATAAAATAATATAAAACTTTTACATAATATACAAATTAATTTACTATTATTTTTATATATATATCAATATATATTACAATCATAAACAGTTTTTTTTTAAAAAAATAAAAATTATAATACAGTGTATATTAATTTTAAAATTAATATACAAATAATAATTGATATAATAATAATAGTTAGTATTGTTGTTGTGGTTGAGGATGTAGTTTGTATTGTTGTCTATCAGTAGTAGTAGTCACCGATTGTTGATAACTGGGCGGATGCTCGACATACTGCCAATAGCCATTACCACTGGCACCGGGATTTAACGGGTAAACTTGACCGCTACCACCACCATCACCACCACCAACAGCAGGACCACCAGTGGCTCCGGTTGGCTGATAGACTGTCGACGGCTGTATCATCGATGCCGGACTAATCATTTGGATGACACCCCCGTGATTGCTGCCGCCACCGCCAAACTGTGTAGCCGGCGGCTGTCCACCGCTAACTGATATACCGGCACCACCGCTAGCACCGGTGGTTTGCCATAACTGGGCAATGGCTGCATTCAGACGCAGCCGACGCAACTCGTAGGCAAACGTCAGGGCCAGACAACTGCACATAGAGTACAGGCCAGTCAGCAACCAGTTGGCTATAAAATCGGACAACAGTCCAGTACCGATACTCAGGCCGGCAAACAGTCCCATCAGTAGGCTGTACCACCAGATGGCCGACTGGTTTTCGCGTCGGGCGCCAACTAAACCGACAAACTGTACGGCCAGTGCCGGTATGTTGACACCCAGTTCCCATTGTGTGGCAATCTATTGGGAGATGGGGGGGGAAGGGGTGGGTGGTAAAGTACATACATATAATTAGTAAACATGTATAAATATATATTGTTTTTTTTTGAGGGGACAGTTATGTAGTATACTATATATACCGTACATCTCTATCATAATGCATATAATTAATATAATTCATGGCTAGACTAATCACAATTAGGCCGGCTATCAATGTTATACATGAAAAACACATGACTGTCCTCTTACGGTATCGGATACCGGAGCTATTAGTTAGCACTGTATTAACATCAATAGGTTGTTGTTGTTGTTGATTGATATTAAAATTATTATTATTATAACTATTATTATTATTATACATATTATTAGTATCACTATTATTAGTATTCATAATTAATTAATTAATTTTTTCTAAAAAAAAAATTTAATAAAAATAAATACTAATTATAAATAACTATTTAATTACACAAAAAATAGTATTAATAATAATTTATATAATTAAATAGTAAATTAAATTAATAAATTAATTATTAAAATAATTTAAATAATATTTTATTAGTTGTTTTTTTGTTGTTGTTAAATAATTAACTAATAAAAAAAATGGACGAGGTGGAAAATAAAACACACAATGTTTGCACTAGCTAGATGCAATTTTTTTAAAAAAATTTTATTAAAGTGTATAATTTAATAGATAATAGTATTTTTTTAGGCATTGCCTTAACTGCGGTGAGACATGGGAAGCTTGCGGTAAGTAATTATCTCGAGAACCGTAGGTCAGATCTTGCGGTCAAACATATAAAAGTTGTAGACAATAAAAAGTTAGGAACTATGGTCCACATAAAAAAATTTTAGGTCCACCAGGGGGCCCACAAAAAAATAAAACATGAAAATTTAGTATTAAAAAAGTGGCGGTCAAGGTGTACATTGAGAACCGTTGGTCAGATCTTGCGGTCAAACATATAAAAGTTGTAGACAATAAAAAGTTAGGAACTATGGTCCACATAAAAAAATTTTAGGTCCACCAGGGGGCCCACAAAAAAATAAAAACATGTAAATTTTGTATTAAAAAAGCTGCGGTCAATGATTATCTGTAAAACCGTTGGTCAGATCTTGCGGTCAAACATATAAAAGTTGTAGACAATAAAAAGATAGGAACTATGGTCCTCATAAAAAAATATTAGGTCCACATGGGGGCCCACAAAAAAATAAAAACATGTAAATTTTGTATTAAAAAAGTGGCGGTCAAGATGTACATTGAGAACCGTTGGTCAGATCTTGCGGTCAAACATATAAAAGTTGTAGACAATAAAAAGTTAGGAACTATGGTCCACATAAAAAATTTTTAGGTCCACCAGGGGGCCCACAAAAAAATAAAAACATGAAAATTTTGTATTAAAAAAGCTGCGGTCAGAGTGTATCTTTAGAACCGTTTGTCAGATCTTGCGGTCAAACATATAAAAGTTGTAGACAATAAAAAGTTAGGAACTATGATCTTCATAAAAAAATATTAGGTCCACATGGGGGCCCATAAAAAAATAAAAACATGTAAATTTTGTATTAAAAAAGCTGCGGTCAGAGTGTATCTTTAGAACCGTTGGTCAGATCTTGCGGTCAAACATATAAAAGTTGTAGACAATAAAAAGTTAGGAACTATGGTCCTCATAAAAAAATTTTAGGTCCACCAGGGGGCCCACAAAAAAATAAAATCTTACTTTTTTATTTAAAAGTGGCGGTCAGTGTGTAACTGGAAAACCAGTGGTCAGATCTTGCGGTCAAACATATAAAAGTTATAGAGAATGAAAAGTTAGAAACAATGGTCCACCTGAAAAAAATCTAGGTCCACCAGGGGGCCCACAAAAAAAATAAAACCTCTACTTATTATTAAAAAAAGTGGCGGTCAGTGTTTGTTTGGAAAACCAGTGGTCAGATTTTGCGGTCAAGCATATAAAAGATGTAGACAATAAAAAGATAGGAACTATGGTATACATTAAAAAAATCTAGGTCCACAAGGGGGCGCAATAAAAAAATAAAACATGAAAATTTTGTATTAAAAAAGTTTCGGTCAATGATCATTTGAATAACCAGTGGTCAGATCTTGCGGTCAAACATATAAAAGTTATAGACAATAAAATTTTAGTAACTACGATCCACTTGAAAAAATCTTAGGTCCACCAGGGGGCCCACAAAAAAAACAACTGGTGGACCTAGATTTTTTTCAATAAAAAGTAAGGTTTTATTTTATTGTGGGCTCCCTGGTGGACCTAGATTTTTTTCAGGTGGACCATTGTTCCTATCTTTTAATTCTCTATAACTTTTATATGTTTGACCGCAAGATCTGACTACTAGTTTTCCAGATAAACACTGACCGCCACTTTTTTTTAATAAAAAGTAGAGGTTTTATTTTTTTTTGTGGGCCCCCTGGTGGACCTAGATTTTTTTCAGGAGGACCGTAGTTCCTAACTTTTTATTCTCAACAACTTTTATATGTTTGACCGTAAGATCTGACCAACGATTCTAAAGATACATCGTGACCGCCACTTTTTTAATACAAAATTTACAAGTTTTTATTTTTTTGTGGTCCCCCTGGTGGACCTAGATTTTTTTCAGGAGGACCATTGTTTCTATCTTTTTATTGTCTACAACTTTTATATGTTTGACCGCAAGATCTGACCAACGGTTTTCCAGATAATCATTGACCGCAGTTTTTTTAATACAAAATTTACATGTTTTTATTTTTTTGTGGGCCCCCTGGTTGACCTAGATTTTTTTCAGGTGGACCATTGTTTCTATCTTTTCATTCTCTATAACTTTTATATGTTTGACCGCAAGATCTGACCACTGGTTTTCCAGTTACACACTGACCGCCACTTTTAAATAAAAAAAGTAAGATTTTATTTTTTTGTGGGCCCCCTGGTGGACCTAAAATTTTTTTATGTGGACCATAGTTTTTATCTTTTTATTGTCTACAACTTTTATATGTTTGACCGCAAGATCTGACCAACGGTTTTCCAGATAATCATTGACCGCATTTTTTTAATACAAAATTTACATGTTTTTATTTTTTTGTGGGCCCCCTGGTGGACCTAGATTTTTTTCAGGTGGACCATTGTTTCTATCTTTTCATTCTCTATAACTTTTATATGTTTGACCGCAAGATCTGACCACTGGTTTTCCAGTTACACACTGACCGCAGCTTTTTTAATACAAAATTTTCATGTTTTATTTTTTTGTGCGCCCCCTGGTGGACCTAAAATTTTTTTATGTGGACCATAGTTCCTAACTTTTTATTGTCTACAACTTTTATATGTTTGACCGCAAGATCTGACCTACGGTTCTCGAGATATTTACTGACCGCAAGCTTCCCATGTCTCACCGCAGTTAAGGCAATGCCATTTTTTTATTTTATTTTTTTTTGTACACAAATTAAATATATTTTAGTTAAGCCAAGTTAATGGGGAATATCCTTGAAACTTACAAACTTAACAAAAAATAATATTTTTAACAATATTTTTTCACCTAGTTCACATTTCAATTTTGTTGTATGTGTGTTTACATAAATTAGTGATAAATAAAAATTTACAACAAAACTTGATTTTTATTAATTATATATATATATATATAAATAAATAATTAATAAATATTTTTTTTAAAATAAAGGTTTTAATTTTTGTGATGTTGGAAACACTACTGTATTAATAGTTATGTACACATTAGAGATATTTAGTAGATTTAATACAATTGTTTTGTATAAATACAAAACTATGGAAACTGATAACCTAAATGTACTTTAATTTTTATTTATTATTAAATATTTATTTATTTATTAATTATTAAATAAATAAATAAAACAATATAAAGTAATTGTATATAATATAATAGAATAATATATTTTTATAAATTGAAAACTTTACAAAAAAATAAATTATTAAATTTATTACTAAATAAATAAATACAATTGTGTTTTTTTAAATAACTATCAAAACTTTTATTATTATTATTATTTATTAATAAATATAATTTTTTAATTAATATTATTAAAAAATTGCTTAATTGTGCGAAAATATCATAATAATAATTATTATTATTATTATAAAAAACCGAATCATTTATTTATATATTAATATATATTTTATAACATTTTTTTATTTTTAAAAAAATTACTTAAAAAACTTTTTTAACAGTTTTATCATATGATTACTATTACTATTATTAATGGCTTCGGTATTAATGGGGGCACCGGTTAGTGTCTGATTAGTATCATAATCGACATCGTTGTCCATTCAAGTCATGGACTATCCTATGAACGGTACATATATTGGCTTCTGTATCAATCAATTGGTTGATTAGGAGGCGTCTAATTTGATAGGCTAACCATGAAGATAATGTTATACATAAAATGTATAGTCCAGTTAGACACCAGTCACCCACAAATTGATATCCCAGTGCCGGTACTAGACTCACCAAGCTGATTGCCAGTATAGATAGACAATAGCCAAGGACTACCAGATAGTTGACGCGCCAAACAATGGCAAACAAACCAATTAATTGGACAATCAGTCCGGTTATATGTACACCCAGTTCCCAGTTTATGGCTGACTATATATACATATATGTATAAACAGAAAAAAATATTTAACTTATTTTTTTAATTAATATTAGTTTAAGGAAAAAATTAATTTTTTTTGTTTAATGAAATTATCATTAATTTACTAATTAATTATTTTTTGTTGTATTAATAATAATAAATGCTATAATAATAAAGTGATTCAATTAAATTACTATTAAATTATAACTATAAATATATATATATATACGGTACGTATATAGTAATATTAATTAATAATAATTAATTAAATTATTATTAATTTTTTTAATTAATTATTTTTCGTAATAATAAATTGATTATTTACTTAAATTACTTTATATATAACTATATATATATAACTTTATATATAACTATATATATATAACTTTATATATAACTATATATATATACTATATAAATATATATTAATATTAAAAAATAATTAATAATTTTTTTTTGAAAATCATCCAGTTACATTTCTATCTTGATCATTATCGTATACTACAAAATGGTTACGCAATGGTACTATAATAATTATGGCCACAAAATTTATCGCGATCAAATAGGTTAGTGTCTTAAATGTATAGTTGAAACTTGTATTGTTTTCATAATAACTTTTACCAATAGTATAGGTACCGTTCAATAGTATAAAATTACATGATTTATTATTATTATTATTATTATTAGTTATATTATCATGATCAATTGTTTTATTAGCCATTAGTAATATCAACAATAATCAATATTTTAATATAATTATTGAAATAAAAATAAAATAATACGATATTATACTACACAAAAAATAATTTTAATTTTAATTAGTTAACTAAATTTAATTTTTTCGAAATTTACAATTAATAAATAATGTTACGTTTTTTTTTTAATTTTTGAAAATATAACTTATTAAAAAAACTAACTTAAAAATGTTTGAAATGTTTTTTTTTTAATTATATTTATATATTTATAAATATATAAAATTATTATTTATCAAATATATTTATAATCTATTTTGTATTTACAATAAAAAAATTTTTATTGATATAATAATAAAATATTTTTTGATTTATTTCATAAATCTAATAAATATTGTTGTAATACATAATTATTATTAATTGTATGTAACTATATATTGCATAAACTTTATATAACATTTTTTGGTACACAATTTACTTAACATTTATTTTTTTCCATTATTTAAAAAAATTAGTAACAATAAAAATAGCTAAGATTTTATTTATCATATTTATTATACAGTATATATATATATATATATTAATTTCAATTAATTAATTTATATAAATTTATTAAATTTATATAAAACTCTACTATAAATCAATGCAATTAGCGTACAAACAAAGTTCAAAATAAATTGATACCAATCAGCGGGAAATTTTGTATAAAATACAGCTATTGTTAAACTAAGCAAGGTTACCATCAATATTACTAACGTATAGATTAATAATATGAAAAAATTTAGTCTATAAACAGCTACCAGTCCTAGAATTTGGATAATACAGCCAACGGTGCCATTAATTATTACCAATAGTTTAGTTAATTGCTATTTTTTTTAGAAAAAATTAATTTTTAACATTTTAATTTTGAGTTTTTTTTGTTTCAAATACTTACATAATTTTTAATTATTATTTGATTATTATTATTATTATTATTATTATTATTATTATTATTATTATTATTATTATTTTTGTCAATGTATTTGATGGACATACATGTTAAAATAATTGTCGATGTTAATGTAATCAAACAAAATGTAACTAGCACACTACGACACATATAGTGTCTATCTTTTTGGTCCGAAATAGGTTGATACATTTTTTTTAATTAAAAAAATAATTAATTTAAAAATAAAATATTTAATTTAAATTATATATAATAACAATATTATAAAAATGTTTATTTAATAATATGTCACACATAATGATGATAATAATTTTTTTTTGCGCAACAATATAATAAAATAATTTTTTTATTAAATAGTTTATAATATTTATTTTTTAAAAAATTAATAAACAGTTAATCAACTACAATATTTATATACTGTATATAAATTATTAAAAGTGCATGTTGCACTTTAAAAAAATATTATTATTATTATTTAATTTATTTGTATTATTATATATACAAGTATTTTCTAATAAACTTTATTTATTTCACTTTCTATTTATTAAGTAATTATTATTACAAATAATTTTTTTTTAAAACTAAATATTATATATGATATATGAAATTACTTACAAAATTATCATAAATTATTGATTTTATTGCAACTATTATTTAATTATAAGTGTTTTTTGTTGTTGCCTTCAATTATCATACAAAAAAATTGTCTAATATTCAATGTAATTGTCATATAATTGTTAATATAATTTTTGATTATTAAGCAATTATAGTAGGGGGGGGGGAATTAACTTTATTATTATTATTAACTTAAATATATTGATTAATATATATATATATATATATTATAGATATATATTTACAGTATATTCACTATCAATGTACTCTGTTTTTTTAAGTATATTTTATTGACATTTCAATTAACTATAATATTGTATATTAGATAATAGAAAAAAATCATAATTTTTATAATATAATTGATTATTATTGTGTATTATCTAATAATAATAATAATAATAATAATAATAATAATAATAATAATAATATAGATTATTGAAACAACTTGTTTTTTTACTTAATTGTATTAAACATTATAATATTAATTAATAGAAATAATAGAAAAGTTAATAGATATTTATTGTATTGTATTATTTATTTTTTTTTTAAATTAATAATAAATATATATGTAAATTATTTTTAAAATTAATTTCGACATTTTTAGTTTATTAAAATTATAATATTACAAAAAAAAATGTTGTTTTTTATTTAATAATTTAATACACAATAATACTAATTATTATTATATCAAATAAACAACAACAAAATAATTAACAATTAGTTTATCACAAAAATATTTTACAAAATACAATACAACAACAACAAAATTTTTTTTAATTTATATTATTTAATATGTGTTTTATTATCTCCAATGAGGTTCGGGTGGCATTGTTTTACCCGATGAGACAACAACAACAGGGGGTACAAACACCTCCTCCGATCGGTTAGTATTATCATTGGTGTTGTTATGGCTATTGTTTGTCGGGTTTGTATTATAATGCGGTGACGAAACACCTGGCGGTTCATAACTGGGCGGCGCTTCGTTGGGCATCACATGCGGCGGCGGATAGCCATAGCCATGCCATCCAATATAACCCGATGCTGATGATGATGGCCCGGGTCCTCCATATTGTTGACCAATTGACCCCGGATTGATTAACATTCCCGTATGTTGTCCATAAGCGGGAAAACCCGGTGGTGTCGGATAACCGGGATATCCAGCAAACGGCTGATGATAGGGATCACCAGTAGGAGACGGCCGCTGCTGCTGCTGATACGGCTGTCCGTATGAGCCCATTGGCTGATTAGATAGATTACTAGTGCTGCTATCACTACCCGGTGCCGGTTGTTGTTGACCACCCGATACTAGATATGTTGTACTACGACCACCACCACTGGGTACCACTCCTGGATAGATAACATTTTCATTGGTCATAGGATCAACGTAGACAACACTCGTTGATTTGGCCAATTTGCGCAAACGTTTGGCCAGTTGACTGGCCGTACCCGAACTGGCAAACAACAGTATAGTCAGAAACCAGGCACCGGCATAGCTGCCGGTTAGCTGATTGCTGTAACCAATTTGGCCGACAAATGCTGCCCCCAGACACAGTCCGGCCAGTATACTGGCCACAATACTGTAGCCGATTAGTGACCAATAGTTTTGTTTGAATATACCGTAAACGGCTACAAACTGTATGACTATACCGATCACACCGAACGCTATCAGTAGTGTTGCAAATGTTTCCTTAAATATTAAAAAACTTGTTATTATTATATTTATAATTGGTTTACATAATTATTTTTGACAATTAAAATTAAAACTCTAGTTTATTAAATTGAATTATTATTATTATTATTATTATTATTATTATTATTACTACTACTACTACTACTACTACTACTACTACTACTATTACTACTAATACTACTAATACTACTAATACTACTACTACTAATAATAATAATAATAATAAATTTAGTAAATATTTTAGTATAATATTCAAAAAATATTTATTTTATTTTTAACAAAAATAAATTGTTAAAATTAATTTATCATCAAATATAAAAATAATAATAATAATGCTTAAAAAAAATTTCAATTAATAATTAAATTATATTTAATACCTATTTAAATGTATATCTATTTTATTTATTTTTTGCTAATTAAGATAACACTATTAAATTTATTGTAATTTTTTAATAATTGTTTGTCTTTTAGTTAAAAATTAAAAAAAACAATTTTTAAAACATTTACCTTGTGCATATAAATATATAGAAAATATTGTGCATTTGATCTATCGCTAGATCGGGGCGATTGTAAAACCAGTACAACAATTAACGTAACGACACATATGATACATAAGCCGTACGAAAAATATTTCAGACATTTAAACGGTTTATCAGTTTTGGTCATAATTTTACTGTTGTTGTTGATGATTGAAATTATTATTATTATTATTATTGATTTATAGACAAAAAAAATATATAATAAGTAATCACTAGAATATTAATTTACTAATTGAATAAAAACATTAAATAATTAATTTATTTTTAATTTATTTGATTTTTATTTTTTATATAAATAATATATATTTTTTATAAGTATATGAAAACATATTAATAAACATTTATTATAAACTTATATATTATATAATAAACTTTTTATTATTATTATATTATAATGTATATAAAAATGTCGCTCATTTTTTTTTAGATAATAATACTAATAATAATTATTATTATTTTAAGTACTGTATTAAAAGTTAAGTGATATATATATATACCGTTACATATATATATATATATATATATATATACTGTATGTATATATATACAATGAAATAAATTTATTACTTGTTGATTTTGTAAAAAAAGTTATAATTTATTAGTAGGAATTTTTTTTGCTATCTATTGATAAAAAAAAATAATAAAACAATTTTAACAAATTAATTAAATAATATTTTTATTTGTTTAAAACATATCTATTTATTATTTTAAATTTTTTAAAATAAAAATTTACACAAAAAAATTATAATACTATTAATTATTATTACTATTTATAAATAAATATTCATAATATGATAAGCAATTAATTTATTTAGAAAATAAAATACATAATAATAATTAACAAACAAACAAAAAATATTTTACAAAATATAAACAAAATTATTTTCCATATAAATGTGTTTTGTTTAAAAAAAATAAATATATTTAATAAGTAATATGTGTTTTTATGATCTCCAATGGGGTTCGGGTGGCATTGTTTTACCCGATGAGACAACAGGGGGTACAAACACCTCCTCCGGTCGGTTAGTATTATCATCGGTGTTGTTATCATTGTTTGTCGGGTTTGTATTATAATGCGGTGACGAAACACCTGGCGGTTCATAACTGGGCGGCGCTTCGTTGGGCATCACATGTGGTGGCGGATAGCCATAGCCATGACCGCCAATATAAGCCGCCGATGACGATGATGATGGCCCGGCTTCACCGTATTGTTGACCAATTGCCGGATTGATTATCATTCCCGGATGTTGTCCATAACCGACGGGAAATCCGCCAAACGGCTGATGATCGGGAACTCCAGTAGGAGACTGCCGTTGCTGTTGCTGCTGATGGTATGGTCCGTAACTACCGATTGGTTGATTAACCGGTAGACTACTAGTACCATCACCACCAGGTGCTTGTAATTGCTGTTGTTGTTGACCACCCGGTACCAAATATGTAGTCCGACCACTCGGGACCTGGTAGATAACATTTTGATTGGTCATCGGATCAACGTAGACAATCGTACTGGTCGATTTGGCCAACTGGCGCAAACGTTTGGCCAGTGAACTGGTAGTTGCGGAACAGACAAACAACAGGACAGTCAGATACCAGACACCGGCATAGCTGCCGATACTGTTGCTGTTGTAGCTGCTAAGTCCGATCTGGCCGATAATGGCAGCGGCCAGACACAGACCGGCCATTATACTGGTCACTATACTGTAGCCGATTAGCGACCAGTAGTGTTGTTTGAATATACCGAACATAGCTATCAATTGGACGACTATACCGATCACACCGAACGTTACCAATAGTCCAGTAAATGTTTTCTGTTATAAAATACAATATAAATTAAATCAATTATTATTATTATTATTAAATAGATATTAATCTAAACACATATATTTTATTTTATTTATTGAAACCCTTTATCTCTTTTATATTTATTTAGTTAAAAAATATATATATTTTATATTATATATATATACTGTATATACAATATATTATTTATTATTTAGTTTACTATTATAACTATTATAGCTATTTAATTGTAGTAATAATTTATTAATAATTAATAACTATAATTAAAATTTTAAATAGTATAAATATTTATTATTATTAATATATATATTTAAAAACAATTTTGTAAAATTAATTTTTTGATTATTATTATTATAATTTAATTATTTTAGACATAAAAATTATCTATTTTTTGTACATTTTGGCTAATAAATAATAGTTTTAAAAATTTTTTTTAAATAATTTTTAATATTTTTTTTAAATGGTTAGTCATTTAATTGTTTTTTTAAATAAATAAATAACTAATTTACCCTGTTCATTTCGGTATATAATAAATATACACTATTAGGTGATTGGTTAGACGGTGGGGTTTGTAAGGCCAGTACAACTATCAACGATACAACACATACGATACATAAGCCATAGGCAACATATTTTAAATATTTAAGGGGTCTCTCCTTTTTGGTCATTGTTTTAACATTCAAATAAAAAAATTATTATTATTATTATTATTATTATTGATTTTTTTTAAAAAGTAATCACTTTCAAGAATATTTCAAACACTTATTGAATTATTGATTATTATATAAAAAAAACATAAATAATTAAATTATTGATTTTGTTGTTATTGATTAAATTGAATTTATTTGATTTTTTTGATTATATAAATTATAATTTAATAAATAGATATATCAAACATATTATTATACATTTTATATTATACTGTATTATATTGTATTATATACAAACACCTCCTCCGATCGGTTAGTATTATCATTGGTGTTGTTGTTATGGTTATTGTTTGTCGGGTCTGTATTATAATGCGGTGACGAAACACCTGGCGGTTCATAACTGGGCGGCGCTTCGTTGGGCATCATATGCGGCGGCGGATAGCCATAGCCATGCCATCCAATATAACCCGATGCTGATGATGATGGCCCGGCTACTCCGTATTGTTGACCAATTGCCGGATTGATTAACATTCCCGGATGTTGTCCATAAGCGGGAAAACCCGGTGGTGTCGGATAACCGGGATATCCAGCAAACGGCTGATGATAGGGATCACCAGTAGGAGACGACCGCTGCTGCTGCTGATACGGCTGTCCGTATGAGCCCATTGGCTGATTAGATAGACTACTAGTGCTGCTATCAATACCCAGTGCCGGCTGTTGTTGTTGTTGTTGACCACCCGATACTAGATATGTTGTACTACGACCACCACTGGGTACCACTCCTGGATAGATAACATTTTCATTGGTCATAGGATCAACGTAGACAACACTCGTTGATTTGGCCAATTTGCGCAAACGTTTGGCCAGTTGACTGGCCGTACCCGAACTGGCAAACAACAGTATAGTCAGCAACCAGGCACCGGCATAGCTGCCGGTTAGCTGATTGCTGTAACCAATTTGGCCGACAAATGCTGCCCCCAGACACAGTCCGGCCAGTATACTGGCCACAATACTGTAGCCGATTAGTGACCAATAGTTTTGTTTGAATATACCGTAAACGGCTACAAACTGTATGACTATACCGATCACACCGAGCGCTATCAGTAGTGTTGCAAATGTTTCCTTAAATATTAAAAAACTTGTTATTATTATATTTATAATTGGTTTACATAATTATTTTTGACAATTAAAATTAAAACTCTAGTTTATTAAATTGGATTATTATTATTATTATTACTACTACTACTACTACTACTACTACTACTACTACTACTACTACTACTATTACTACTAATACTACTACTACTACTACTACTACTACTACTACTACTACTACTACTATTACTACTAATACTACTACTACTATTAATAATAATAATAATAATAATAATAATAAATTTAGTAAATATTTTAGTATAATATTCAAAAAATATTTATTTTATTTTACAAAAAAACAAATTGTTAAAATTAATTTATCATCAAATATAAGGAAAATAATAATAATAATGTTATTTATGCTTAAAAAAAATTCAATTAATAATTAAATAATATTTAATATCTATTTAAATGATATCTATTTTATTTATTTTTTTTGCTAATTAAGATAACACTATTAAATTTATTGTAATTTTTTAATAATTGTTTGTCTTTTAGTTAAAAATTTATTTTTAAAAAAATAATTTTAAACATTTACCTTGTGCATATAAATATATAGAAAATATTGTGCATTTGATCTATCGCTAGATCGGGGCGATTGTAAAACCAGTACAACAATTAACGTAACGACACATATGATACATAAGCCGTACGAAAAATATTTCAGACATTTAAACGGTTTATCAGTTTTGGTCATAATTTTGCTGTTGTTGTTGTTGTTGATTGAAATTATTATTATTATTATTATTGATTTATAGACAAAAAAAAATATATAATAAGTAATATATAAAAAATAAATAAAAATAATAAAAATAAATATATATATATATATACTGTATGTATATATATATACAATGAAATAAATTTATTACTTGTTGATTTTGTAAAAAAAAGTTATAATTTATTAGTAGGAATTTTTTTTGCTATCTATTGATAACAAAAAAAATAATAAAACAATTTTAACAAATTAATTAAATAATATTTTTATTTGTTTAAAACATATCTATTTATTATTTTAAATTTTTTTAAAATAAAAATTTACACAAAAAAATTATAATACTATTAATTATTATTACTATTTATAAATAAATATTCATAATATGATAAGCAATTAATTTATTTAGAAAATAAAATACATAATAATAATTAACAAACAAACAAAAAATATTTTACAAAATATAAACAAAATTATTTTCCATATAAATGTGTTTTGTTTAAAAAAAATAAATATATTTAATAAGTAATATGTGTTTTTATGATCTCCAATGGGGTTCGGGTGGCATTGTTTTACCCGATGAGACAACAGGGGGTACAAACACCTCCTCCGGTCGGTTAGTATTATCATCGGTGTTGTTATCATTGTTTGTCGGGTTTGTATTATAATGCGGTGACGAAACACCTGGCGGTTCATAACTGGGCGGCGCTTCGTTGGGCATCACATGTGGTGGCGGATAGCCATAGCCATGACCGCCAATATAAGCCGCCGATGACGATGATGATGGCCCGGCTTCACCGTATTGTTGACCAATTGCCGGATTGATTATCATTCCCGGATGTTGTCCATAACCGACGGGAAATCCGCCAAACGGCTGATGATCGGGAACTCCAGTAGGAGACTGCCGTTGCTGTTGCTGCTGATGGTATGGTCCGTAACTACCGATTGGTTGATTAACCGGTAGACTACTAGTACCATCACCACCAGGTGCTTGTAATTGCTGTTGTTGTTGACCACCCGGTACCAAATATGTAGTCCGACCACTCGGGACCTGGTAGATAACATTTTGATTGGTCATCGGATCTACGTAGACAATCGTACTGGTCGATTTGGCCAACTGGCGCAAACGTTTGGCCAGTGAACTGGTAGTCGCGGAACAGACAAACAACAGGACAGTCAGATACCAGACACCGGCATAGCTGCCGATGCTGTTGCTGTTGTAGCTGCTAAGTCCGATTTGGCCGATAATGGCAGCGGCCAGACACAGACCGGCCATTATACTGGTCACTATACTGTAGCCGATTAGCGACCAGTAGTGTTGTTTGAATATACCGAACATAGCTATCAATTGGACGACTATACCGATCACACCGAACGTTACCAATAGTCCAGTAAATGTTTTCTGTTATAAAATACAATATAAATTAAATCAATTATTATTATTATTATTATTATTAAATAGATATTAATTTAAACATATATTGTTTATTTTATAAATATATATTTTTATATATTATATATTAGTAACTATTATAACAATTATAAGCTATTTATTAATATAAATATATTTACTTAAAAAATGTTAAATATATATAGTTTAATATATATTTAACATTTTTTAACTATAATTAAAATTTTAAATAGTATAAATATTTATTATTATTATTAATATACTAGTATATTTAAAAACAATTTTGTAAAATTAATTTTTGATTATTATTATTATAATTTAATTATTTAAGACATAAAAATTATTTTTTTTTGTACATTTTGGCTAATAAATAATAGTTTAAAAAAAAAATTTTTTTAAATTGTTTTTAATATTTTTTTTTCAATGGTTAGTCATATAGTCATATAGCATTTAATTGTTTTTTTAAATAAATAAATAAATAATTTACCCTGTTCATTTCGGTATATAATAAATATACACTATTAGGTGATTGGTTAGACGGTGGGGTTTGTAAGGCCAGTACAACTATCAACGATACAACACATACGATACATAAGCCATAGGCAACATATTTTAAACATTTAAGGGGTCTCTCCTTTTTGGTCATTGTTTTAACATTCAAAAAAAAATTATTATTATTATTGATTTTTTTTTTAAAAAAAAATAATCACTACTAGAATATTTCAAACACTTATTGAATTATTGATTATTATATAAAAAACACAAATAATTAAATTATTGATTTTTTGTTGTTGATTAAATTGAATTTATTTGATTTTTTTTTGATTATATAAATAATAATTTAATAAATAGATATATCAAACATATTATTATACATTTTATATTATACTGTATTATATTATATATTAAAATGTCGGTTCATTTTTTTTAGATAATAATAATAATTAACAAAAAATAATTATTATTATTATTATAAGTTTTATAATACATATAATAAAATTAATTTATTACTTGTTGATTATGTTTAAAAAAATTAATTAAATAAAATTTATAAAAAAAATTTAATAATCTATATTTTATATTTGAATAACAAATTAAATAACAAATTAATAAAATAATTTTTTTTGGTTATTATTTTGTTGTTTTTTTTAAAAAACAATGTTTTATTTTTCATAAAAAAAATAAACATAAATACAACAATAAAATTATTACAACACTTAACAATAATAAATTATTAATATTATTTATAAGCACAATCACAAAATGACCAAGCAATTTTTGTTGCAATTTAATAATAATAATAATAAGTATCCTTAAAATCATATATATATATGATATAACAAATATATTTAATAATAATTAATACAACAATTATTAGTATTTTATTTAATATATTTTAGTTAATTTTTTTTTGTTATAAAAATCATATTTTAGTTGTTAATTAATTTTAACATAATTTTTTTTATATATCATTGTATAACTTATTATTGTATTAAAACATAACATTTACGTTCAAATTGTTGTATTTTTTTACTTTTATTTTTATATCAGTAATATTATTATTACTACAGTAACCAACAAAAAAAAATAATTAATATTTTCATTATCATATATACTGTATATTATATATATATTTATATTTATATAATATTAAAGATATTACACAATGATTTTGAAAACTAATAGTATATATATATTGTACTGTAATCTTATTGTTATAAAAAATAATAATACTGTATTATACAGTAAATATAATATAATTGTTATTTATTATATAAATTTATATATATATATATAACAAAATTAACTATTTATAAGATAATTAAATTTATAATAATTGATTTACAGTATTATTTTTTTTAATTTCTAATAATATCTTAATTAATTTATTTATTTATAAAATATTTGATCTAATAATTAATTAAATATATATTTATATAATTAATTACTTATTCAATTAATTAATTAATTAATCAATTTAATTTTGACGCCATTTTAGTTCAACAATTATTTTATTAATAAAAAAAATAAAATAAATTACAATTCAATAATAACTATTTAAAGCATATAAATATACATTAAATACAACTATTATATTATTATTAATTTATATTATAATAGTTAAGTTTAAAAAAAATAAAATTATAATACAATACAATCAAAAATTATAATTTAGAATAACATAAAAATTGTGTGTATATGTATGTGTATGTACTGTATGTGTGTGTATCTATGTGTGTGTGTGTATGTGTGTGTATGTTTGAGTATGTTTGTGTATGTGTGTGTATTTTGTGTATGTTTGTGTATGTTTGTGTGTGTGTGTGTATGTGTGTGTGTGTGTGTGTGTATTTATGTATGTATGTATGTATGTATCTATCTATGTATGTGTGTATATATATGCGTGTATATAAATGTATGTGTGTATGTACTGTATGTGTGTGTGTATGTATATGTATGTATGAGTATTTTGTGTATGTGTGTATTTATGTGTGTATGTATTTATGTATGTATGTTTGTATGTATATATGTATGTACGGTATGTATCTATCTATGTATGTATATATATATATATATATGCTTGTATATAAATGTATGTGTATTAATAGTATATGTGTATTATACAAGTATTGGTTAACCTAAATTCCTAAACCTAAAATAATTATATATTTATACAGTATATAAAGTACATTATATTTATTATTATTTTTATAATTATAATATATTTAAATAATTTACCTTTTTCATTAATTTCTTCACATAAAACAGATAAAATAAATAATAAAATTATTAATAGAAATGTTTTAATAATAAACATTTTTATTTTTATAAAAATTTTTAAAACAAATAGACTTAATTAGTCTCCTATTATAGTATAAGTCTTAAAAATTTTTTTATTTATTTTTATTAATTACTTAAAAACTTTCAATGACGTACTGCACAAATATTTAATAAAAAGTACTACAAATAAAAAAGTTAAATTAAATTTTAACTCCATTTTATTTATTAATGTGAAATAGAAAATATATTTTGAAATTACTTGTTTTTATTTTTTTTATAATTTTTTTGTTGTAAATATTTTAAAACTTTAATAAATAATAGTTTAGTTTTATTCATTTAATTATTTTATTATTGAATACCTAACTTCTGCATATAAAACATAAATCTAATTTAAAATTAAATTAATATAAATACATTCAAAACAATATACACATACATACATATACACACACATACATATACACACATACATATATACACATACATATACACACATACATATACACACATACATATACACACATACATATACACACATAATTATAATTATATAACAACAATATACATATATAAATAAATAAATAAAAAATCACATTAGATCAAACAAATTTATTAATATTAAAAACAAAAATTTATTATTATTATTATTGTAACTAACTAACTAATAACCAATTATAACTATATATAAATAGTACATAACATAACCATATAATCGTATATCATAAAATCCAAATTCCTTAATCCTTAATCCTTAATCCTTAATCCTTAATCCTTAATCCTTAATCCATTAATCCAATCATTACCAGTCTAATCGTTTTCATCAAGATCATAATCGACTTGTTTAGGTTTTTCTGTAAATCTTTCCAAATTTTTATCGTCAACAGCCATACAATATCCCTGTCGACAAGTGTTCAAACAGGTGTCCTGATCGTCGAATATCTGGAATTTCGGTGGCATTAGATTCCGATGACAATAACCGCTTCCACCGCAACACCATTGCTTAACATAGTTGGGACCCCTGTAATCATTGTCCTCTATATATATGATATATATATATTAATATATAATAAATATAAAACAAATAATTAATTAGTTGGGACCCCTGTAATCATTGTCCTCTATATATATATTAATATATATTAATATATAATAAATATAAAACAAATAATTAATTAGTTGGGACCCCTGTAATCATTGTCCTCTATATATATATTAATATATATTAATATATAATAAATATAAAACAAATAATTAATTAGTTGGGACCCCTGTAATCATTGTCCTCTATATATATATTAATATATATTAATATGTAATAAATATAAAACAAATAATTAATTAGTTGGGACCCCTGTAATCATTGTCCTCTATATATTTATGATATAATTAATATATAATAAATATATAAAACAAAAATAATTAATTATATTATAATAGAAATTAATTCAATAAAAAAAATTTTTTTTATTTTTGTTAGATTAGTATAAATAATAGATTTTATTAGTTTTTTTTAATTATCTTTATTTATTAATAATAATCTATAATTAATTGTTTATTATTATTATTATTATTTTAAAAAATTTATAATATATAATATATATATATATTTCTAAAAATTTTAGTTATATAAAAATTTAGAAAATTAATTATTTTTTTTAAGGAAATCAATTATAATATTTAGGAAAAAAATTTTTTTTTTAATTTAAATAATAAGTTTTATTTAAAAAAGTTTTGTAATAATGTTAAACCTAAATACAAATACATAAACACTAACAATAGAAAAGGTACTATTTTTTATTTAAATATTTTTTTTGTAATAATTTTAAACCTAGACACTAACAATAAAAAGGTACTAATATATCAATGAATTATTACATTGATTTTATATATGATTTATATTAATCGAAAATTAGTCGACCATTTTTATATATTACAAACACATATCAAACAAACAAACAAATAATTAATTAATTAATGTCTATCGGAAATTATTTGGGGAAAAAATATTGTATTATAACCAACAAAAAAAATTATTATTTAGTAATAGTTATGGAGGGGAAGGGGAAGGGGTGGGTGGGTGGAGGAAGGAGGGGTTATAACATCTAAAAAACCTTCAAAAAAATACTTCAAACATATAGATCAACAAAAATTAATTTAATTTAATTAATTAAGTCATTCAGTCAATAAGCTTATTAGCTATTAAACTATTATGAGAGAGGGTGGGGGATATTTTTGCCATATTCACCCCCCACCAACCCCCCCCCTTTGTATTAACATTATATAACATAATGGTGACATTACACTTTTTTTTTAATATATTTATACTGGATATAGGCTAATATATTATATTAAAAAAACAAAATAATTTTTAACTGTAATATAAAGATATATATATTTAAATTTAAATTATAAATTATAATATATATATATAAAGTTTAATACATTCAGTATTATAAACTAAGATAATTATATTATTAAAATTATTAATTTTATTAATTTTTTAATTTATATTAAAAAATAATAATAATATTAAATACCTTCTTGAAATGCAAACGCCTGTCCATTAGTATAGGAAATACATATTAAAGATAATAATAAACAAATTACTAGAAATTGTTTAATACTAATAAACATTTTTTAATTGTGTTTTTTTTCAATTTATTTTCAAATAATTTTTTTTTTTAAACCAAACACTTGGACTGTTAGACTACTATTAAAAAAATATATAGAAAATAAATTTGTTTTTTACACTATATAGAAATGAAAAAGTACTTTAGCTAATTAATTATTAAATTCAATTATTAATTAATAATAATTTTTTTTATAAACTTTTTCATTGGGTTGATTTTCAAATAAATAAAACATACTGGTAAAAAAAATAAAATAAAATCATTTAATAATAATTATTACAAAATTTAATTTAATTTTGTTTAATATATAATTTTTTTATCTTACACATGTATTTTAGTTTTTATATAACTATTTTTTGATAGTTATCTTTAAACTTTTTATATGTAATCTATACACTAGTTTAATATTTTTATTATCTATAATAATATGTAATAAATATTTTTATGCATATAAATGACAATAAAATTATAATTAATTAATAAAAGCAATTTTTTATTATATAATTTTTTTAACACAAATTTTACTACTACTACATGACTTTAATTTATTTTTTTTACTAATATTATCAATTAAATTTTTTGACAATTTTATGATTGTTATTTTAATTAATTTTTTTTATATTTCTATATATTATAAATTTAATTCAAATCAAAAATTTTTTTAATTAAATTCAAATAGTTTTGTTAGATTAGAACAAATAATAGTTTTTATTTTATTTTTTAATACAATTATCTATATTTATTAATAATAACTATAATTATTATTTTTTAAATATTTAATTATATAAAAATTTATAAAATTAATTAATTTTTTTAGGAAATTATAATATAAAAAAAACTATTTTTTATTTAAATAATATTTTTTTTTTGTAATAATTTTAAGCCTAAACACTAACAATAAAAAGGTACTAATATATCAATGAATTACTACATAGATTTTATATGTAATTTATATTAATCGAAAATATCGACCATTTTTATATTACATATATATATATACATATCAAACAAACAAATAATTACATTATTTATTGTTAATAAACTAAAAATCAATCAATAGTTAACACATACACACACACACAAACAGTCTACTTTAGAATAGTACTAAATCATCGATAGATACAACTATTTGATTTCAATGTAATACCTATACATCGAACATTAGGTACTTATTTAGATACTAAGCAAACAAAATAAATATATATATACAGTATATAAATAGGTACCAAATTAACGTACTGTTCAAGCCATATATCTAATACACATATATTGTATCGAACATATGGTACTATTAGATACACATATAAGTACTACAAGTAATATATATTAATATATGTCGTCATCTGTGGTCACCATTTGTTTCACAATAACGACGACAACAACGACTGACTGACTGACGGCTGCGCTCAAGAAGTTGTTGTCTAATAACTGATTCATTTCACTGACTGACTGACTGAGCCCTGCGTTCATATAAAACATGTCCGTCTGTGACGTCAAACACCGCACGCCGGCGGCGACGACGACAACAACAGCGGCGGTCGCGGCTGAAGACACAGCTAAACACTGGCCAACAAAGCAGTCAACGGCGGCTGCAGTGGTAGTGAAGAACAACAACAACAACAAGAAGAAAGAGTTGATCGCCAATAATAAGACCAACAATTCTGCTGACGATGAAGAAGAAGATGAAGACAACGAAGACGATGATGAAGAAGAAGAAGACGACGCCAAAGACATCGCCGACCGTTACGCTCTTCACGCGGCCGTCTTTGACGGCGATCTCAGACGTATTGCCCAACTTGTTCGCCGCTACGACGTCCAGCTTAAGGATCCGCACGGTATGTACTGATTAACTGTTTTGATTGATTGTTTTACGGGTCAATCGGGTTTCAATTTTTGTTTTGTTTGTCCACTACTATCTATCGCCCGCCCATACATACAGGCAATACACCGTTACATTTGGCCGTAATGCTTGGCCATCGGGACGTTATTCAGCTATTGTTAGCCCATTCGGCTCCAGTCAAATGCAAGAACATCCAGGGCTGGAGTCCGCTGGCCGAAGCCATCAGCTACGGTGACCGACAAACCAGTTAGTATTATACAATAGTAGTAGTAGTAGTAGTGTTGGTGTCCGCGGTTATGGTGCCGCAGCCGCCGCCGATAACCGATCTGATTAATGAATGATTTGTTTTCTATTTTTTTTTTGTTTTATTTTGTTGTCCATCCCATCCGATCAGTTACATCATTGTTACGCAAACTTAAACGTCAATCGCGCGACCAAATGGACTGCCGTCGGCCGGATCTCATACGGGCCCTGAATAAGATGCAAAACTTTCGTCTGGAACTCAAATGGGACTTTCAATCGTGGGGTCAGTAGTAGTAGTAGTAGTACATACATCCCTATCCCCAGCCCTATCCCGACCCGAAACACACGGGTATTAATCGTACGGTTATTAACTACTAACAATACACACAGTACCGCTGGTCAGTCGAGTATTACCGTCGGACGTGTGTCGTATACATAAAAAAGGTTCGTCAATACGATTGGACACAACTTTGGTCGACTTTTCCGATATGCGTTGGGAACGCGGCGACGTATCCTTCCTATTCTCTGGTATGGCTAAGCCATCCGAATCTCTGGTAGTAGTGGACAACAAACTTCGTTGCTATCAACGGGTACGCTATGAAGAATCTGACGGCGAAATCGACGACGAAGTCGATATGTTAATGTCCAGCGATATAGTTGCCGCACAAATGTCTACAAAAGCTATACAATTTTCGCGGGCGCAGTCCGGTTGGCTGTGGCGTGAAGACCGATCCGAACGGGTCGGTTCGTTTATGGCCGACTTCTATTCGATATCGGGTCTGTATCTTGAATCGCGTAAACGACGCGAACATCTGTCCGACGAAGATCTACAAAAAAATAAGGCTATTATCGAAAGTCTGACCAAAGGCGGTGCCGCGGCCGCCGCTACCGGTGTTGTTGCCGCCGCCAACAATGGACAGGCAGCTATAGGTGGTGGTGATGGCGGCGGCGGTGGTAATGATAATCTAACAATTGAACCGACGTTAGCGGCAACAGCAACAACAACGGCTGCTGTTCAGCGACGCCGTTCGCTGACACCGCCGCCGACCACTTCGGTTACTTGGGACGAGTATATACGTGCAGCTCCTGGACAGCATCGGCCACTGGGTCGGCAGCCTGTTTGCAAAGAGTCGGTAAAGGCATTCAAGGCTACACTAGCAATGGTATGTGTGATGATATACAATATATATATATATATATGACTGTCCACTGATGTTGTATATGTTGTATACTAATTGTTTGTTTGTTTGTGACATATATATATATATAGAGTCAGGACTTCCCGATGACAGTAGACTCGTTGCTTAACGTACTGGAAGTGATGGCACCGTTCAAACATTTTCATAAACTCAGACAATTTGTAGTCATGAAACTCCCGCCAGGATTTCCAGTCAAAATCGGTAAATTATTTTTCATTATTATTATTACTAACTATTTGTCTAATTATCTGATCTATCACTTACTCACTCACCCACTCATTTACCAGACATACCTATACTGCCGACAGTGACGGCGCGCATAACATTCCTGTTGTTTGAGTTGGACGACAACATTCCCGACTCGTTGTTCGAAATTCCTGTCGACTATCGGGAAGATTGCAATCGATTTCCCGATTTATGACGTTAACAGTCTAGTCATCGCTCACACACACACACACACACAGACACCAAACACACTCACACATTGTAGTGCATACACACACACATAAACACATGCAGCACGCGATGCACGCGCGTAATAATTGAACCACAAGGTAGTTAGTTGTTTGAATTATTATATATATATTAATAGCAAAACTATATAATAATAATAATAACAATAATAATAACTAAATCACTAAATAATTTGTATTAAACAATAGTCTAGTATTTTATCAGTTATTGTTGTTTTGTTAGTATTATTATTATTATTATTACCGTATTATTAAAAATTGCACTCATTTTTTTCAATTATTAATTAATTAATATAATAGTAATAAATATTATTTAATTGTTTAAAATTGTTTTATATTGATTGATTTATTATGTAAATCTTGATTAAATTTTTTGCTAATTAATTAATAATATAATTATTGTATAATTTTGTTGATTAAAAAAAATTGTTTTTTTTTGTTGTTGTTGTTAGTTTCGTTAAAAGTTATAAATTATAATTTAGTTGATAATTATTATAAAACTAAATTTGTATAGATTAAAAAAAATTTGTGTTTTTTGACTGATATTGAAAAAAATAAAAATTAATTATTTATAAAATTATTTCAATCTAATTTAATATAAATTATTTTATGTGTATTTGTGGGGGTGTGTTGAAACAATCTAATCTTTAAACAGAGAGAGAGAGAGAGAGAGAGACAGAGAGAGAGACAGAGAGACAGAGAGAGACAGAGAGAGAGAGAGACAGAGAGAGAGAGAGAGAGAGACAGAGAGAGAGACAGAGAGAGGGATATTAGACAACTATATCTAGTATGTGATCTCAAAAGTTTTTAACCTATTTTCAGACAAATTTATATTATTATAATAAATAATAACATAAAAAATAGTTTAATTAAATATTTTATTTTATTGATTAATAATAAAAATAATATACATATAAATTGATATTATATAAAGTTTTACAATTTTTCTAAATAAACAATTAATAATAATATTTAATAAAAAAAATTATTAAATAATAAAATTAGTACATGTAAACTATTGGTGCTATAGTTACTACTGTAAAAATTCATTACAATATTTATCATATTAATAATTAAATAATATTATCTAAATTATTAATAATAATTAATAAAAAATAAACTATAATATTAGTAATTATTACATAAATAAAATAACTAAACAATAAATCAACTACTTATCAACAACTTAATACTATTTATTAATTATTGAAAATAATTATTAACTATAATAATTAACTCTAAAATAAATCATTAAATTAAATCAACAAAAAATAAACTAACCAAAAATAGACAAACAATAATATATCTAATTACCAATTGTTGATGCGATGATGAATTATTATTATTATTATTGCCATTAATAATAATATAAGGTTTCAAACCGATATCCAATTCAAATGTAACAGTTAATTGACATCTAAGCGATTGGCAAGCTGAGTTATCTAGATAATAATTGGTACATTTTTGTGTATTTAAGAAAATAGAAAAAGTTGAATAAGATAAACAATTAACATTATTTATGATAGTAAGATTATAGCTCAATTTAACATTATGGAAAACTAGCATCCAGATTTCAATTTGTAGATTATTTCCATTGATTAGATCACCGGTGGGTATATTCCTTGTAATGTTTTTGAACAAACTATAGGAACTGTTTGTTTTGGTAGTAATTGTTTTTGGATCAGCAATATCATCTTCAATCAAGTTGTCATATATAGAAAAATTATTAATTGATTTAAATTTGGTTTTAATTTCATCGGATATTAGATTAAGTAATATAGTCGGAGAAATTGTTGTTGAGCTGGTGTTGGTGTTTGTAGAGCTGATTGTTTCAAGAGTATCCAATAGGTATGTTATGTTAAAAGTGTTGTCTAACATAAATGGTTTAAGAAAAACATTGGGTGCCGTCAGATTCAATTGATTTTCTCTGATAACAGTCTTATTTATAATAATAAACTCGTCATCATTATTATCATCAGTAATATTGTTGTTGTCGTTGTTTTCAATCCAAGAATCAAATGGCAGTTCCGAAAGTTTAGCCAATATTTCCTATTAATAATTTTTAAAAAATAAAATAAATAATTATTTTTATTATTATTGACTTTTATTAATTATTTAATTAATTTAATCTAATTAATACCTCAGTTGTGTTCAATGGTATGATTTCTTCAATTTCAAAATTTTCAATTTCATAGCAATTAGAATAATTTACAATCAATATAAATAGAAATAATGATAAATACATTATTAGTAAAAAAAATCTCATATATAATAAATTCAAAATTATTATTAAATATATTTTATAGATATGGAATAGAATTTATATCAGAATTTTATTTTAACAAAAATATTATATAAGTAAAAAAATTAGGGTTTGTTATTACTTAAGGGAGGGAAGTTCTCTGCAAAAATATGTCAAATTTTCCGGTAATATGGATATTATTTTATTTTCAGTCTAAAATATACGCGATTATATAATATATATTATTACAATAAATATTAGTAAATATTTTGAATAAAAATTTAAATTCAAAAACCTAAATTTTAAACCTATAAATTAATTTATTTAAAAAAATCAAAAAATATAGTTTAAAATAACAAATAATAAAAATAAGTTGTTTAGTGTTCCGAAAGTTATATTTATGTCACAATTAAATTGATTCTCTGGGAATTACCAGTGAAAAGGGAAATAAGGAATTTTGTTGGGAATATAATACAAAGGAATGAAACATTGGAAAACCTAAAACAATTTTTAGTAACTAAATATAATTGTTTTTATTATTATTATAGTGTAACTAATTTTTTATTATTATTTTTGCAAAATTTTTGTTACATTTGAATGATTAGTTATTATTTTATTATTATTAATAATATTTTTGAATTGTTATTATAAATGTTTTAATTTTCATTAATCATACATAAAATAAATATTTTGTGATAATAATTACAAATAATTAATTGCTTTAGTTATTGAATTAAACACATAAAAATAAATCATTAGAAAATTTATTTTATTTTTTTTTAAATAATAATAAAACAATTAAGTAATCAAAATATAAACAATAAAAGCATTTCAATAATATTAATTTCCATCAAAATTTATAGTTAAATTATAACATAAATTTTTACAAAAATATAATATTTACAAAATTAATTAATGTATATTTTCTATGTGAAAAAATATAATGAGATAAATGTATTTTTAAATATTAATTACTAAGTTATATAATATTTAATTGTATTGAATTTATTATTCTAAATAACAATAAAGTAATTAATAATAAATTAACATAAATTCTATTTAAAAATATTTTTATAAAAAACTAAGTAATAAAAAATATCTACTACTACTACCACTACTACTACTAATTATGTATTTATTTATTCACTAACTTTTCGATGAACAATCTGAACGATCCTTCGTCGCCGACATTAATCTGGACGTCCTTAGTGTTCATATTCTATGAATTTTTATCTGAATTTTTTAGTTATTTTTTAGGACACAAACAAAAAAAATATTTATTTTTTTAAAGATAAGAAAACTCTTTTTATTTCAATCAGTTCACACATACATTGTTGTTGAAGTTGTTGACCATTGATGGCGACCAACAACAACAACAGTAGTAGTTGTGTCCAAACAATCGTCAATCGGCTAAACGATGACAACATCTTCTTCTTCTACTTCTTTGGCTAAAAACTACTACTACTTCTTGGTCTTTGATTTGTCATTCATTCAATTGTTTCAATCATTAGTTTCTTTGATCTCAAAGTCTTTTAATACATATATAAATTTTTTTTTGCCAATCAATCAATCAATTCATTTCGTTTTCATTATTTAATTATTAATTTTAATTTCATTTTTATCTAAGATTACATTTTTTTTCGTCTCTGATGTAAAACACTTGTAATTACATATAAAAAATAAGTCATAAACCAATTGATTAATTCAATTTAATTAAATAATAATTTTTTGTTTGTTTGTAGAGATAATCCCAATCTATGATAACATTTGTATATTTCAAGTAGTTTTTTAATAATCTAATAAAATAAAAAAAAAATTACAGTAAATCCCATTTATCTCATAGATAACTGTAACACAAAAATTGTTTCAATTGAATCATCCAATTGTTATAATTGTCTTATTATTTAAAAAATATATGATATCTTGTGTGGTATGGGAACTGATTATCACTGACTCGAAAGTAATGACAACAATAATCAACAAAATAAAACCAGTTAAGAATGCTAGAAAGCATTTTCAGAAAAAAAACTTGAATAGCATTGAAAACCATTAGTTATAGCGGCTATATAATATATAAAAATTTAAAAACTGGTCAAATATACATTAAATAAAATTTTTTTATACTTTTGCCGCCATTTAAAAAAAATATGCTGAAATATTATATCATTTTTTTGATGCTCTTTACAATTCTAAACGTTAAAATTTTTACCTAATTTTTGTTACTTTGGCCGCCATTTTCTTTATGATCCCGAAGAGATCAAAATTTTAATGCATATTTCTTATGCTTGTTTTTGATGCTTTATTCAAATCTATACTTTAAAAAAATTTCTTAAAATTTTTTTTACTTTGGCAGCCATTTTGTCCATGTTCCCGAAGAAATATCAAAATTTTAATTCAACTTTTCAATACATTATTAGTAGTCCTCTAACCGAATCTGAAGTCAGAATTTCAAAATTCGCAAAAAAATTGCTACACACACACACACACACACAMAAAAAAGGCTCGTATAGATTTCAGAAAACAAAACTTTTCAAGTTTTTTTTGAAAATAATTGTAAATGAAATGCATTTGTTTTGTCTATCAATTTATATATATTTTTTATGACATCAATTGAGTTGACAATAAAATAAAAATTGATTACATATCTTATATTTGTATGTTTGAAAAAAATGTGAGTAATTTTTTAAAAATAAATAAAACAATTAAATAATTCAATGATTTTATGATATCTTATAAGTTATAAACTATTACCTAATTATATATTAAAAATATTATTAGACTATATATGTTATAATTTATATACTATTATTTTCAAAAAAACTTGAAAAGTTTTGTTTACTGAAATCTATAATGGCTTTGTGTGTGTGTGTGTGTGTGTGTCTGTGGGTAGCATTTCATTTTGCGAATTTTGAAATTCTGACTTCAGATTCGGTTAGAGGACTACTAATAATATATTGAAAAGTTGCATTAAAATTTTGATATCTCTTTGGGAACATAGACAAAATGGCGGCCAAAGTAAAGAAAATTTTAAGAAAATTTTTTTTAAGTATAGATTTGAATAGAGCATCAAAAGCAAGCATAAAAATATGCATTAAAATTTTGATATCTCTTTGGGAACGTAGAGAAAATGGCGGTCAAAGTAAAAAATTTAGGTGAAAATTTTAACGTTTAGAATTATATAGAGTATCAAAAATAATATATAATATATCAGCATTATTATTTATTTTTTCAAAAGATGGCTGCAAAAATATTTAAAAAAAATTTGATTTAATTTTGAACGTTTAGAATTGTATAGATCATCAAAAATAATTTATAATGATCAAAATTAATTAATTATTTTAAAAGTATCATTATAGTTGTTTATTTTGTCATACTGAGTCATTTGATACCCTACATGACTAAAGTTGAGTATATTTAGTCATAATGAGTCATTTGATTCCCCATATGACTATAGTTGAGTATATTTTGTCATAATGAGTCATTTGATACCCTACATGACTAAAGTTTAGTATATTTTGTCATAATGAGTCATTTGATTCCCCATATGACTATAGTTTAGTATATTTTGTCATAATGAGTCATTTGATTCCCCATATGACTATAGTTGAGTATATTTTGTCATAATGAGTCATTTGATTCCCCATATGACTATAGTTGAGTATATTTTGTCATACTGAGTCATTTGATACCCTACATGACTAAAGTTGAGTATATTTTGTCATAATGAGTCATTTGATTCCCCTTATGACTATAGTTGAGTATATTTTGTCATAATGAGTCATTTGATTCCCCATATGACTATAGTTGAGTTTATTTTGTCATAATGAGTCATTTGATTCCCCATATGACTAAAGTTGAGTATATTTTGTCATAATGAGTCATTTGATTCCCCTTATGACTATAGTTGAGTATATTTTGTCATAATGAGTCATTTGATTCCCCATATGACTATAGTTGAGTTTATTTTGTCATAATGAGTCATTTGATTCCCCATATGACTAAAGTTGAGTATATTTTGTCATAATGAGTCATTTAATCCTTTACATGACTAAAGTTGAGTATATTTTGACATTATAAGATTATATGTATTATACTATATAGCCGCTATAATTATACAAACTAATGATTTTAAATGATATTCAAGTTTTTTTTCTGAAAATGCTTTCTAGCATTCTTAACTGGTTTATATATATATTTTCATTTTCATTGTATTATTATTATTATTATTATTATTATTATTATTATTATTATTATTATTATTATTATTATTATTATTATTATTATTATTATTATTATTATTATTATTATTATTATTATTATTATTATTATTATTATTATTATTATTATTATTATTATTATTATTACTTTTATAAGTGGATTGATTATATGTACAAGATAAAATATTAAATATTTGTGCTATCATTTTATTGTTTTTATTTAATTGAAATAATTTTTATCTAATTATAATATGTTTTAGATTGTTAATTGAATTTTAATTATTATTATTATTATTATTATTATTATATTTACATCTAATATATATACTGTATATACATATGGTGTATAATAATTTCAATATATATATATATATAATATATATTTTTATATATAATATTTTTATATAATTAAAAACTATTTAATTATAATATTATCTTAAATAAGGGCTATTATTATTTAATGTAAAAAAAATCAACTAAAAAAATTGTTGCATATTTATTATATGATTTTTTTAATTAATGAAAATTAATAGAAATTAAAATATGTTTTTAGTTTATTATATTAAAAAAAAAATTATTTTAAGCTAAATATTATTTATATATTTATAATAATTAATAATTTTTTAAAAAATATATTAATATATAATTTTTATTTCAATTGATAGTCGCTTTGAATTTGGCGCCCATTTGGCGTTCATATAGTTCAATGCATTTATAGTTTTTTGTACCTTTTTCATACAGTCAACAACTCATTGACTAACTATTAGCCAATAATAGTAAGAAATGGGACCAAAATAGTAGTTTATTATCAGTTTATTTATTCAATACTATATTTATTTCAAAACAAAAACAATAAATAAATAAATAATAAATAAAAATATTTTTTTTTCGGAAATTCATCGGAAATGTGACCAAAAAATAATAAAATTACCGATTATTTCAATACGACAATTACTGACCGATTTATAATTAAAAAAAACTATTTTGATTCAGTCATTGAATCAATCAAATTAATTGCCGCCGAAGTCGACGACGACGACGACTGAAGACCGATCGCCGATATCGGTCAGTGAATGAACGGCAATACCGAAGACAACAACTACTACTACGGCATCAAATCGGACGTCAAAACGCCGCGAACTGACCGTCCATTTAGTTGTCCAATGAGTTCAATCAGTTAATGATGAAGAATGTAGAAGAAGAAGAAGATAAGGACCACACAGTTCTTCAGTGGCCATCAAAAACACCGCCGCATTGGTTATCACCGATCGGTTAATAATAGTGATGGCCGTCATTATCATCGCCGCCGCCCTCGTTGGCCAACAATTACAAAGTAATACAAACAACAAACTATTAACTGTATTGATTGAAAATCAGCAAAAAAAATCAAGATATCGATAGACACCGTAAAGACAATCAATTGAATGAACGTATCATTTGGTCTATTATTTACCGCTAATTTGGTCACAATATTCTGGTTGCGGGTCACAGACGGTAGTAGTAGTAGTAGTTGTTGTTAGAGAGAGAGAGAGAGACTGTGATTAAAATTATTTATTATTAATTCATAAACATTTGAAAATATTTTTTAATTTTAATTATTAATTTGTTTTTTCAGTTATTAAATATTCATTATTTATCATTATATTATATATTTATAAAAAAAATCAAAATAAAGCTAAAAATAATTTATAAATGAAAGCACTGACACCAGTACTGACATTACGATATTAATGGCTAGATATGACAGATAGAGAGAGAGAGAGAGAGAGAGAGGAGGCGACGACCAAAGTGGGCGACAATTCACACCAAACAACAAAACACTTGTATTATGTCTTCATGTCTTCAACAATCAGTTGACGTGAAACTGTTGTTCACTAAAGGCTGCCCGCAATCCGTCCATACTTTTTGCCGAAATTATCGAAACAATTGACTTTCGTTTGCCGTTTGACTTATCGTTAAACGATTGGGTCATTACAGAGCCGACACTGACAACCGAAACGCCCGATACTTTCCTATGATAGTCATTATCACCGCCGCCGCCGTTGGCTAATGTTATTGAGTCGTTGGCCAGCGGTTCAGTGGACGCCAACTCTTTCGGTAGATTCGGATGACTATTGCGATAGAAGACAAACTCCTGGAGAAAGAATAGTATATCGTAGGCAATGGAGGCCACGGATAGTCCGAATTTGGCAATATTGCCGAAAATGGTTTTCCAATCATCTGCGGTAATCATAAGTGAATTAAGTGGTTATTTATCCCGATTATCAGTTATTTATAAGACATTTACCGTAATTATAGGCAATGAATATCATTTGCAATAGACTCATAACACTGCCACTGATGTCCATATAGATAAAGGCCATTGACCACCCGTCGGTCGATTTGCGCTTGTAGTTAAAGTAGGCCTGTTGTCTCACATGGTATGAGAGGGGAACGGTATGTACGATAAGTATATATATATATATATGACATAAGATAAACAAAACAGACAAACCTGTGGTATATATTTAACAGAAGTGACCGTAAGTTTGACGTAAGAAAAATAGTAGAGAAATGTTAGCCACGATTCAACACCGACTAAACAGAGAATCAGTTGAACAGCGGCTGCCGACCAAACACCGCCGGTAAACAGTTTGCCCAATAATGACATACGTTGGTCACCCCTTTCGTAGACATAGCACTGGACAAGTGTTATCCCAGTAACGGCGGCCGCATGTATAGCATAGATAACATCATTCAATTGGATCGGTATTTCTGACCTCGGGATATGTATTTCATATTGGTTTCATATTTCATATTGGCAATATTGCCGAAAATGGTTTTCCAATCATCTGCGGTAATCATAAGTGAATTAAGTGGTCACCCGATTATCAGTTATTTATAAGACATTTACCGTAATTATAGGCAATGAATATCATTTGCAATAGACTCATAACACTGCCACTGATGTCCATATAGATAAAGGCCATTGACCACCCGTGTGTCGATTTGCGCTTGTAGTTAAAGTAGGCCTGTTGTCTCACATGGTATGAGAGGGGTACGGTATATACAGTAAGTATATATATATATATATATATATATATATATGACATAAGATAAACAAAACAGACAAACCTGTGGTATATATTTAACAGAAGTGACCGTAAGTTTGACAAAAAAAAGACAAAAGTAATGTTTAATTTAGTTGTTTGTCTTAGATTTTGTTCGGTTTTTTCATACTCGACACCCGATTGGTTGGTCACAACAGTGGCCACTATGACATCGTGTCCCGGATTAAGACCACGCAATCGAAACCTGTATTCAGTTGTCTGAGACGTAAACAGCAGATTATTTGCGGGTATAGTGTAGTTGTCGTCGGCTGTGAATGTATGACATTCGTCGCTACCGTCGCACCCAATGCTAACATTGACGGTCAGTCCGGTCGGAGGCGATCTGTATGGGGTATGGGATGTGATGGTCAATACATATGTATTTTATTTATTCACTAACTTTTCGATGAACAATATGAACGATCCTTCGTCGCCGACATTAATCTGGACGTCCTTAGTATTCATGTCCAATGAATATTACTATTATTTAATATACAAAAAAATAAAAAAAAAGTTTATAAATAAAACTTCAAAAACACTTACATTGTTGTTGAAGCTGTTGTTGACCATTGATGACCAAAATCATTGACAACAACCACAACAATAGTTGTGTCCAAACAATCATCAGTCGGCTAAACGATGGCATCTTTTTTCCTCAAGTCTACCGAACAGTTATAACTGTAATACTGACGGCCGGTATTTTTTCAACATTATAATATAATAACTACAACAAAAAATTTAATAATAATTATTAATAACTGTATTAATGTAATACTTATAAACTATACTAACTTTGTCCTCCAGTGTGCGGTTGAATTGATTGAAAACGTAATATTTTCATTAGAAATAGAAATAATAAAAAAATACAATTTTTTGATTATAATAAATGCTTTTTAATAAATTTAATGATTAATAAAAATTACAGATTTTTAAAAATTTATAGATCCGTATAACACAAAAAATATTCTTATAGTTTTAGTAATAATTGTTTTAAATAATACAAATTCAAATTTTGTAAATTGTAAATTTTGTTAATTAAATATTATATATTATATATATATAAATATACTGTAAATACTTTAGATTTATATATAATATTAAATTTAACAAAATTTACAAATTAATAGATTAATTACTTTTTTTTACAAAGGAGTTGCAGTAAAATAGGTTCGTAAACCTAAGTCAACACTTACGCTTAAGGGTACTAAACAATAGGTTGTATACTTAGTTGATAAGCATTTAGTAAAACTGTAACCTTTAATGCGCATTAAGGTTTCGATATCTTCCGATTTTATAGGGTCTAGTTGATTTTCCAAATCGTATTGGTAGCCAGTGAACATAAAACTGATGATATAGTCCATTTTCAAATTTTCAGCCTTCATTATCATTGCATTAACTAATAATCGATTGGTATTTGGTGGAACTTCTATGTTTTGTGAAATTTGGATCGTTTTGGATTTTTTTATTTCTTTCTCGTCGATTGTTGTTAAACTTTCCGTAGAAACATTTTCAGTTTCTTGCGAAATTTGTGATTCTTCTTTAATTGTTATACTAGATTCGATTTTAGAGGTTAATGATACAACCAACAAATCGATCCCATCTTCAATTGTTCCTTTTATAATTGAATCTGAAAATATAGTTTCGATGGTGCCATCAGTAATAGAAACAGTGTTGAGTAGTTGTTTTTGCGAACTCATTCTAACAATGTTTTCAAATGTTTCAATATGTTTAACATCTTGTGTCATTGTAGCTGGTGTCTGATTTGACAATTCCCATTGTTCAACAGATGTTGTTTTAAAATATTTAAACAAATCCTATATATAAAAAAAAATTTTAAATATAGTTTAAAAAAAATATTTTTATATACAAACATCTTTTTTAGTCTCAGTAACTATAGTAACGTTAACTGAGAGTTTTTTGTCAATCGCAAATTTAGTATTGACTTCATTATTGATTTGATCAGTTTTGTAGGCTATGATCTCGTGGAAGTGTTGTTCATTTGATTTGACACAATGAAAATTTGCATTAATCAAGAAAAAAACTTTCAATAATATTAAAATCATTGTAATTAATAATTTTGAAAAAATCTATAATTACTAGAGTATATATAGTTTAGTTTATTCATATATATTTACACAATATTTTTTTCAAAAATATTATAAATATACATTTACAAATTTTAGATAAAATATAGTTATAAGTGCTTTACGTGCTTTTTTTATAAATTTAATAAAATTTGTTTTTAAAGATTCATTGCATTTTTAAATTTTGTTAAATTTATTGCATTTTTTTAACATAATTTATGTATTATTCTTATTTATTATATTAAAATATTTAAAATTTTGATAAAACACATAAATAAAAATACTACGTGATAAATTTATTTTAATTTTATTAAACTAAATATTTCTGTATATACATATGCTAATGTATATACATAATATAAATCATGTAATATAAATATTATAAAATTAAATATTAAGGTATTATGGTTAATAGTTAACTGTAAAAATAAATTTAGTTATTAAAATTATATTTTGTTTTGTAAATTTAATAATAGATATTAATACCTTAATAAAACATATTTAATACTAAACTATTTAACAATAGTAATTTTATTAAATTATATTAAATTTAATATATGGAGAATTAAATTAATTTTTAATTTTTAATAAATAATATATTTAATAAATTATTATAATCTTTTTTTTAAAAAAATAGTAAAATATTTATAAACAGTAATTAGATTTTAATTAACATTTACACTAATAAATTATTTAATATTTGATTTGTTTATAATTTGTTTATATAATACATACAAAACTGTGTTGATATTGTATTAGATATGCTGTCAATATTGTATTTTTTAAAATTTTAAATCATATATATAAAAGCTATGAAATTTACGTTAAAATTTATTATTATTATTATTATTATTATTTATTATTTATTTAATCAAAATTTTTTCAATCCAATCAATATAATTAGCAATATTAGGCATAACACTGATTGGATTTTTATTAGCCGGCCTCCAACTGACAACACTACAACATAATGAACGATCCGATTGCTTATATATATAACATGAGCCGCTATCGCCTATTATAAAAAACAAAAATTTTGTTAATAACTATTATTATTAACTTTTTGTTGTTGTTTTTAATTTTTGATTGTAAAATACAAATATATATTTTTTTCTAAATTTAATTATACTAAAATTAATAATATAATCATCGGATTAATCATCGTTAATATACTGTATTAATAGACTATATAATATAAATAATAAAATTATATTTCAACAATATTATTATTATTATTTAATAAAAAAACTACCTTTATCATCTTTTGATGATTTAATATAGGTGCTATACTGCGAACCGGGCGGTGTACTGGGCAATATACATAGATAAGCATCAGTGGGCGTAAAATTAAAACTATAATAACCGGGTGGCCGTTCATTGAAACCCATTGAAAACGATTTGAATTGTTGAAATTGTTTTAGACATTGACCAGTAGTTAATGAATAGGCATTGGCGTATTGCAAACGTACGGGCGTTTCCGATGGTGTCGATGATGTCTTTTCATGATGACCCCCATACCTATCTAAACTACCACTCCATCGACCCCAACCGGCAAATTCCAGTATCCGATTGGCTACCGATAGCCCTGGTCTGGGCAAACATATACTGTTGACTTTAAATTGATCATGATCAATTTGATAATCTATTTGTTGAACTGTTTCAACCAATGCCAGATCATTTAAATGATTATTAACTTTATCATATTTTTCATGTATAAATACATTTGCAACATCTAAGTGAATAGCATTTTCATTATCGTATTTTAATAGACTGTTTGTACCATAAATTATTGAAAAATTTTGTTTCGGTTGATAAACACTATTAATTGTATTACCGTTTGTTCTATCAATATATATATAATATAATATTAGTTATGTATACAGTATTAAACAATTATATATTAAATTACTTAATAGTTTTTTTTATTACTTAACTAGCTAAATTTTTATTAATTTATTTGAATATAAACTAAACTAATTTTTTTTATGTTTTTTTTTTGTATTAAAGTAAATATATTTACACGCAATGGGCAGCTGTTATAATAAAATGTTGATTAATAATAGCACCACCACAAAAACTATCAAATCTTTTATTATTATTATTATTATTATCTTTTTTATACAATGATACCATCCAAGGAAATTGATATTGTTTGGCCTCCAAACCATAGTGTACTCTATATACAGTATATAAATATCAGGGGGTTAAGCAATGGGGGGTAAAAGCAAATTACCTAAAATAGTGTTTTTAGAATTTGACCCCCCCCCTTCTAGACTATTGTTGGTAAAATGTTGAAAATTGTTAAAAAAAATTGTTACTTAAAAAAAGAGAAATTTATTGATTATAAAAATAAATAAAATCACATAAAACTGATCTAATAATAACATTATTTTAATACAGTATATATATCAGGGTTAAACAATGGGGGGTAAAAGCAAATTACCTCACCTAAAATAGAGATTTTTTTTAGAATTTGACCCCCACCCATCTAGACTTTTTGGCAAAATGTAAATAATTAAAAATTGTTATTATATTCAAAAAAAAAAGAGAAATAACCTGTTATTATGTTTTTAAAATTTATATGAATTTATTGATTATAAAAATAAATAAAATCACATAAAAAAACTAAAATCTAAAAATAACATTGGGTCGATGTTATGGGATGGGATCAACTGGACAAAAATATCCATAAAAATTATTATTTTTTAATAATTTGATTGTATTTAAAAAAATTTAATTAATAAAATAAATAAATACCTATTAGTAGTAGTAATAGTTGTATCAAACAGTGTAATACCGCAGTGTTGTTGCGATAATCGGCTAAAATAATTGTAATCCAATGGCTTATTGCATGCATTCAAACATTTTTGATTAGTTGAACACAATTGTTGGCAATTATTATCATTATCTGCTTGTTTAACCATGCTCATTTCATGATCGATTATTATGCTATTAATAATTAATAATAAAAATATTATATTATTATTATATAAATGTAAATATAAATAATAATAATTTGTCATGATAAAATATATTATTTTTTTTTAACAAATCAATTATTATATATCATATATGTTTGCTATGAAAACATAGTTAACTAAATAAAACAATATTTTTATTAAAAAAAAATTAATAAAACAAATTTTATTGCTTATGTTTTTTTAAATCATCAAAAAATAATTAATTATAAACATATGTTATAAAAAAATAATTATTATTTCTTAAATAATTTTTTATAATTAAAATACATTAATAATAATAACATGAATAATAATAATAATGAAAAATTTATATATATATATACTTAGATGATGATGATAATAATAATAATAATAATAACAATAAATAAAAATTTTAGCTAATTTACTGGTATTACAATGATTTGTAAATCAGTTTATTTTAATTTTGATTTTTTTATTTGAGTTCAATAATAACTAATAGTAAATAACAATTTAATACATATATTGCATACCTGTGCAGCAGCAGCAGGTGTGGGTGCTATAATTCAAATCTATTTTATCCTATACTATCCATATATATATATATATACAGTATATATATAATAGTCGCGATCATCAATACGTGTATCAATAGATAAGTGCGAAACACGTACTGGTATTGCTGTGTATTGGCCGCTAGTATTCAACTAAACTATTGGTATTATATAATAGTAATTACTTTTTTTTTGCTATATAGCTTAGTTAGCAAAATGTTTTTGATAAAAATAATTATATTATATATATAAATTTATATAAATATATATATATATATATATTAGCCATTAATTTTAATTAATAATAGATTTTATAATTCTAACTAATTATTTGAAAACAATGCCAATGTATTTGATTTTAAATTTTTCAATGATCCATTAATCAGCATTAATAATACAATAGAATTCAATAGAAACTATTTATTATTATTATTATTATTATTATTATTATAGATATTTCCGTCAATAAAAGTATTAATTTATTTTTTTTAATAATTATTATTTAAGAGTACTTATATTTTTAAGTTTAATTAGTTTCAGGCATTACTTAAGACAGGAAATAAAAAAACTGTAATTTTAAGCCAAAAATAATAATAATAATAATAAATTTATACCGTATATTCACGCATATAACCCCACCCGTAGCAATTAAGGAGCTATCAATGTGAAACTATCGAACAAATAACTATAAGATAAAGCCAATTGAATTCCATATTGATTTACAAATTGGATAATTGAATTACACTATTGAAAAATTTTGAATTTATTTTTTTAAAAAAATTTATATTACATTGAACCCCGAATTTTTTCTACCCCAAGACTTCATATATACATATTTATATATATATATATATATATAATAGTCCTAGTGGTGGTATATGTAAGATACAGGTCGTTGATCAAAATGTTAATTTTTAAATTTTAAATACAAAAAAATATATATATAAGGGGTGTGCTATATGCGGTATATATACGGTAATTAAAATAAAAACAACTACTTGCGTCAATAAACCAGATGGACAAATTTAAATATCAGATAGAATTTAAATATAATTTAAATTTTCGAAATATATATCGAAATAAAAAAATTTATTTTTTTGTAATTTTTTAATTAAAATTAACAAATATTATCCATAGAATTGACGTCAATTAGAGGCCGGTATATAAATTATATATATATATATATATATATACAGTATATACTGTATATTAATTTATATACTGGTCTCAGATTCTGACGTCAATTCAATGATAATATTTATTAATTTTAATTAAAAAAAATTTTTTTTTTTTTAATAATTTCGATACAATTAAACAGAGTATAAGATATATATATAAGCCGGTAGTGAATGTGTCAAATCAAATCACTTTTTTTATTATATTTTAAAATAAATATATAATAAAAATTCAATCAAACAAACAAACAGAAAAAGTGGAAAATTTTATTTCTGATCAACAATGAATCGATTTGTTAAAGTTTTAATTGTTTCAATGATAAGTGTTGTTATCATTGGTTTTCGTAAGTATTTTTTTGTTTTGTTGTGTTATTTATTTATTTTTAAAAAAATTAATTTTAATTATTATTTTTTTAATAAATTAAAATTATAGTATCAACCATTGTTCAAGCTGTACCTGAACCTAAACCACTAGAATTGGAGGGAGACCCATTTCGATAAATTACAGCCTCAAAAAAAAATTTAATTAATTAATTATAAAACAGCTTTAAGTAATTTTTTTTATTAAAACAAAAACATATTATATAAATATAATTAGAATCAAAAAAAATTTTTTATTATTATTTTTATCTTATCAACAAAAAAATGTATTAATTTTAAACCAAAAATAAATAATTATAGAAATCATACTTTTGTTACAAAATACTTGTGTTGTTTTTTTAACAATGATATTGATGTTATATACTATATATATATATAATTTATACAAAAATTTATATACAGTAATAATTGTATATATATAAAGTAGAGGTTAGGTTAGGGTAGTGTTCGGTTAGTGTTCGGTTAGTGTTCGGTTAGGGGGGGGGCCGTCAAAAAAACCGTAAGGGTTTCGGTTTCATAGAGACGGATCCGGTACCCAATAGAACGGTTCGGTTTTAGAGACGGTTTTAGAGTCTGGCCTTCACTACTGGACACTACTTCTACCAGTTTTAACAATTGTTTTGTTTTGTAATTCAATTTTTTTAACCGTCAAATCCAAATGTATTTCCATTGAAAACATATAGTAATTATACTCCAGTTTCTCAATGGTATCAATACTGTCGCCGTCGTCCCAGAAAAAATCGCCGACAGCTCTGCCCGACTGATCGAGTAATACCAAACAGATTAATACCTCCTTCCCGAACGGTTCGGTTATTAACGTGATTAGGTTCCAAACTAATTGGTAGTATATAACCGCCCCCGTAGATGGACAGGTATCATACCTATGATCATCGATAACTACATAACCCGGTTTCGATTGATTTAGATTTAAATCATACCATACAGTGTTAGTGTCGGGTAAGTAGGCATTGACTTGTTTTTTTTGTCCCTAATTTATGAGATAATTATTTAGATAACTACCAGTGCTCTAGACTAATACATATCTCATAGAGAAACGGTGAGACCATTACTGCCGGTTCAAACTATAAACTTTTGAAATCAAATGAATAATAATTTTTAAGGTATTTATTAAAACAAATTAAAATTTTTTAAATAACTTTATTAATAAATTTTTTATTATTTATTTAAATCTTTAATAAATATTGAGTAATTTAATCACAAAAAATTATTATTATTATTAATTTTAAGTATTTTAATTTAAATAAGTAAACTTTAAATAAAAAATTTAAATATGTAAATTTTATTAATGTATAATTTTTTGTTGTTGAAAATAAATTTTTATTATAATAGATATACATTTTAAATATATTAACTTATTTTAAATAAATAATAATAATATTTGATTTATTTATTTATTAATAATGATATCTGTATTGTATTATATATTTTTATTATATCTAAATTTGTTTTTAAAACCAAAAATCAAAAAAAAAAATTTATCCTTGGTACAATTTTTTTTTAAATAAAAAAATAAGTTATATATATATATTATTATCATAGATGGCAATACAGTACTGCAGTCAAACAAATATTATATAATATTAAATAATAACAATAATGTGATACTACTGTACGTTTCAAATATTCAAATTTTTTAGGCATACATTTAGTGCTCTGGCATTACATACATACAGTACAGTACACTATAACTCTCAATACAAAACACCAGTTTATCTATCAATATATATAATAATAATAATAATATTTAATCAATCAATCAATCAATTGAATTGATTGTGTGTTTTGTTTTTATTTTTTTGTTTTTATTTTTTTTGTTTGTGTTATTTAATTGATTAACAAGTAATCAAAAAACACGGTTAGGACTACACACACACACACCACATGTCCGGCCATTGGATACGACTGTCCCGACAACAACAACAACGACAACAGCATTGGCGCCGGCAGTGAAAGAGAGAGAGAGACTGAGTGGCCAACAATAGTTAGACCGCCGATAGACACACGTGTGTCTCACTATTAATACCGAAACAACAATGAATAACAACACCCGCCGGACAAGTGGTGGCCACCAATTGTTGGTCGCATCGGCCGTATTGGTTGTATTGTTGGCCTTGGCCGACATCGCCGCCGGTCAGCCACCGCCGCCGCCGTCGACACAACTATCTCTATCGGAACTGTTTTCCTTCGAGAAGTTGGCCCAATACTCGAGTCTGGTCAGTAAACACACACCTCCCGCGGTGCTTAACTATCGGTGCTATATCTATATCAATACCTATATCTAACTGTCCTATCAATCGCACAATCAATAGGCGTCATGTTTTGCCGTATTTCACGAAGACTTTGCCTATTGTAATCGGGAAGCCGAAAAACGTGGCCGCAAATATCTGGACGGTATGGACGAAAATTCTGAATGGGTACGTCGGGTCAAATGTTGCGGTACATGGAAACTAAGGGACTGTTGGGTAAAGTTTGCCCGTCAAAAGTGTACCGCCGATCAAGTTAAACAAGTTAGCCGATTGCCGTATACTTTTATGAAAAATTTGGAGACAACTTGCGGCGACTATCCGGACGGCAGCGACCGCTGTCGGCTGCCTGTCTGGGCAATAGCATCGGCTGCATTGGTCGGCCTATTGCTATTGGCTGTAGCCGTGTTTTTTGCTGTTCGCTGCTATCGGCGCCGCCGACGACTACAAGGACGTGGCAAACAACACTCGGCTTCGGCACCGAACTATCCGTCCGCTGCCATCACTGCTAACGCTGTCGCAACCGCTGCCGAGGAGGAGAAGCTCAAAACTAACGATATGGACAGCGGTAATCATTCGGTTTGAGTGAGTGACCAGTTTTTTTATCGGGTGAAAAAAACTGGCCACTAATTTGTTCCGACAGCTAATCTATATATATATATATATCTCAATAGATAGAGAGTGTTGAGAGTCTATTATAATCTCTTTAATTATTATTAATTAATTAATTAATTAATTTTTTTTGTGGGTCTAATTGTTATTTAATTTAGCGAATTGATTGCAAACTTATTATTATTATTATTTATCATATGATTCGTAGACTTCATTTTTTTTATAATTTTATTTTTAGATAATTAATTAATTTTATTGCAATTTTATTATTAATTTTTTTTGTCTATACTTTTACTTTTTCTCGGGTGCCAAAAGATATGAGATTTTTTTTTATATAATCTTATTTATATTAAACATTAATTATAGTTATTATTAGTTAACAAAAATATTATTATTTTATTAATAATTAGTATATAAAAAAAAAATTAGTTGCAATTTAATTAATCGTTTAACTAATTGTTATGAATTATTATTATTATATGACTTATAATACTATAAATTTTTTGTGTGAATATTTTTTTTTAAAAAAACTAAATAATTAATTCAAACAATTAATTTGCTCAAACATTTGACATATATATAGCTATAAATTGTGACATCAATTGTGACTTAATTTAATTGATAGCAAAATTTTTTTTATAATACTTTACACAAACACACATTGAAATTATAATAAATAAGCTAACGATAAGAATTAATTAACTAAATAATTTTTTTTAGCTATTTTTTTAATACTTAAAAAACTACATTTAATTACATGATTGCCATATTTACTATATATATATATAGTAAACATAGATTTTAAATGCCAAAAAAAACCCTTTAAAAAAATTTTACTACAAAAATGTACTTAAAAATTAATTATATGAATATATATATATATATATATATATATATTGCAAACATTTTTTTTATCTATTGTAATACATTATTAATACACTGTTAAATAATAATAAGTACCGGTAGTTATAATACATTAATATTTTATTTTTTAAATTATTATTTATAATTACATTATTATATTTATGACGTGTGTGTGTATAATGTGTGATAATGTGCTCACAATTTATTTTTATTATATTATATATTTTTATGATATCATATTTATTATTATTATTATATTATTATCAAAACTATCACTTATTTTATTTTGTGTGTGAATTTCAAGAGCTCTTCAATTGAAAATTGAAAACTGATTTTTTTTAAATATATATTTTTTTTATTATTTCAAATCATATCCATATAAATATATAAATAAATATATTATATATATATTTATTTAGTATATAACAACTTTTTTTATTAGATAAATAAATATATTTTTTCATATAATCGCAATTTTTATGATATGTTTTTTTTATCAATTATTATAATAATAATAATTAATTACTTATTTTTTTTAATAATACAGTTATCTCTCAGTTAATATTTTTATACTGTATTTTGTTTTTATACATTTACACTGGTGTTAAAAAAGAAATTATTTTTTATATATATATATTTAAATATGAAATATAATATTTATTATATAACAAAACAACAAATATTTTTTAAAAATAATTATTGTAACTATTATTATAATAATGTGTAATAATAGATAAATAAGCCATGACTTTTTTTTAAATATTGATATTAATAAATAAATAAATATTTTTATTCATAATTATTAATATAATTATTTATTTAAGAAAAATTTCTATAAGAAAAACAATTAATTAAATATTTAAAAAAATAATATTTATTTTATTTATTTATTTATTTATTTTAAAAAATGAAATAACAATTATATAAAAAAAATATTTTGATTATAAAAAAATAATTAATTATTGATATATTATATAAATATATATTTATTTATTTTTTTAATAATATAAAAAACTACTAATAATAATAATATTAATTTAATTTTTTAATTATATATTAAATCCATAAATATTAGAGACGTTTATAGACCCGGACACAGACCACACCGTTGGCCGTCGATGTCTATAATAATAATTAAATCAAAAAATATTAACACACATACACAGGTGCCTAATAAACAAAAACTACCGGTGCCTGTGGACTACCGGCCACAGACCACCCGATTAATTAACTACTACTTACCACTGTTAGTACGTCGCCGTTAAACTCTCTGACATACTTGACCTCTTTGCCATTGTCTACCTGTGTTTGGATCAGTTTATTGCCATCGAGTGTCATCACCGACTAAATAAAAAAAAGACAACCACAAAAAAAATCAGACAACTGTCCACCCACACCCACCCCTATCAATAATAAACTTTATGGGGGGAAGGGGGTATGGTATACAAACATACCTTAACTTTTTTCCCGTCCAGCCGTTCCTCTTCAAACTCTTGGCCCAAAGTAAAGGTTACCGACGATGTCTTTATGGATGTAATGGTTTTGAATGTAAACGAATCGCCGTCGCGGCTGATCTCGACCGTCGGCGATGCAGTTCCGGCCATCTTTCGCATCATAAAATTGATGCCCAATTCTTTCAAGAAGTTATCAAAATTGTCACTTTTATCCAATTTCCATTTGCCAGCAAATTCAGCCATTGCTCTACTATTTTTTTGTGGTGATAGTTTGGATGTAGAAGTGGAAGAATATTTAATTAATAAAACAGGTTTTTTTTAGTGGTAAGAGTGAGAGAAGTGATTGTCTTTTTTGCTGTTTTTTTCAACGATATATATATGCGATATATTTCTAACGCCTCTCTTATCGGACTCTTGACAATGACAAGAGAGAGTCAGAGAGAGAGAGAGAGAGAGTCAGAGAGAGAGAGTGGTTATCAGTGACTCTAAAGTCCATGACTTGTCTAAAGTCTTTTGCAATTAAATGAAATAAAAATTGAAATATTCTCTCTCTCTCTCTCTCTCTCTCTCTCTCTCTCTCTCTCTCTCTCTCTCTGTCTCTCTCTTATGAAACTATGACCTTTGAATGGACGCAAAAAAATCGTGTTTCTGATGAATGGACTCTGAGATCTCCGGGATTTTATTTTTTTAGTAAATCAAATAATATTACAGTATATTATCATTGAATTGGATTCAAGCCAAACATACTGTAGTTTTTTTTATTAAATACATTTTTTTACGGACAGTTAGATATCAAATGTTAGGAAGGGGTGACAGTCCAACAGTCAGTTCCGGCTCTCAGTTTTTTTAAAAAACGGACTGTACTATCCATGTATTGCTTATTAGCAATTACTTAATACTTTAAAAAAAAAAACTATATTTATTATAATTATTGCTAATTATAGTCACATGACTTGACTTTTGACTGGACAGTTGTCTGGAAACAGTAGTATTAGTAGTTTTCATTTATTTTATATTGAACAGGTAGATACAGGTAAAACTAACGCAAACAATATAAGAAGGCGGTCAATCGATCTTGAGCGGCGTATTTTTTGAATAACTTTTAAACGGTTAGAGATAATTTAATTCTGTAAAATACATTTAAGAATATCATATCGACCACACTTAATATACACGAAATCACAAAACTAGGATGACCAGATATACAAAATATCGGGACAAACGTAAGACACTATGCTACAGGTCAAACTACAACAGACTAATTTTTTATGACAATGTAAATTTGTAGTCAAGAAATAATAGTTTAATATAAAAAAAGAATCATCAAAATCGGATTGGTACTTTTATTTTTATACCTTGTTAAATTTGTCATAAATCACATTGTATAAAATTGTCTAAAATAAAATTGACGTTATTTGTAAATATTATATACTTATTAAATGAAGATTTTCATGTAATCACTAAATCTAAAAATAAAATTTTAATATGTCGACTAGTTTTCGAAATAATCGACTCAATATAAATTATAATATCAAATTACAATAGTGTGATTTATATTGAAAGTCGATTATTTCGAAAACTAGTCGACATAATAAAATTTTGTTTTTAGAAATAATAATATAATTGAAAATTTAATCTTCTAAATATATAATAGTCATAAATAAGGTCAATTTTATTTTAGACAATTTTATACAATGTGATTTATGACAAATTGAACAAGGTATAAAAATAAAAGTACCAATCCGATTTTGATGATTCTTTTTTATATTAAACTATTATTTCTTGACTACAAATTTACATTGTCATAATAAATTAGTCTGTTGTAGTTTGACCTGTAGCATAGTGTCTTGCGTTGGTCCCGATATTTTGTATATCTGGTCATCCTAGTTTTGTGATTTCGTATATATTAAGTGTGGTCGATATGATATTCTTAAATGTATTTTACAGAAATAAATTATCTCTAACTGTTTAAAAGTTATTCAAAAAATACGCCGCTCAAGATCGATTGACCGCCTTCTTATATACCGGTATAGTATATTATATTACATATATATAGCATTATACAAAAAAAAATTAGTTTATTTTTTTTGGTTAATTATATATATTTTTTTCTAAATGAGTTTATTGAATGTATTCAATGACTATCACAAAAAAAAATTTATTTATTTATTATTATTATTATTATTACTAATGTTTTGTTAAAGTCATTACTATTAAATATAAACAATTATTATTATTATTATTATTATGATAATTATGACTTTTACTTTTAATATAAAAACATAAACTCATAATTAATATTATTTTTTTTTGATTAAATATTTTTAAAAAAATAATTAAGAGTCTAGAGATTGGCTTTAAATGTAGTCTAAATTTTTTAGTCTAAAATTAATTATTAAATTAATAGTATAACTATTTTTTTCAAAAATATATATCAAGTTAACAAGTTTAAATAAAAATTAACTTATCTAGATTTTTTTTAAATTATTAAATTTTTTATAAATTTAACTAGTTTAAAAAAATAATTATAATCATAGTATCTGTATTATTATTACTGATTGTTCATGTACATTTTATTTATTTTTTTAAATTATCATTTAATATGTAATATGAACTGAACTTTAACATTTTAACAATATTTTTTTTTTTGTTTTAAAAATATATATATATTAAATAATCGCATATAATTTTATCATATAATTATTACAATCAAGTATTACATTACATAATAGTTGGAGACAATACACACTCAAACAAAAAAATTATTGACAACTAATTGGATGTGTATTCAATATATATACAGTAGTAGTAGTAGTAGTAATTAAATACAGTATTTATTGGAAATATATATTAATATATGATATAATAAATATATATATGATATTGAATTAAATATTGAATTTTGAGACAAAAAAATATATATATAATAATAATAATAATAATAATAATACAGTGTATATAGTATACAATGTGTGATTAATACATAAATAATTTATATACAATTTAAATACATTATAACTACAGTATAATATTTAATATCAACAAAAAAAATAAATGATAAGATTGTCAATTGAATTTTGAAACTCTATATAAACTTTAAATATATATATACAGTATATATATATATATTTGCTTTTGAATACATATTTTAGTACATTTAGAGATTATATTTGATTATATTTTTAATACTCTCTAATTTGATAATATTGTATATATTATCTATTAATATTTATATGTTATATAATTTATTAACAGATTATATATATATATAAAACTTTTCCGATATTTTAGAGAGAGAGAGAGAGAGAGAGAGAGAGAGAGAGAGAGAGAGAGAGAGGACTTTGGACATTAAAATTTAATATTATATTAGATATATACTGTATATATATATATAAATTAATACTAAAATTTATAGATACTATTACATTAATATTTTGTTGTTGTTAGTAGTTATTAGAGGAAAAAAATAATAATATTTTAGCGACAATTTTAACAATATATTAGTGTAATGTATATATATATATGATATAATGTGAAAACAAATACAGTATCAAATTTTATCATTAAATTAATAATAATGTGTTATAATTTGTTTATAATTAAAATCTATATACAGTATATATATTGAGAGAGAGATTTAAATTATAAACAAATTATAACATTATTATTAATTTAATTTAAAAATTTAACGATAAAATTTGATACTATATATATATATATATATATATATATATATATATATATATATGTGATATAATAGTTATCATTAAACACTACAAACTAATTAGGTATCACTAGTACTAGTAGTAGTAGTAATACTCCATACCTGACGGCATCACTGATTGTTTGCGCAAAAACTTTGAACATATTATTATTAGTTGTTTTACACAATTAATTAATTACTTTATTTTTTGTTGTTGTTGTTGTTGTTGTTGATAGGCTATGAATAAATAAAATTGATGTTTTTTTTATTTTTTTTAAAAAATAGTTGAATGGATGGATGGCTGGCTCAGGTAGTTGTTGTTGTATATATATATGAATATATTTTGGTCGCCACAACACAACACACACACATATATAACTTATACCCAACAAAACATGATATTTACAGTATATTATACTACAGTATAGTATATATCATATGAACAAAATTTTGTTATTGAAACTGTCTGTCTGTCTGTATGTATGTATGTATGTATGTATGTATGTATGTATGTATGTATGTATGTATGTATGTATGTATGTATGTATGTATGTATGTATGTATGTATGTATGTATGTATGTATGTATGTATGTATGTATGTATGTATGTATGTATGTATGTATGTATGTATGTATGTATGTGTGTGTGTGTGTGTGTGTGTGTGTGTATGTATGTATGTATGTATGTATGTATGTATGTATGTATGTATGTATGTATGTATGTATGTATGGATGATACAGCACAGGGAGTATTTTAGTTGAGAGGGGAGAGAGAGAGAGAGAGAGAGARAGAGAGAGAGAGAGAGAGAGAGAGAGAGATAGAGAGAGATAGAGAGAGGAATAGGGAAAGGGATGATTGAAATGTTTGTATATATGTCTGTATTTTCAAAAAAAATTTTTTTCAATAGAGTGATAGTAATGTGTGTTTATAACATACCGTACCGTAAATATACAGTATATTTGGTATTATTATTAAGTGGTTTTTCAGCATTTTGTATATATATATAAAATTATTATTATTATTATTATTAATATTTATTATTAATTAATTTTTTTTATTATATTATATATATATATATAAACTTTATATTTATACACTGTATGTATGTATACTGTTGGAGGTCATAGTTTTTTTTATATATAATATTATTATTATTTAAAAATTAAAATTACTTTTTATTTTATTAAATTATTTTTGTTTTGGTTTGTTTGTTGAATAGTATAGCCATTTGTCAATAAAATTTAATGTTTTTTTTAAAAGAAAAATTATTGATTATTATTATTATACTACCTGTACGTACATATCATATATATATATATATATATTTGTATGTAATGTAATATATTTGTTGGTATTTGTAATGTAATGTAATGACACTGAAATATAAGCAGCACTTATAATATCAAATAATAATAATAATAATTTAATTGCAATAACTTGTTAGATAAAAATTTTATATTACTTGTAGTTTTTTTTTAATAAATAATTATTATTTTAAACTTTTATTTGTTTGTTTATTTATTTTTTTAAGCAATTTAAATTAAAATGGGAATTTTCCCAATTTATATTTTCCCTGTAATATACATTAGATTTTTACTTTAAACTAAATAAAATAATAATAAATTTTATCATATAATTTTATATAGTGACTAAATATAAATCAAATTAAACCTGTAATTAATATATAATTTGGGTTATAATTAACTAGCTAAATATTGAAATTTTTAACTTGCTTAATATTATTATACCTATAATATTATACAGTAATATAGTCAATAACTTTGTATAAAATAATTTTTTAATTATTATTAAATTAATATTATTTTATATAAATAATAATTTTATATTTATGGCAATACTAGCAAATTTGGATTATTATAGTAAAATAAATTATATATTAAATGTTTTTCAAAAAAATGTTTTTTTTAAATGTTTATATATTTATAATTACTAATTTAGAAAATTACTATTTTATTTCTCACATTAAAAAAATATTAATTTATTCATACATTTAAAAAGTTGTTACAAAACTTTAATAAAATTATAGCAATTTATATATAAAAAAATTGTTGCTCTCATTCATAAAATTATTACATTAATAAAAGTTTTTAAATTAATATTAACTTAAAATTGTTTAGAAATTTTGTTAAATATCTAATTAATTAGTTTTATTTCCTCAAAAAAAATTATTTATGTATTAATTATTATTATTATTTATTATAGTGTATATTATATACTGTTTATACTGTAATTAAATATTTTTAAAAATCTATAAAAAGATAATTATTTTAATTATAACTATATATAATAACTAAATAAAACTATTTTTTCAGAAAAAAAGATAACATAACATAAACAAAATAAATTGTTATTTAATATTTGATTTAATATTTTTATATTTATAAATCTAATTATATTATATAACTAATAAATATAACAACAATAACAACATTAAAAAATATATCAAAATTTTATTAAAACAATAAACTAATAAAAACAAAAAACATATTACAAAAATTTTTTCACATGTATTTTAGTTAATTGGGGGAAAAATAAAATTTAAAAATAAAACTGCAAATTATTGCATTAAACTAATCAACAAAAACAGATATTATTATATAATTTATTATATATATATTTAAAATTAAAACAATTTTTTTAGCTTATTATCATCAATGCCATATGTTTTGATTATAAAATCAATATCAATAATAATTATAATTTGAAAATAATTGTCAACTCAATCAAAATTTTTATTTTATTCACAAAAAAATAACATTAGTTTTGCATAAACATAAAAAATAATTAATATATATATATAATTTGTTAAACAACCAAATTATTAGCAATAGATATATTTTTATGTTTAATATCTAATGATAATAAAATTATTGAATAATAAATAAAATGTTTATAAATGCTAAATTAAAAAATGCACAAATAAATAATAATAATAAATAATAATAATGACATTTTTAAAACTTAAATATCTATAGCTATAACATTATTAGTATTATTAATAACTTTATTATAGATTAATTTTAATTTTATATAAAAAATAGTAGTTTTATAATAAAAAAAATATTAAAACAATATTATTAAAAATTATCATCAATTATTATTATTATATATTCAATAAATATAATCTTAATTATAGTATACTACTTGTAATAATTTTTTTTGTTTAGTAATTAAAAAATAATCAAAAATGCAAGCAATTATATATTTATTTTTATTTTTATCAATAAAATGACAATAAATGGAATTATTGTTATTATTATTATTATTATTAATATTTATAAGTGTTTTACATTAGAGAGAGAGAGAGAGAGAGAGAGAGAGAGAGAGAGAGAGAGAGAGAGAGAGAGAGAAAAAAATTTAATCTTAAAATATCAATAAATCAATTAATAAATATAAATGAAATCGAAATGAATTGATTTACAAAAAAAACGAGACTTTAAAAGTTAAAAGTCATTAAAATGATAGACTGATTGAAAACAATTGTTGAAAAAACAAAGACCAGTAGTAGTAGTAGTAGTAGTAGTAGTAGTAGTAGTTCTCAACCAAAGAGTAGGAAAAAAAGATGCCATCGTTTAGCCGACTGATGATTGTTTGGACACAACTATTGTTATTGTTGTCATTAATGATTTTGGTCATCAATGGTCAACAACAGCTTCAACAACAATGTAAGTGTTTTTGAAGTTTTATTTCTGAAAATTTTTCTGTTATTTATTCTGTTATTTTTTTTGTATATTAAATAATAGTAATAATTATTATTTAGACACCAATTCATTGGACATGAATACTAAGGACGTCCAGATTAATGTCGGCGACAAAGGATCGTTCAGATTGTTCATCGAAAAGTTAGTGAATAAATAAAATACATATGTATTGACCATCACATCCCTCTCTCCCCCCCTATAATACAGACCGCCGCCGACCGGACTGACCGTAAATGTTAGCATTGGGTGCGACGGTAGCGACGAATGTCATACATTCACAGCCGACGATAACTACACTATTCCCGTAAATAATCTGCTGTTTACGGCTCAGACCACTGAATACAGGTTTCGATTGCGTGGACTTAATCCGGGACACGATGTCATAGTGGCCACAGTTGTGACCAAACAATCGGGTGTCGAGTATGAAAAAACCGAACAAAATCTAAGACAAACAACTAAATTAAACATTACTTTTGTCTTTTTTGCAGCGATTCCGATGCCTTTGTACGCGTACGTGTTGGCCGGTCGCGCGGTTGGGCAATAGCTGCCGATGTTGTCGGTTGGATCTATTTCCTGGTCTGGTCGGCCTCTTTCTGGCCACAAAACATAACCAATTGGCGCCGAAAATCGGTAATCGGTTTCAACTTGGACTTTGCTGCCCTCAATGTCACGGGTTTTGTATTCTATACGTTCTATAATTCGGGACTATATTTCTCGACCCTAGTCCGGGAATTGTATGAAATACATATTCCGAGGTCAGAAATACCGATCCAATTGAATGATGTTATCTATGCTATACATGCGGCCGCCGTTACTGGGATAACACTTGTCCAGTGCTATGTCTACGAAAGGGGTGACCAACGTATGTCATTATTGGGCAAACTGTTTACCGGCGGTGTTTGGTCGGCAGCCGCTGTCCAACTGATTCTCTGTTTAGTCGGCGTTGAATCGTGGCTAACATTTCTCTACTATTTTTCTTACGTCAAACTTACGGTCACTTCTGTTAAATATATACCACAGGTTTGTCTGTTTTGTTTATCTTATGTCATATATATATACTTATCGTACATACCGTTCCCATCTCATACCCTCTGAGACAACAGGCCTACTTTAACTACAAGCGCAAATCGACCCACGGGTGGTCAATGGCCTTTATCTATATGGACATCAGTGGCAGTGTTATGAGTCTATTGCAAATGATATTCATTGCCTATAATTACGGTAAATGTCTTATAAATAACTGATAATCGGTATAAATAACCACTTAATTCACTGATGATTACCGCAGATGATTGGAAAACCATTTTCGGCAATATTGCCAAATTCGGACTATCCGTGGCCTCCATTGCCTACGATATACTATTCTTTCTCCAGGAGTTTGTCTTCTATCGCAATAGTCATCCGAATCTACCGAAAGAGTTGGCGTCCACTGAACCGCTGGCCAACGACTCAATAACAACAACGTTAGCCAACGGCGGCGGTGGTAATGACTATCATCGGAAAGTATCGGGCATTTCGGTTGCCAGTATCGGCTCTGTAATGACCCAATCGTTTAACGATAAGTCAAACGGCAAACGAAAGTCAATTGTTTCGATAATTTCGGCAAAAAGTATGGACGGATTGCGGGCAGCCTTTAGTGAACAACAGTTTCACGTCAACTGATTGTTGAAGACATAGTTAGTGATACAAGTATTTTGTTGTTTGGTGTCAATTGTCGCCCACTCTGGTCGTCGCCTCCTCTCTCTCTCTCTCTCTCTCTCTCTCTCTCTCTCTCTCTCTCTCTCTCTCTCTCTCTCTCTCTATCTGTCATATCTAGCCATTAATATCGTAATGTCAGTACTGGTGTCAGTGCTTTCATTTATAAATTATTTTTAGCTTTATTTTGATTTTTTTTTAAAAAAATATATAATTTTATATAGTATTTAATAACTGAAAAAACAAATAATTTAATAATTAAAATTAAAAAATATTTTCAAATGTTTATGAATTATAATAATAAATAATTTTAATCACAGTCTCTCTCTCTCTCTCTCTTTCTCTAACAACAACTACTACTACTACTACCGTCTGTGACCCGCAACCAGAATATTGTGACCAAATTAGCGGTAAATAATAGACCAAATGATACGTTCATTCAATTGATTGTCTTTACGGTGTCTATCGATATATGTTTTCAAACAATTGACGGCAAAGTTTGTCTTTTTTTTTGTTCTTATTGTTGTTGTTATCGGTATTTTTGCCGACGGGTTGATCGCTATTTTTTGCAACTATTACTTCATTATCGGTAAATCCATTGACCATCACTTTGTCGGCGGCAATGATATTGTCGTTGAATTATTAGACTTGAATTTTTTTTTTCGCTGATTTTCAATCAATACATTTCAATACAGTTAATAGTTTGTATTACTTTGTAATTGTTGGCCAACGACGGCGGCGGCGGCGATGATAATGACGGCCATCACTATTATTAACCGATCGGTGATAACCAATGCGGCGGCGATTTTGATGGCCACTGAGTTCCTTATCTTCTTCTTCTACATTCTTCATCATTGGACTCATTGGACAACTAAATGGACGGTCAGTTCGCGGCGTTTTTTGTGTCCGATTTGATGCCGTAGTAGTAGTCGTTGTCGTTGTTGTCTTCGGTATTGCCGTTCATTCACTGACCGATATCGGCGATCGGTCTTCAGTCGTCGTCGTCGTCGACTTCGGCGGCAATTAATTTGATTGATTCAATGACTGAATCAAAATAGTTTTTTTTAATTATAAATCGGTCAGTAATTGTCGTATTGAAATAATCGGTAATTTTATTATTTTTTTGGTCACATTTCCGATGAATTTCCGAAAAAAAAATATTTTTATTTATTATTTATTTATTTATTGTTTTTGTTTTCAAATAAATATAGTATTGAATAAATAAACTGATAATAAACTACTATTTTGGTCCCATTTCTTACTATTATTGGCTAATAGTTAGTCAATGAGTTGTTGACTGTATGAAAAAGGTACAAAAAACTATAAATGCATTGAACTATATGAACGCCAAATGGGCGCCAAATTCAAAGCGACTATCAATTGAAATGAAAATTATATATTAATATATTTTTTAAAAATTATTAATTATGATATTATAAATATATAAATAATATTTAGCTTAAATTAAATTTTTTTTAATATAATAAACTAAAAACATATTTTAATTTCTATTAATTTTCATTTTTAAAAAAAATCATATAATAAATATGCAACAATTTTTTTAGTTGAATTTTTTTTTACATTAAATAATAATAGCCCTTATTTAAGATAATATTATAATTAAATAGTTTTTAATTATATAAAAATATTATATATAAAAATATATATTATATATATATATTGAAATTATTTATACACCATATATATATACAGTATATATATTAGATGTAAATATAATAATAATAATAATAATTAAAATTCAATTAACAATCTAAAACATATTATAATTAGATAAAAATTATTTCAATTAAATAAAAACAATAAAATGATAGCACAAATATTTAATATTTTATCTTGTACATATAATCAATCCACTTATAAAAGTAATAATAATAATAATAATAATAATACAATGAAAATGAAAATATATATAAATATATATATTTATATATAAAAAATAATAGTATATAAATTATAACATATATAGTATAATAATATTTTTTTAATATATAATTAGGTAATAGTTTATAACTTATAAGATATCATAAAATCATTGAATTATTTAATTGTTTTATTTATTTTTAAAAAATTACTCACATTTTTTTCAAACATTTTCAAACATACAAATATAAGATATGTAATCAATTTTTATTTTATTGTCAACTCAATTGATGTCATAAAAAATATATATAAATTGATAGACAAGACAAATGTATTTCATTTACAATTATTTTTTTTATATATATTTTGTTGATTATTGTTGTCATTACTTGAATAGTGATAATCAGTTCCCATACCACACAAGACATCATATTTTTTTAAATAATAAGACAATTATAACAATTGTATGATTCAATTGAAACAATTTTTGTGTTACAGTTATCTATGAGATAAATGGGATTTAAAATATAATAATAAATAAATACAAAATTTTTTTTTTATTTTATTAGATTATTAAAAAACTACTTGAAATATACAAATGTTATCATAGATTGGGATTATCTCTACAAACAATAATAATAATTATTTAATTAATTAAATAATTAAATTGAATTAATCAATTGGTTTATGACTTATTTTTTATATGTAATTACAAGTGTTTTACATCAGAGACGAAAAAAAATGTAATCTTAGATAAAAATGAAATTAAAATTAATAATTAAATAATGAAAACGAAATGAATTGATTAATTGATTGGCAAAAAAAAATTATATATGTATTAAAAGTATTAAAAGACTTTGAGATCAAACAAAGAAACTAATGATTGAAACAATTGAATGAATGAAAAATCAAAGACCAAGAAGTAGTAGTAGTTCTTAGCCAAAGAAGAAGAAGAAGATGTTGTCATCGTTTAGCCGATTGACGATTGTTTGGACACAACTACTACTGTTGTTGTTGTTGGTCGCCATCAATGGTCAACAACTTCAACAACAATGTATGTGTGAACTGATTGAAATAAAAAGATTTTTCTTATCTTTAAAAAAATTAATATTTTTTGTTTGTGTCCTAAAAAATAACTAAAAAAAATTCAGATAAAAATTCATTGATTATGAACACTAAGGACGTCCAGATTAATGTCGGCGACGAAGGATCGTTCATATTGTTCATCGAAAAGTTAGTGAATAAATAAAATACATATGTATTGACCATCACATCCCATACCCCATACAGACCACCGCCGACCGGACTGACCGTCAATGTTAGCATTGGGTGCGACGGTAGCGACGAATGTCATACATTCACAGCCGACGACAACTACACTATACCCGCAAATAATCTGCTGTTTACGTCTCAGACAACTGAATACAGGTTTCGATTGCGTGGTCTTAATCCGGGACACGATGTCATAGTGGCCACTGTTGTGACCAATCAATCGGGTGTCGAGTATGAAAAAGGCGAACAAAATCTAAGACATATGACTAAACTAAACATCACTTTTTGTCATTTTATTGCAGCGATTCCGATGCCTTTGTACGCGTACGTGTTGGCCGATCGCGCGGTTGGGCAATAGCTGCCGATGTTGTCGGTTGGATCTATTTCCTGGTCTGGTCGGCTTCATTCTGGCCACAAAACATAACCAATTGGCGCCGAAAATCGGTAATCGGTTTCAACTTGGACTTTGCTGCCCTCAATGTCACGGGTTTTGTGTTTTATACGTTCTATAATTCGGGACTATATTTCTCGACCCGAGTCCGGGAATTGTATGAAATACATATCCCGAGGTCAGAGATACCGATCCAATTGAATGATGTTATCTATGCTATACATGCGGCCGCCGTTACTGGTATAACACTTGTCCAGTGCTATGTCTATGAACGGGGTGACCAACGTATGTCATTATTGGGAAAACTGTTTACCGGCGGTGTTTGGTCGGCAGCCGCAGTCCAACTGATTCTCTGTTTAGTTGGCGTTGAATCGTGGCTAACATTTCTCTACTATTTTTCTTACGTCAAACTTACGGTCACTTCTGTTAAATATATACCACAGGTTTGTCTGTTTTTTTTTTGTTTATTAGAATTTAATCTTATACTTACCTCCCTTTCCCCCCCACCCTGACCTACAGGCCTACTTCAACTACAAGCGCAAGTCGACCGACGGCTGGTCAATAGCCATGATCTATATGGACATCACTGGCGGTGTTAACGGTTTATTGCAAATGATATTCATTGCCTATAATTACGGTATTTTTTAATTGTGTTTTAAGACAATCGGGTGACCACTTAATTCATTGATGATTACCGCAGATGATTGGAAAACCATTTTCGGCAATATTGCCAAATTCGGACTATCCATTGCATCCATTTCCTATGATATACTATTCTTTCTACAAGAATATGTCTTCTATCGTAATCCACCGAAACAGGAATCGACCGAAACATTGGCCAACGGCGGCGGCGGCGGTGGTAATGACTATCATCGGAAAGTGTCGGGCATTTCATCGGCCAGTATCGGCTCTGTAATGACCCAATCGGGTAACGATAGGCTAAACGGCAAACGAAAGTCAATTGTTTCGATAATTTCGGCAAAAAGTATGGACGGATTGCGGGCAGCCTTTAGTGAACAACAGTTTCACGTCAACTGATTTGAAGACAAGTCTTTGAAGTTAGAAAAATGAAATGATTTTTTTTGTGGTGTTATTTTGCTATCAATTGTTTATTTAATTTAATTTTTTTTTTGTTAATTAAGTTTTATTAGTAATAATTTTAATTAAAAAAAAAACAGTTATTTAATTATCGGTTTTTTTGTGTTTTAGTTTTTTTTATCAAGTTTTTCATCAAATTATTGAACATTTTAATCAAAAAATTATGTTTTATTCTTATATTAAGCGATTGAAAGAGAGAGAGAGAGAGAGAGTCAAAGAGAGAGTCAAAGAGAGAGTCAAAGAGAGAGAGAGAAAAACAGACAGAGAGAGAGAGAGAGAGAGAGAGAGAGAGAGAGAGAGAGAGAGAGAGAGAGAGAGAGAGAGAGAGAGAGAGAGAGAGAGATATTAATTTTTTAGACTTGAAATAACTAAATAAAAATAAATAAAAATATTTGAGTCAATAAACAGATGGACAAACAAAATATCTAATTTTTTTTTTAATTTATTCACTGTTTTATAGTTTTTTTTTATTTTTTAGTCTAAATATCACATTTGCATTGCATATACAGTAGAGTTGACAAACATTTTTTATTTTTTAGTGAACCGAATAAATCTATAGATTTTATTAATACTGTAATTAAAAATTTAAAGTTTTTATTTTTAAAAGAAAAAATATATTACTTTAGACAACAGTCTTATAATATATATATATATATATATTTTTTTTGTTGCAAAAACTTTAATCAACTTTTAAAATCTTAATATAATACAAACATTTTATTGAATTTATATTACAGATATTGTACTGTTATTTATATATATATTATTATAATATTTTTTTCCATTGAAAACCTGGACAGTTGTCAATACTAGTTTGTAGTTTACATGTACTGTAAATATACAGTTAATATATTTTAAAAATGTGTTTCAAACAAATTTAGACCATTTTGTTGTAATCAATATTACAATAGTACTATAAAAAAAAGTCTACATAAAAAAGTACTGAAACTTTATATACAGTACTGAATACTTTTAATTAAAATTGTTTTTAAATAAAATGAGCGCAAAATTCAAACACAATTTTTTTTATTAGTTTTTAATACTATTTAAATAAAAATAATTCAATTATTTATTTGTTAATTAATGAAAAAACAAAATAATTTTTTTATAATAATTATAAATTAATAAAAAATTAATGAATTATTTACTAATGATTATTGAAATACTGTATAATAAAAAACTAAGTAATACTTTGAGTAAAAAAACTGATCGGTAATCACGAAATCACGGGATTTATTGTCACTGAATCAGTATTTTCGGCGAAAACGCCAATAAGTGATACGCTTTTGACGCCAAAACCAGACACCAATGCCGACGCCAATCAGTACGACCACTGCGACAATGGCCACCAATACGATGGCCCAGAGCGGGAATCGCCAGCACCTATACGTATGGTACGGGAAATCGGAACAATAGATAGCCAGCGGGTTGTCCTGACGTCGGACATAGTCGCCAATACGTCGCTGGTCACCAGCGGTCGGCGGACAATCTGCGGCTACGGCTTCGGCTAAACAGTCACAGTAGCGCCAGATGTTGCAGCAGACCTATAGGGACGGGACAGTTAATTACGTGTTTTTCGCGCGTGTTTTTCTGGTCGTACGTGTTGTTTGTATTGTTCGCTTTCGTGTTGCGGTAGACTATCGTATTCTTCGGAACGAATTCCATCAAATCGGGACAAATATTTTTGATAACAATTAGCCGATTCGGTAGAAACCAGTGACCAACATTGGCCATCAACGGGTAGTAGAGTTTCGATTAGTTTTAGTTGAAAACAGCCGACAGTTGAGGACAACAACAACAACAACAACAGTGAAGAATACAGAAGAAGAAGATGAAGAGGAAGACGAAGACTAACTAATGGCAGACCAAAAGAGACGACCATTTTTTTCCTGTGTTGTTGTTATTGACTGTCTCTTATCGAGAGGACAGTTGTCTTGACTATTATCAGCGCTTTTTTGATTGATAGATAGATAGGTAGGTAAGTGTTTGTAGGGTAGGATAGGGAGGGATGGGTCGGTGTTTGGTGTCAACTGTATGTTATTTATATATAGTGTTATATATTCTGTATATATATACGGGACACCTGTCCTCAAGTGATAGAGGACAGGTGTGTGACTGTATGTATGTGTGTATGTGTGTGTGTGTGTGTGTGTGTGTGTGTGTGTGTGTGTGTGTGTGTGTGTGTGTGTGTGTGTGTGATATGGGAAAGGGTCTCAAAAAAAATTGATTTTTAAAAATAACTTTTTTTTCTGAAAAAAAATTTATTTCTAATATATTTATTTTCTAACGGATTTCCTAATTATAGAAAACATAAGTTTTTTTTATAAAAAAAAAAATAATGTTTTAAATTACAGTTAATATTAATAATAATAAAAAAAACTACAAAAAAAGTATTTTTAAAAATAATTTTTATTTAATTAAAGTAAAAATATTAATTAATTAATTAATTAATTAAAAAACACATGACTTGTTGTTGTGTTATATTTCGTGTGTTTTCAACGATATTTGCGGTCAATATATATATATAAATATATTTGATATCATATAATAACAGATGTTTTTTATATGTAATTTATATATTTATATATATTTTATAATACATTATATAAATTATATAACATATAACCAAACATACAGTAGTAGTAGTAGTAGTAGTAGTAGTAGTTGTAGTAAATTATTACAAACAAAAATTTTTAATTTAAAATAAATGTGTGTTTTATTTTGCCAACCAAACCGGCAAACAAATAATAATATTATTTATTTAGTTTAGTTTTAAAATATAATAATAATAATTATTATTATTATATAGTTTTTGTTTGTAATACTAATATATTTAATAATAATAATAATAATAATAATGATTATTTTTTTTAGTGATTTTCAGTTAATTTCACAACGAAAATGACAAAAATTTGTTTATTCATTGAATTAATTTATTATTATTAGTAATATTTTTTGTGTGTCTTTTATTTTATTCAATATATTGCTAAATGATGACTGAAAACAAAAAATCAAATATCATTTAGAGTAAAGTTTTCTAAATGTAAAGAAAATTATTATTATTAAAGGTTTTTATCATTTATTATTGATGTTATTATAATTATCATTCATTCATTCAATATTATTATTATATTTTAAACATTAGTTTAATTGAAATATTATTATTATTAATAATAATAATATTCAAGTCATTAATTTAAAGTATTTAAAACACCAATTGATATGACATTTATTTATTTCAAATAGTGATATAACAAATAATTTTTTAAAAAACAATTAGATATATCCAGAGTCTACTACTTATTAATATAAAAAAAAAGTTTTTTTTATTTAATATTTTATTTAAATTATTATTTTCTACAAAATATTATCGGTTTTGTAATATATATAATGTTTTTTTCTTTCCAACAAAAAAAAACAAAAATATATATCAAAAAAAATAATAGTTTTTTTTTACTTTTCGTGTCATTACGTGTTATAATAACTAATATTTATTTCATTATTCAATTCAATTAAATATTAAATAATAATATATTTATTATAAATATTATTATTAATTAATTTTCTATTCGTCTCTCAATTTTATTTATTTATTTTTTTTTTTGAAAAGTCATTAAAATAGCATTCAGTGAGTGGAGAAAAAATTGCAAATAATTATTATTTTACGTTTTAGTTTACATATTTTTTTTAAATAAAAAAAGGTATAATAATAATAATAATATTAATAATAATACTAATAAATAATATTCAAATATTAGTATATATATAACGTGTTTTTGGTGTATAAAAACATAACTTTCAGTATATTTTAATAATAATTTGTTTTATTATATATGTATTTAATAGTTATAATAATAATAATAATGTATTAAATGATTTTGAATTTTTTTACAGGAAATTATATTAACTGTATATTAATTTTTATTTAAATATAATATAAACTATAGTACTGTTTATTGATATAAATATTTTTTAAACAACAAATTTTGGTCACAACAACAACAAAATAAACTTTTTTTTAGGTATGTTTTATGTCAACTATTTTATTATTATTATTATTATTATAGTTTAATTAATTTAATAGTAATAATAATATCAAAAACATAATTGAATTAATTATTTAATTATTAAAAAAAAACAAATTCATTATAAAATAATAACTTATTTATTAATGATATATTAATTAATTAAACAAAACAGTAATAATAATAATAATAAACTAATTAATTAATATTAATAGGAATATTCTCGACATACACACCCATACCTGTAGTAATAATAATAATAATAATTATTATTATTTAAGTTTATTATTGTTTTTAATAACATAAATATTTGCAACTTTTTTTCAATAATAATTATTATAATTATTATTAATTATAATTATGTTTTCTTAGTATATGTTTTTAACCAAAAAAATACAAAAAAAATACAAAAAAATTTAGTAATAATTGTTTGAAAACTATAAAAGCTTTTCAATTTCAATAATTAATTAATGAAAAAAAAATCTATACAACCGGTTGCCAATAGCGACCGGTTGGTTGCATATATAAAAAAAACTAACTTTGAATATATATAGTCGGCACGCGATGCGCGGCGCACGTACTGCACGCGCGCGCCCAACACCTGTCTCTTAATAATAGTCTTTAATAATGGTTTTATTATTATTATTATTATTAGCAGATTATCCGTCCGTTTTATATCTCTAAACACACACGCAATAGACTATGACTTCGGGTCCGCCGCCGCCACGACAATGGCCACCGCCGTCGTTGCTGTCATCGCCGCCGATCCCATCGTCGTCGTCGTCGTCGGCGTCGGTCGCGCAGTCAATGGCGGCCTCGTTATCGTCGCACGTTTCGGCGCAGAAGCAGAAAGAATACCAGCAGTTGGTCTGGCAGGTCACACATTCGCCGCACTTTCCGCTTCACGCCCGACAAGTGGCCAACAACAACGGTAACTCTACTACTACTACTACTAGTGGGACAGCAGTGGCGGGTGTCCAACAACTAGTCCAACAACACCAACACCAACATCATCAGCAGCAACAGCAACAGCAGCATATTCAGCACCGACATCAACATCATCAACATGTTTGGCCACAACTAACGGGTTCACTAAACAACACAACAACTACAACAACATCAGCAGCTGTTCCCGGTTTGACACCCATATGTCCGGACCGTTTGGCTCTGGCGACGGCCGTTGCTGTCCAACAACAACGCCAACAACATGACCAGCGAGTTCTGGCGGCGCACGCGCTTCAACAGCAACAACAACTGGCTGTCAGTCATCATCATCAGCAACAACAGCGCGCGTCCGCTGCCGCCGCCGCTATTCAGGTCCGCAATCAACTACAACTACAACAACAGCAGCACCGACACCATCGCCACCACCACCACCACCAGCACAAACACGTGTCCAGACATCCTCATCAACAGCATCTTCAGCCGCAATCTTCACTTATTTCTAACGCAAAGACAACGACATCGACGACAACAACGCCGACAAACAATCAACAAATCAAAAGTCAATCGCTGTTTATGACGGGTTCTGGACATCATCTGACGGCCGGAAGTGTTGTCCAACAATCGTCGCATCGAATCCTTCAACAACAACATCAACAACAATCATCTCTACCGCCGCCGCCGCCGACCGCTCGACGCCAGAGTGTCGTCCGAATGCAAACCCCGAACCCAACGGTTGTCAATCAACCAATCAATATGTCCTCTTCGGGCAATCAATCAATTATCAATCATCAAACACTGGACGCCTCTTATTTGCGTCAATCCGTCCTTCGATCGCCCGATAGTCGACCGAAAAGCCGTTCAATTGTCGAACAACAGCCGATTGTTGTCCACCGAATGTACGCCTCGAATGTCGAAACTCCGATTCTGGCCCGTGCTTTGCGTCCATCTTTGCAGCAAATGATTCCCGAAATGCCAGATCTCACCCGAACTCTGTCCGCTCGTCGACCCGTCGGTCGGCCGCCACTACTCCGCAATACCACTCCTTCTTCTTCTCCATCTCTATCTTCTTCTTCGACAATAACAACGACTTCCGTCCCGACAATGACTTCTCATCTAACGATGCGAACGAATCCTCCGATACTTCACGAACACATGTTTCGACCGATTCTTCCGATTCGTCCGATTCCAACCAATACACCCAATCGGACCAGAATTTCCCCGCAATGGCCGCCGCCGCCGCTGCTGACGACGTCCTCTTCGTCGTCCTCTACTTTGTCCACCAATTCGCCGACCATTTCTTCGGAATCCAAGCGAAGTATAACCGGCTTTTGGTCACCAAACTCTGCTTTTTTCCGTCCAAAAGTCACAGAGACTACGCCTCCTCCCCCGCCGCCTCCTGCCGTCCATTCAGTGCTTCAATGGAGCGGAAACTCTAACCGACGGACTTCTTTGTCTGACGTCAGCAACAGTTTGGCCACTGATTGGTCGCCGAAAAGTCGTAACGAATGCGAAGTTATTTTGAATCTCAAAACACAAACCGAAAAGAAAGTCATCGAAAAAGTAGAAGAAGTGGACGAAGAAGAGGAGGAAGAAGTGGTGGAGGAATCCAAGGAACAGATGAACAAACAAAATAAGGAAACGACGATTGAATTGATTGAAAATCAGTCGACAGAAGAAGTAGAAGACGAAGAAGAAGAAGACGAAGAAGAAGTGGTAATTGTTTTCTTGTTTTGTGATTAAAAACTAAAACTCTTTGTTTTTCAGTCAGAAATTCCCGAAGATTTCGTACAATTTGTTCGCCATTTCGTTGATCTACTGCTCGATCAACAGAATCATCACGAATTGCGTCCCGAAGAACAAGAACAAGAAGAAGTCATTGACTCAGACATCGGAACAGCGGCGGCCACTCCTCGGACACCATCACCACTACCACTATCTTCGTCGTCGTCTTCAATGGTCTCGGAGTCAGAGTTTGTTCGGGCATTGAATCTAATAAAATCGCGAGATTTGCGCCGAAAACCGATCGCATATTTGAACGCAAAATATCCGTTGAACGAGATTTCGCGCGCCGTTTACGCCGGCGTTGAAACCAAACGAGCATTGCTTGACATTTCGTCGCAAACGGCGGTCACTAATGATGACTACGAAACGGAAGACAACGAAGACGACAACAATCAACACAAAGAAGAAGAAGAAGAAGACAAAGACGAGTGCTGTCCGCCGGCCCGCAAACGCCGCCGCACTCGCCGTCGTCGTCGTCGTCCCCGACTGTGGCCAGAGTCTAGCGATGCAAGAAAACTGGACAACGGGAAACCGACGGCCGACTGTTGGGAACTAGTATTGACCGGTTTGGACGTCTCGTCGCCTTTAAGTCGAAGAATTCTCGGAGTTTTACCACAATTTCGGTTCAAAAACAGTTCTTCTTCTTCTACTTCTTGTTCTTCTTGTTGTTCTTCGCAAACAGTTTTGGAAACAATTTTCTAAAATCAATGACTAATAAAAACTCGTCTTTTTTTTAATGAATTAATTAATGAAATAAATAAATAAATGATTTTTCTTAAGATTTTTTGATATAAATGTCAGAAATTTCGGCCAAAAGAGCAATAAAATCGACAAAACGAAAGAATATCCACAAAAATAGTGACCAAAAAGCCGCGAGTCCACCGATTCGGGTAATCAGATCCAATGTTGTCACTCGTGGTTCTTCGCGGACGGCCAACGATGCCGAGCGTCGTCGCCATAGAGTGACGTTGGCTTCGGAAACACCGTTAGTTTCGGCCAAAGTTTCCCGAGTATCGGTAGTAAAGGCCACACGTTGGCAGTCATCAAGTGAACAGTTATCGACGGAACACAAGTTCAATACGTTTGCAAATATTTGACGCGAATTACACGGATCTGAATGACAGAAACGGTCGTCCCGGTCAACAATATCCGACCGAACGGCAGCCAATCGCGATAGACAACCGTCGCGGCAATAGTCGCGCATTGCCCGAACCAGACATCGGGTGTGACAGTCGTCTCGCGAAACACTCGACTCTGCATTGACTTCGGAAGTATCAGAAGTGGAAGAATCAGTTGTCGACGAGTCGTAATCGCGACAATTGTAAAGCCGACGGACGGCCATCGGTTGGAAACGGATTTCCAATGCTTTTTGCGAACCAATTGTTGTCCAATCGTCGTCTTCTTCGGGAAGCGATAGTCTCGAGTGAATGGCCAATGAGGGGACGGATTCACTATTGGATGGTTCGTTAGTTGCGAACTGAAGTCTAAGCAGTAGTCGTGCGGTCGGATCGGGAGCCGGAATGGACGGACTGCTGAGAGCCGAGAAATAAGTGAAACATTTTCGAGTATCGCGAATCCATTGAAGCGGTTGAGGACAGGGACGGGAGGGCTGCGGATAGACTAGACGGCAGAAGTGGGCGAAAGCCGAAAGAGAAGTGTTGAAGACTTTGTGCGCCGTTTGGATGTTCTGACAGTCGGCTGAAGATTGCGAACTGATATTCGGCGGACAGATCTGGACGACGGGTATGACTGACGGCAGACACAGGGAAATGGCCGGCCATTCGGCAAATGCTGTATCGGTTTCGACAGTCAGTCGAGTCTGACGTTTGTCTCGAAACAAATGAACGGTTTGTACGGAATGTATTGTAAATGCCGTCAAAGCTATTAAAGACAGAAGACTTCGGGTCCAATCGCCACACGTGACCGATCCAATCAAATGCATTGTAAACGACGATTTCGATCGTTTCCAGTGTTCCCGCCAGAGTGGTAGCCGACGGCGCAGTGACCGATCGTCGGGAACGTCGTACTCGACCTGTCCGAGAGTCGGGGGTCGGGAGAGAGTGTTGGACTGACCGATAGATCAATTGATTGATTGGACACTGACCTGATAGGTGACCCGAGCCGGATCAAACGAAACTTTTTTTTGTTGCGGTGTCGACGGCTGCGGCGGCGGGAAGTGATGGTCTCTGTTGACTGTCTGGAAGTGCTGATGATGTTGTTGATAGTGGCCAGCATTGCCGGGCGATATTTTGTGCATATTTTTTAGTGGTTATTGGTTTTTGTGACCCGATTTGTGGCCAAAAAATATTTAAAAAAAACTGTTTGTTTGTGTTTTGGAAGCGCTTTTCCATAGCAACGGAAGACTTATTATTCATTTCATTCATTAATTTCAGTGTTTTTTTCAATTAAAAAGCGATTCATTGAACCGATTATTAGAGCGAGACTTTCACTGACTTTTTCTCATTAATACTAATTATTATTATTATATAATAAAAATATTTTTTCTGTTTTGACAAAACTTTTTATTTCTCTAAATATTATTAATAAAACATTTTTCGTTTTATTTGTGTTTACTTTAAGTCCTTATCTTTCGAAAGTCAAGAGTGAAGTCAAGAGAGAGAGAGAGACAGAAATCAAAAGCTTTTTTTGTTTTAATGCACTTCTCGTATACTCTCTCTCTTGCGGAGGTCACTGACCGCGCCATCAGATCGGGTGGTCACCCGATTTGCGAGACAGAGAGAGAGTTTGGACACAGTTTTTTAATCACGCACTGGACGGCCGGTTAGCAACAAACACACAGCTGATGATAGTCTTAAGCTCGTGAATACAGATAGATAAGCCCTGATCTCTCTGATGAGTGTCACAAATGCTGATCCGCGCGAAAAAATCCAAATCAATTGAATTAATTGAATATAAAAAGAGATACAGTTTTTTCAGGATTTTTTTTTTAAAAATAGCATTTCATTAGTCAGCGATTTTAGTATTTATTAATTAATTGAATTAAATATTAAGTAATAATAATAAGTTTTATTCAATAAAAAAAAAGTTTTCATTCATTCAAATAAATAATAATTTTTGAAATTCTTTGCACTTTTTTTTCTCTCAAACTTTTTGTTTCTTATCTTATTATTTAATATCAAACAAAATAAATGCAAAATCATTGCAAATCAAATGAAAACAAATTAAATAAGCATTTTATGCGATATTTCTATTGAAAAACTGTCTGAACTCTGGACTCTTCAAAGAAAATAACAAATAGTATATAAACAGTGGTTTTCTCCACTAATTTTCAACGCATTTCTCTCTCTTTCTAGTCTTTGAAGAAGAAAGAGATCCCAAAAAACACAAACAAAGGAAGAGAAGTGTATATCAAAAAACTAGTGAACAAACAGAAGAAGACGAAGAAGTGATGACAAAAACTTCAGCGCTTCTGTTAGTCGTCGCGGCTTTCGTGGCCTCAGTGGCCGCAGTTCCGCTCCAACAACAACAACAATTGATTCACGGTTCCGCCGCCGCAACCTCTGGCCAATGCTGGCCAACTGGACGCCAATGTCGTCCAGCTGTCGGCCAATTGGTCCGTTTTCAGCCGCAACAGACTTATGTCTATAAACTGGAAACTGAAACCCAATTCGGCGGTCCGTACGGCTCAACCGATCAACACATCCGTATTCAGGCCGACGCTCACGTTTCGGCTCATACGCCGTGCGATCTGGCCGTCCAGTTGCGTCGTGTCCGCATCCAGGGCTACGATCAGGAACTGAGCCAACAGTTGGCCTCAGAACTGGAACAATGGCCACTACAGGTCGCCTACGACGACGGCCGAGTCGAAGCCGTTTGTTCGACAAGTGATGACAACGAATGGACTTTGAATGTCAAGAAATCCATTGTTTCCGCTCTTCAGATGTCCGCCCGATCGCCGTCTAAGCGATCATTGGTCGACGAATCCGATGTTTCGGGCGATTGTGAGACCGAATACTGGCCAACATCGTCGTCGGCCAAATCCGGTCAAACAGTTTACCGCAAAACCAAACGTCTCAATAGCTGTAAGTTTTGTCTCTTTGTTTGTCCGCTATCTGTCTGACACTGCCTTTCCCTCTCTTCAGGCGAGAACCGCCAACACGTCATCTCCGGTCTGTTCCCTCGTGTTTACGATCAACAACTGCCACTACCTCTGCTGAACGCTTCCTACGAATGCCATCAAACCGTTCAATCGGCGAATCAATTGATTCAATCCGTCGATTGTCACGAATGGCAACGATTGCCGTTCACTGGAATCGCTGTTTCGGCCAAACTCTCGCTTCGACTTCAATCACAACAATCGGTTCTATCGGTGGACAGAATCGCCCGAAACAGACATCACCATCACTTACGGATGTCTTTCTTTGGCCACAAATCCGACGATCAGATCAACAAAATGGACGCCAAAGACGTCGCCCGAACTCTATGTCAACAGTTGTCGGCCGACGGCGACTACGAAAAAGCAAAATCCGCGCAAACCTTTGCCGAACTGATCCGTTCTCTACAAACGGCTTCCGAATCCGATGTCCAACGACTGCAGCAATCCGTCCAATCGGGCGAATTGTGCGCTCAATCTCAACAACAAATGCAAGACTTGATAACCGATGCCTCGGCTCTGGCCGGTTCTCAATCGGCTACAGCACTGCTTGTCCAACAATCGGCTAAATTGTCGGCCAAACGTCGCGATTATCTCTATTCACTTCTTGCTTTTGCGCCGAAACCTTCGGTCGAATCAATCAAACAATTGATTCCGCAATTAAAGTCCGAATCGTTGGGAAAACACGCGATTCTCGGTATTTCCGGATTAATACACAACGCCAGACATTCACGACAATTACGTGATTCCCGGGAATTGCGTCAATTGGCTGTCGAAGCACTGGATTCGTTGGCCGACAGACTTCGGGAACAAAAGCCGACTTCAGTTTCGGTGATTAAAGCCATTGAAAACATCGGAGAAATACACGAATCGCCGAAAGCACGTGATTCGCTCAAACGTATAGCACGTGACACCAATGAAAAGGAGTCGGTAAGAGTGGCCGCCATCAAAGCTCTGACCGAATCGATGGACGCGGAAACCCGACGGGAATTGAAACAAGTGTTGGCCGCCGAACACGAGTCCAACGAAATCCGATTGACTGCCTATAAGACAATTGTAATGTCGGGAATCGAACGCCAATTGTTGGCCGAAATCAAGCAATTGGTTGACAACGAGTCCAACAATGAAGACATTCGTGAATATATTTTGTCGCATCAGAAAAATCTTCGCCAATCAAGTGATCCACACAAACGACACGTTCTGCCCGCGAATGCACCCGAATTCCCCGAACCCAACAACAAGTGGTCAGTGACCTCCCAGTCCCGTAACTACGAGTCCTCTTTTCTGATTCAGTCGATGGGTGTCGGTCTGGCCGTCGAAGCCGACGTAATTCGACCGAAACAGCAGAAATGGCCGCAATCTTTGACATTGAATCTAACGGTTCCGGCCTTTGGATCGAGTCTTCAGTTAATCGAAGTACAGATCCGTCAAAAAGGTTTCGAATCATTGATTGGAAAACGTTTACAACGAATGCCATTAATGGCCAGAGATTTGATTGATTTTGCACTGAATGCCGACCAATGGTCAGTCAATACCAACGATAAAAACCCTGAATTCGAAATCTACGCCAAAATCGACGGCAAAACTGTTTTATCCGTCAAATTAGATGATTTGCGATCAACTGATTCGTCGGCCAAACAACTGATCCGTCAGTTCCGCGACCAATGGCTGAATGGCCAGACTATCGATCGGGCATTTGCCGGCCAACCCGTGAATACCCGCATTCAGGTGCCGACAGCTAACGGAGTTCCCATTGAATTACGATTGAATGCGACATTTGTTTCGGCTCTTAAGGGACGCATAAATGCCGACAATTCGGGCGACAGTTTTGGCCTCAAAATGGAGCCGTCGGTTGTCTTCCAGATTGAAACCGGTGTTTCATTCGCCGCTCAACAGTCGAGTAGTCGTCAACAGAAATCTCTGGAAGCGATGGCCAGACTATCGATGAATCCGATCATTGAATTCAATGGACAACAAAGAGACGGAAAACTTGACGCCAAAATCGGTTTTCCAAAAGACCGACAATCGTTGGTCAGAATCGAATCGGCGGTCTATGAACGTCAAGACAATGGCCAACGACGACAGATCGGCGGACAGCAGTCGTCGGACAACAAAAAGTGCAGCGAATGGACGAAACGGCCGATCGGTAAGTGATTTGTTGAGTTGTTTTTGTTTAATATCTAATAATAACTGTTTATATCATTGAAAAAAGGTATAACTGTTTGTCAATCGTATTCATTATTTCCATTAAAATACGAGATTTCGGTCGAAAAAAGCGATCGACAAATGAAATCCATTGACTTTTGGGCAGAAATTCCCCGAAAATTCGATCAAAACCAAGAGATTCGCTATAAATTGGGTTTAAATACACCGAATTCGGAACAAGATCGCGAACTATCGGCCGAATTGGCCATCACTAGACCGTCGGGCGGTTTACAAGCAAAAGCTTCGGTAAAGACTCCGTGGACTCGACTATCGGCTGACGGACTCTTGAAAAACGACGACAAAGAACAGTCGATTCAGTTGTCAGTGGAAAAAGACGGACGAAAACAGTTGACAGCCGAAGCCGGTCTCGAAAGTCAGGCCAGAGGACAGAAACGTGAATATCGGCCGCGACTGCGAGTGCAATGGCAGGACATGGAAGCGGTTCAGATGCAGGGATCGGTTGCCGTAGCGAAAGGCAGGAAAAATCAATTGCAGATCCAATTGGAAGGAAATCAGAAACAATTCCTGAAAGGATCGTTTGTCAGGGAAGGCGAACGCGCGGCCAAAGAGATGCGATTATCATCTGATGTCTCGCTAATGGTTCCCGGTCTGGAACTTCGGGTCAACGGTTTGGCCGATAAAGCCAGCAAACACGCAACAGCCGATCTGACCATTGAATACAGAGTTCAAAAAGGCCGTAAAGAATCGGTTCGTTTGGCCACCAAAGTCCAGAATCTGACCCAATCGGCTCTGACCAAACTGTCGGCTTTCGGCGAATTGACTTCGACTCAATGGCCAAACGCTAACTTCCATTTGGCCTACAATTTGCTACATAAGCCGTCGGAACACATCGAAAACGAGTTGACGGTTGCCTGGAAACAACAATTGGCCGATAAAGTCCACGTTCTTCACGTCTCGAAACTGACCGATAAGTCGTCGACCGAAAAATCAATGGAAAACACTTTGGATTTAGAAATAACTCCTTTGGGTTTGAATTACGAGTTGAGAGCCAACGCCAACTACGATCGCCGAACCAGTGGACAACAGGGACCCAAATATTCGGCCGAAATGGTCGGCAAAGACCGAACCGGACGAAAACAGCGGGACTTTCGGGCGGATGTCAAGTATGAACACCAATCCATTAAACCGTTATCCTTGGCAATGGAGGCCAACCTGAAACTGGCCAATCGGGAGATCAGCTACAAGGATCAACTACGGGAAAAGGAACCGGGTGTTTTTGCGGGTCAAACACAACTCCAGTGGGCACCGGCCAAAGTGGCCAAAGTTGACTACGAATATCGGACACAGAAATCCAATGGCAATAAACAGGAATTGGATTTGACAGTTACGGCTCCCGGTCTGGACGGTCCGGTCAGACATACGGGACTGTTGAAGATGTCGCCAACGGAATGGCAACTGAAATCCAGAATCCATTCCAATGAACACCAAGTCTTTGATTTGGATGCACTGATGGCCGGCAATGAAGACGATTCCCGATTTGCGGTCGAAACACCGTATTTCGGTACGAAAGCAGCGGTCAATATGCGTCGGGTTCCCCGTGTGGCCTCAGTCGAACTGAATGTTCCCGATAAACAGTGGACACATTCGACACGGTTTGAGTTGGCACCGGCCAGTGTTGCCGTCAAGTCGGACACCAAAAAACAACAGAAAACACTGTTTTCGGTAATTATTTTATTTATTAATAGTTTTTTTGTTGACTTAATCGACTTGAAATGAGATTTTTTTAAAAAACAAAATAATTATTTTTATTATTACTAATAATAAATGTTTAATTAGTTTAATATTAGTTTTTTTAAAGAGTTTTAATTAGTTATTAATTAATTGAAAAAACAATTTAATTATAATTATAGACAGAAAACAAATAATTAGTCTCAAAATCATTGCCCGAAAAGAAAAACAGTTTTAAATATAATTAATTCAAATTTTAATATCAGATTTGTTTTTATAAAAAATAATTATAATTATAGTGAAAAAACACAAAAATAGTTTCTATTATACAATTAAATTAATTTAATGTCTAATAATGTGTTAAAAAAAAATTAAAAAATAGTTATAATTAGATATTAGAGAAAAAATATTAGATTTTCTAAAAAAACAAAAATTTAACTCAAAATCATTGAAAAGAAAAACAGTTTTAAATATCATTGAAATAATCACTGATTTCGTTATGATTTCCAAACAGATCGACGGTCTGTACTCTCGCCGAACACCATCGCGACTGACCATAAGTTCCGAACCAATTGACGGCCGTTTCGATGTCGACATTCTGTCGCCGAAAAAGTCGGCTCTAATTGAACTGAAATCTGCTTCTCAGGACTGGAAACACTCGACGACTGCCGCTTACGAACCCAATCGGGAACTACAGTTGCAATCGAAAACCGAACGATCGGGAAAACCGTTGTTTTCCATTGATTCCCGACTAACGGATCGGAAATCGCATTTCATGGCCGACGCACCGAAACACAAGACTCTGATCCAAATGTCGGCCGATTTGACTGACAAACCATTGGATCAATCGGTGGCTTCGGTTGAGATTCGTTCGGATAATTTCGAACACAAAACCCAATTCGAAACGACACCAAAAGTGGTCACTGTTTCGGCAAAAACTCAATTCAATGGACAACCGATTCACGCCGTTGACTACGAGTTGAATCGTGTTTCGCGCGTGCATTCACTGAAAGGTCTTTACGACGACTATTCCGTCGATTTGGAGGGAAAGCACTGGACATCCGACTCACGTGACTCTTCACTGACCGAACCTTTCGTTCAATTTGTGGCCAAAAACGGCCAGAAATGGGAAACTTCGGGAAAAATTCAATCTCAAGACAAGAGAAACAAAAGTAAGAGAAAAACAAAACATTTCTTTCATTAATTGATTGTTTGTTTAGTTTCCGCCGAAATCAAAGCCCGACAACACAATCGTCCGCTAATCGAAGCCAACGGTCTCTTCAATACAGACCCGAACTCCGAGTCCACCATTCGGATCAGTTCGCCGACAATTAAGGCTCAAATCCAAGGAATTCCGGCGAAAGGCGCGAAAGCCGACTGGAATTGTCATCACGTGTCGCACGTCATGTCCGCCCAGTGGCCCGAAGATGGCCAGTACGAAGTCGAATCGCAAACACAACTCAAACCCGACAAACAATACTATTTCGCGGCCAAACATCAGCCGCAAGTTTGGTCTCAATTCGAGACTAAAGTTCCCCAATTTGACGCCATTCTCGATGTCAAACACCAACAACCGACTGTTCATTTCAAGGCCAACGGTAAACAACAACAATGGCCACTGAATCACGAAACTTCATGGGAAGCCGACTCTCGAGGACAGACATATCGCGTGAAATCATTGACAAAACGGTCGAACAATGAGAACGTGTTTCAATTGGACGGAACATATCAGAGACAAAATCGGGAAATTCCCTCAGAATTCGCCGTCAAATACGGTCAACAAACTGTGGCCAACGTTAAGATCCAACCGTTTTCTGGAAGTAGATCCGGACGTCAGCTCCAAATTGACGCCAAATCTCCCGAATTTATTCACAAAACCGACGCCAAGATTACCGACAATTCGTTGACAATTAAGTCGAGAACCGATTCCGTGGAAACGGGAAAAAACATCGCCAAAGTTGACGCCTATATTACGGGTAAATTAGAGGACAAATCGCACGTTTCGATTGTGTCCACTGGCGGCGATCACTCGGCATCTGTTGAAGTGATTCCACGAAAATCTTTGGCCATTAATCTGGAAAATCCGAAATTCATTCACAAAACGGAAATCCAATCGAAAGCCGAAAGAAACGGATTTTCTTTGAATTCGAAAACCGATCGAAAAAATGGCGAAAATCTGTTGCATTTGAAGTCTGAGTTAGCAATCGATGGACAATCGCCGTCACTCTTGTACGCTTCATCTGATCCATACGATCTGCAAGTGTGGACACTGCCGAAGGACAGAAGCGCCAGATTTACGGTAAAAACCGATTCATGGGATCACAAGTCGGAAGCAAAAGCGGAAAAACAAAGATTCGAATTGAAATCGAAAACCAATTATTTGAATAAAGTTTTGGCAGAAGTTTCGGGAAATTTCGATTCCGAAGAACAACAACACGACTTTGCGGTCGAAATGCCGTCATTTGTGGCCAAATCGCAGCTCAGAGGACAACAACACGAACGGAAAGCCGATTTTGATTACCGATCAAAACTACCGAAAGGACGACACGTTTTGTGTTCAGTCGAAGCCAAAGACGGCTTTCGGGCAGAGATTGCTTGGGATGTGGATAAAGACCCGCAACAAAAACTGGCCGTTCAATGGTCTGGTCGTTCGGTTGGCGGCGGATTCACGGGCGGACAGAAGAAGCTGTTGAACGAACTGACGGCCAGTTATGCCGGAAACGAACTGAAAGTCGCTTCGGAAATGGCCGACGATTTGGTTCGCGGACCTCACGAATGGACAATCAATTACCGACCGAAATACCGACCGGAACGCGATTCGGTGTCGTTGGCCATCAAACACGTGATCGCAAACAACGAAATGCAATGCAATGTCTTGTACTCTGAAGGACAGACTCTTGGATTTGGTCTTAAATTGAACGCCAAATCAGCGAATGGCGAGACATCCGTCAGTTTGGAGACTCAGGCGCCGAATAATCCGGATTTGGAAATCAAATTAGTGGCCAATGAAAGACATAGCGATTGGTTTTCCGAAAGAAACGCAAAACTCTTCGCCGAAATCAAAGCCATTCGACAAGCGATCAGTCATTCGGTTTTAGTGGACATCAAACGCGACTCGAATCACATTTCCGGCGAATTTAAAGTCGATTCGCCGCAAACCAGTGGCCAAAGAGAAGTCCAGTTCTCTGTCGACCGAAAACAACGACAATTGACGGCTTCTGTGATCCGGTCTTCGGGAAAACAAATGGAATTAATCGCGAGATTGGCCGACAAATCGGCGGAACTCGAGTTGAAATCCAACGACCAGAACGTGCCGTCCATTCGGGCCAACGCCGCTCTGACCAGACAATCGGTGGCCGTAACAGTTGATGCGGACACTATCAGGAAAGTCGACTTTTCGGCCGAAAAAACGGGCGAATCGTTGGCCGACGGAATTGCAGTCAACGGAAGAATCGAATTCTGGTTTTTACCCAAATATGAGACCAAAAATCGTCTGAAATTTGACGGAAAATCTCTGGAATTGGAATCAATTGCCAAATACGCGGAAAAAGAGGTTTTGGCCGCAGATCTTAAGGCCAAAAAATCGTCTTCGGCCGGAACATGGACCGGTTCCGGACACATCACACGAAACGGTGCCGAATTGGCCACCGCTGCCCTGGAATCAGGTCTCGGCGGACAATATTCGCTGAAAGCTCGTGAACAGTGGTCAGGAGTTCACGTGACTGTTTCGACACAAACAACGGGTGAAAATCGAAAAGCATTCGTAAAGATATGTCTTCGACAGGAAAGCGATTGTTTGGACGCCAAATACGACATCACTATTGACGGCCAATCAGTTCCCCGACGGGTCTTCGTGTCAATGACCAAAATGGGAACAAATCTCGAACTGAAGACATCATTCATGGAACAACTGAACGACAAAACTGAAAACGAAGTCTCGCTTTTGGGTTTGACTTCCGGTAAACCAGTCGTCAATCGAATCCGAAATCAACTCTTGGTTTCCGTGAATTCGCATTCTCTCGGCTTTGACTCACTCTTCACGGCTCGAGACCGACACTCATCAGCCGTCGACTCTTCACTGAAACTCTACTTCCCGTCGAACCGTTGGCTTCAGTTTGTCGGCGATTATTCGCGTCGACCGAACGATATTCGTTGGAAAACCCGATTGACCAGCGATTCGGATGTTCGGCCGTTGTTCGAAACGAACGGACACTTCGAACACAATCGAGAGGCACAGGAATCGCGAGTATCGCTTCAGATGACTTCAAACAAGTGGACACAACGTCCGCAAAAATCCATTGAAATTGTGTTTCAAAAACCGAATTCCGAGAAAATCTTTGGCGCAAAAGCTGTCTTCGATTTATCCAAAGATCCGAATCACGCGCTGACTGTCGAAGCAAACATCTTGCAGATCCCGCTCTCCCAGAGCTGGTCGTCGGGTCCGTCGGCCAATACAACAGTTGCCGTCGCTTTGTGGGCACGCGATCGCCGACTACTGGACGTTTCATTGGTCGGACACGTTAGCCGACAATCGGCTGGACTTTCGGCGCGAAATATCGATCGAAACGGAAATGAAAAACAAGTTTTCTATTTCGTTGAACTGAAAAATCAGAACCGATTGGAAGCAGTCATAAGAGATCCGAAAAGATTTCTTGTAATTGACGGACAGTTCGGCAAAACCACTGACGAAGTGTCCACTGATCTGACAGTCAGGGATCAGATCACTGGTCAGGAACACGAATATCGCTATTCTGTGGACAAAAAGTGCGCAAAACTCGAGACCAAAGAGAACTCTTTGCCGAAGAAAAAAGCGTTTTTCTGTTTCAATGGCGACAATCGAAACGATCGAACGGTTAGTCTGGAAATCGCTTCCGTAGGCAAAGACGGACAACCAATGACTGCCGATCTGAACATCGAATTGGACACCCGATCGGGTCGGGCGTTGAGAGTGGACGCCCAATGGACACCGTCGGCTCTGAAGGAAATGTTGAACGAAATGAACAGAAATTATGGCGAAAATTACGACAATTTCTATCAGGAATTCCAGAAAGAATTGAAACACAAATCTTCAATACTTTCGCGACAATTGTCTAACGATTTGTTGGAACCGTTGGCCGCCGTCGTATCGGACGAAGCCTACGATACTATTCAAGAGTTTCTTCACGGCTTTGATGGCGCACAACGAGCCTGGGATCGAATCCAACAGTTTTGGTCGCAATCTTATCAATGGATTTACCGATTCTACGGAAAAGTCGGACAATTGGTCAACAATTCGGAATTCGTGGACACAATTGTCTCGTTCTTCAGACAAACCAATCGATTGATTCGGAAAACATGCAAACGATCGGACAGTTGTTATCGAGTTCTCTATTTTGTCGATAATTTCAGTTCGGATTCAATGATTGATGTCCTGAAAGAAGCCGCCGAAGTAACGGCTCGTTCCGCACATCGAGTGGTCGTCAAGACTGTCGGCTATTGTCGGCTAAACATTCCGTTTATCGGCGAATATACCGAACGATGTTTCGATTATTTGACGCAAACTTTCGGCCAATTATTGGATTCAAACGAATCGGTGTCTGATTTCGGACGAAAACTCAAAGAATTGTTTCGAAATGTTTTGAACGAAAACTTCGATCAAATCGATTGGCGAAGTCTGGCCCGAACTCTGGCCGATATGACCCGAACTGTCTGGACGGCCGAAATCGGACAACAAACCCGTGTTTTGGTTTGGGATCCGCAAAACGGCAGAATTCAGGTCGAACTGAACCAACCGCGACATTCGCGACAATTGCGGTCAACTGTTGTCGACATGATTCGTCCGAAACCGTCGTTCGGCAAACAAGTGGCCAAAAAGTGGTCAGAAGTTGAATCTGCGGTCAAACGTATGTTTGTCTGAATAATAACTAATGTTTTAAACAATTAATTAATTAATAATGAATTCATTTAATGAATAAAAAAAACAAATATTTTTCTGTAAAACAATTGAATTATAAATAAAAAGCATTTTTGAAATCAATTTCCGTTTATTTTCCGCAAAAGTGTCCGTCGAATGGACGGCCGGAGTCATCGTCTCCGCCTCCAACACGACGACCACAATCTCCGGTCGATCTCTGGCCACGAGTCGCGACTTTGACCTATCGTTGAGTCGAAACTCTTCGCGACTCAGAATTCGTGTCCAAAAAGAGTCGGTTTTTTGTTTAAAAATATTTGAATTTCATTTCAATTGATTTTTTCTGTTTTTTCAGACATTTTCTAATAAACTCTTCGTTCGATTGGAAGACAAACACCACTTCTGCCAACACTTCTTCAGTCAATCCCTTCTTCCGGGTCTTTGTGTCCGCTTTTTCTGTCGAAATCTCGTTCAACGGTTCCACAGATTCTTCAGTTCTTTGGATACCTTCTCGACAACTCGTAATCCATTCATAATCTCTAATCCCTTCTATTAATCCCTTTTCTAATCCACAGATCCGTCTTCAGCTGTCGTTTCCTCCCGAAGACCTTCGCCTTCAGACCCGATCTGTCCGCTCTTCGGCCGCCGATCGCGATCTAAACGCCTTTCTTTGCGATCGATTTTTTTCAACACTCGTTCAACACATTCCTCGAGAGCGAGATCTTTGTCATCAGTCGCGAGACGTTTGTGACTTTGGCGCCACTCTTGTCGTTCGCGAAGCTCTTTCTCGACTTCCGGACGAATGTCTTGAATGTCATTCTTCACAATCAGTTAATTCTTCCGTCAGTTTCGGTCACAGAAAGCGATTCAACACTACTTTGAATGAATCGTCAGTTGTTTTGTTTGTTTTCCAAGATTTCAAACGACTTTCCGATAAAACAATGGATTCTTTGAGACGAACGGCAAACGCTATTCGCCGACAATTCGCCGAACAAAACGTGTCCACAGAGTTCGGGGTTTTGTTCCGAACCAACGATCCGAACGGCCGTTACAGACGTTCCCGAGTCTTGTCTTCGAAACCCGATTTCCGTTCGTTTACTAATCCGTCGACCAATTCGTCAATTAGTGGACAAACTCTGGACTTTTTGTTCGCCACTTCTCTTCCCGAACGTCCGTTAGCTTCAAAACACGTGATTCTAATGGATTCGCGAAGAAGTGATTGTTTGGAACAAACTTTGGATTTTTCTTCCGCAAGAAATCATGTCTTGTATTCACAAAAATCGTATAAAAAAATAAAACATTTTTCTAATAATTTTTTCTTCAGAAACGAAAACCTTTTTCTTCACGTTTTGACCGAAAAATCGTTGAAATTTCGTTTGAAATCCAAGAAAACGAAACAAATTTTTGGATTCGATTTCATCCGCGCTTTCACTCAATCTTCTGGTAATCAATCGCTGGACGAAAGTCGGGCTCTTCGGCGACTCGTTTCGGTCGAGCGGTCGTTGTGTCACGTGATGGCTCTCGAGACCAACGGTTCGGTGTTTCGTCAATCGGCTCTTCGGTCGCGAACGTAACCAAAGAATTGTTTTTTTTCGGTAATTTTGGACATAATTTGATTCATATTTTTCTCAGAAATCGTTTGGTTTTTGCCGAAAGAGTTGTTTCGAATCACAAAATGAATACGTGTTTGAATTGCGATTGCGTTCTGACCAGAGATCACATGACAGCCGGACTCGAGTGTCGACAATGCGAACCACGAATGGCCACTGTTGTCGGGGCCGAAGTCGGATCGGCGGAAGTGTCGGGAGTGGACGCAGACCAGGAATGGACTGAAGAGGACGGCGACGAAGAAGCGGACGAAACCGGAAGTGAATAATAAAAAATAAAACGGAAATAAAAAAAAAATTATTTTTAAACTCTATTTAATATCTTTTTGTATTAAAAAAAATTAAAACATTAATTGAATGACAGAAAAACGGGAATAAAAAATACAAATTTTATTTATTATTAAACAAAAACATTAAAAATTACAGAATATTTTTAAAATAATTATTATTAAGAAAAATAAATAAATTAATTGATATTTTGATTAATGATTATTATGATTATCCATGTCTAAGAACTAAGAAACAAATAAAAAAAACAATTAATATTTAAATAATTAATTAATAGTTATATAAATGATAATCAAATACTTAGACAGTTCCAACAATCTGGTTTTTTGGTGGCTTTTAAAAAAAATAAAATAAATTAATTAATTGCAAATAAATTTAATGGGGATGGGGTGGGTGGGTGAGTGGGTGGCGTGGGTGGGTTAAACAAAGAAACGCATAATTACTAGCTTCTACTTCCGATTCTACTGCATCTCCTCCTCCTTCATTTACTAAATAATAATTAATTAATTAATAGATAATTAAATTTTAAATTAATTTAAAAAATAGTCTTACTATCTTCATCTTGTCGAGTTGTCCTTGATACTATTTTTAAATTAATTAAAAAACAAACAAAACAATTAATTAATTAATTAAAACTAAAATTTAAAAAAATAATAATAATTACGAAAAGCAATGACAACAACAACGACTGCAATCAATACTACGAAACGATTCATTGTTTTCTTTTCAAAAGTTTTCCCAAAAACTATTTGTTTTTTGTTTGTTTGAATTGATTTGATTTACAATACAAACAACGGATTATATACTATTGAAAAATATGTTTTTCTTTACATTTTTTTCATTGAAATTAAATAATATGTAAATTTATTAGTAATTATTGAAAGAAAAAACATTTATTTTCTATTTTAGTTTTAAAAATAAATCTATTTTTTACTTAAAGAAGTTTTGTCTCCAAATGTGTTAAAAAATATATCAAAAATCAAATTTCATTTACGCAATAATTATTATGTAATCAACAAAAAAAACTATTTTTAGTTTAAAAAATAATTCAAAAAACAGATGGACTTTAAGACATGTATAACTTATATAAGATTTTTAAAACTATAGTTTAATAAAGACTTTGTTTTCTTTAATTAATTAATTTTTAATTTAAATAATTTAATAAAAGATTTAATAAAACAAGAATTAAAATAGAAATGAATTGGATTTGAGTTGAAATCAAAAGACAACAGAAAACATGAAAAAATCAAAGAAAAAGTGGACTAAAATGTAATGACTATTGAAGAGAAATAACCGGTTATTAGTTATTAACAGCTGTTGACTGAATGTCCCGAATATATCGGACGGACGGCACATATCGGGTGCCGAATGGACGCCAAACATACCTAACGAATGGGAAACAACCGAAACTGAATGACCGATCAATGATTGGACAAAAAAATACGGAAATAAAAAAAACGCAAATAAAATACAAATTTTAAATATTTATTGAAATTTTTGTTTTTAATTAAATAACAAAAAAATGTTTATAATTATTAACAAAAATAATATAAATATAATTTAATTAACCAATTGTATTCGGAGGTTTCGGTCCTTTATATTCATCGAGTGGCGAATCTCCCGAATCTCCCGATACTTAATGAATGATAAAAAAATATTTAATTAATAGATAATTAAATCATAAATTAATTAAAATAGTCTTACATTCTTCATCTTGACGAGTTATGTTTGATACTATTTTTTGATTAAAAAACAATTAATTAATTAAAAGTAAAAATACAAATAAAAAAATTAATTACGAAAAGCAATGACAACAACAACGACTTCGACAACCAATACTACGAAACGATTCATTGTTTTTGTGAATGTTTTTCTCAAAAATTGATTGTTTTTTTGTTTGTTTGATTTGATTTACAATTCAAACACCGGTTTATATACCTTTGAAATAATCGAAAAATATGTTTAATTTTATTAAAAAAAATTATGTTTAAAAATCAATTGACGTCAATATTTTCTATTTTAGTTTTTTTTAAAAAAAATCTAATTTTAACTCAAAGAACGTTAGTTTTGTCTCCAATTGTGTTTTGAATTAAAAAAAATATATCAAAAATCAAATTTCATTTCCGCAAAAATTATTATGTAATCAACAAAAAAAACTATTTTTAGTTTAAAAAATAATTCAAAAAACAGATGGACTTCAAAAGATTCAAAAGACATGTATAACTTATATAAGATTTTTAAAACATTTTTTTATCAAATTTAAGTAAACTATAGTTTAATATAGACTTTGTTTTCTTTAATTAATTAATTTTTAATTTAAATATTTATAAAAAAAAACTAATGAATAGAATAACAAACTATTGATTAAATCTTTTAAATATTAAAAATAAAATTGAAATTAAATATCTTTAAAGTTTATAAACGCATGAAAAATATAGAAAACATTATTTAAAAAACCTATTTTTTAGAAAATTTATTGTTTTATTCATTAATTAATTAATTAAATCATTTGAAAAGTTTCAACAATTAATACATGAATTGAAAATCAAAACTTAGAAAAAACTGACGAATAATTAATTAATAGTTAATTGAAATCTTAAATTAGTTATTAATAGCATTTTTTTATTTTACAAATACATTGTTTTTATTATTTATTTTCGGAAAAAAAGGATTACAAAAAAAATTCAAGAAAAACTAATTAATAAAAACAATTTTATATCTATTATTGTTTTACTTTTATTTAAATTTTTAAAGTTTGTAATCAACCAATCTCTCGAACTGTGGTCTACTTAATTTTATTAAATCTATAAATCTGTTATTTTAATTTAATTTAAGGGGAAATAAATAAATTTTAAATAAATAATTTTTACATAAATAAACATTACTTTCGGAAAAAAGGTTACAAAAAAAAATCAAGAAAAACTAATAATTAATAATAAAATCAATTTAATATTTATAATAATTTTGTATTTAAATAAAAGTTGAAATTAAATTTGAATATAAATTTTTTAATAATTGTTTTAATAAAGTCATCCCATCCTTGGGATATGGGGTCCTTGGTTCCAATAATTTAATCTTTTTAATTCTATAAATGTTTAAAAAAATTAATTTAATTAAATTTAAGTAATAGATAAATAAATAAAAGAAAAAACGATCAAAAATCAAAATACTCTTATTTTCTTCGTCTTCTGCTTGTTTGGCTTCTACTGTGTATTGGGCTAATGAAATGTTTAATTAAAAAATATTAATTTAATGTTAAAATCAATTTATTTAAAAAATAATTTAATTATAATTTGTATATTACGTGGGGTTTGACGTATAAATGGTATACTTTTACTCTATCTTTACGCCACTTTTTCAAAGTTTGTTATTATTACTTCAGGTACTTCAGGTATTATTTTTGTAACAATTTTTTGATTTTAAAAGAATATTTTTTTAGATTTTTTTATTTTATTATTTTTGAAATCAAGACTAAAAAAATTAAATTAACTTACATTTAAAAGGGAGAACCCCTCTAATTTGATTTGATTTATTTTAAATGGGGAATTAGGATGGGAAAAAACAAATTAAAAAAAACAAATAAATTTTGTTTTTTTTCGATCAAAGTATGAAAAAAACAAAAAAAAATTTTATTTTAAATATAATTTTTAAATCAAATATTTGATAATTAATAATTAACTTTATAATTAAAATATATTTTTAATCATTTGTTTATTTAATTGTGTATCAATTGTGTTGTCCTTGATACTTTTTTTTGATTAATTAAAACAAACAATTAATTAATTAAAAAACAATTAATTAATTAAAAAAAATAATAATAATTACGAAAAGCAATGATAACAACAACGATTGCAATCAATAGTAAAAAACGATTCATTGTTTTCTTTTCAAAAGTTTTCCCAAAAACTATTTGTTTTTTGTTTGTATTTTTTTAATTCAGTTTTTTCATCAAATAATCGAAAAATGTGTTAAAATTTACTAAAAAATTATTTAAAAAAAATCACTTTTGACTTCAATTTTTTCAAATAATTATTGAAAGAAAAACATTTTTTTCTATTTTAGTTTTAAAAAAAATGTAATTTTAAACCAATAAAAAAATCTATTTATAAAGAGTTTTGTCTCCAAATGTGCTGTTTTTTAAACTCAAAAAAATTATATAATAATATATCAAAAATCAAATTTCATTTGTCTGGGGTTGGGTGGGGTTGGGCTGACTCTGGGTTGGGTTTGTTGGTTACCATAATTCCCATCTATTCTAATGCTTCTGAATAATAATAATAATAATAATAATAATAATAATAATAATAATAATGATTTAATTAATTAATAATAAATTAATTAAATCTTAAATAAAAGTTAAAATTATTGTATTTTCGAATAAATTGCAATTTTCTGTAAAAAAAATTATTTTAAAAGTTTTAAGACTTTTATTTTGCCTAATATTTGTATGTATTAGTAATATAATGTATACTATGAGCACCTATAGTCTGTACTACCTGTACAACCCACCCCAACAGCAAACACCCAACTATACCACAAAATTCAACTTTTTTTGATCAAATCAAATAAAAAAACAATCAGTTTTTGGGAAAACTTTTGTTTTTAAACATAATTTTTAATTATTTAATTATTTAATTAAAAGTTTTGTTTTTTACTTTCAAATCTATTTATAAATTAGAGTAAAAAAACTGAAGAAAAGTATAATTTATATGAGTTTTTAAAACATTTTTTTTAATCAAATTTAAGTAAAATAAAGACTTTTATTATGATTTCTATAATTAATTTTCATTTAAATATTTTTTAAATAGAATAACAAACTATTCATAGGATTATTAAATCTTAAAATTAAAATTAAATATTATTTTTGTTTAATATCTTGAAACTCATGAAAAATATATAAAATATTATTCATATCTTTGAATTATTTAAAAAACATTTTTAGAAAATTTATTGTTTTATTCATTGCTTTTCATTAATTAATTAATTAATTAAATCATTTGAAAAGTTTCAACAATTAATACATGAATTGAAAATCAAAACTTAGAAAAAACTGACGAATAATACAAAGATTTTAATTAAGAAAAAAAATGTTTTTAATTAATAATTAATTTCTAATAAAATATTTATTTATTTAATAAACAAAACAAAAAAATTTATTCTAAAAATTATGTTTTTTTTCATTTCATTGAATTTTAATCTCTTTTAAAATATTGAAATAAAATGAATGCAAAAACAGATGAAAACTAAAGAAGAAGTGGAAGAATAGGTCAACAGATGGCGTCAGAAGAAGACAACAGAAGAAGTATTCTTTGTTTATCAGACGAAACAGTTCTCATGTCTTCTGATTTGACAAAAACCATGTCTTCATTACAATCGGCAGACATTGTCTCCGAAGAAACCGCTGACAGACCGCGGATTTGGACACAAAAAGAGCTCAAAGATTTGATTTGTCAGACAATCGACGAAGTATTCAAACTCGAAGACGACGACGAAGACTATAGCCGTTGCTATGAAATGGAGAAAACGGAAGACATAACTAAAGAAGGACTAAATTTTCCGTATTCTCTTCATTGGTACGAATGGTTAGGTTTGGATGTCTTCATCGGATTGATATTTCTTGTAAAAAACTGGAAAACTTCGATCCGTTTTATCACTTATTTCATATCGAAAACAACTGTAATGACTTTGACTTTTGTTTTAATTTATGATATTTTTAAATCTATTAAATTATATTTAAATTGAATTTTTGTTTTAATTCAAATAAAACTGAATTTTTTTTTGATTTTTATTAAATGATTCCTAACTCTGAATATTATTTTTTTTAAATTGATATCAATTGTAATGTTTTTGACTTTTTTTTTGTTTTTAATTCAAATTTTTTACAATTATATTTAAATTGATTTTTTTTTTGAAATAAAACTAAAATATTTTTTAATAATAATTGAATTTTTTTTTTGAAATAAAATGAAAACTAAACTTGAATTCTGAACTCTCGTGTGATATGAATTCAGATTGTCTGACTGTCTGACTGAGAGGACAGTTGTTTATTGAATAGAAATTATTTATTAAAAGTCAAAAATCTGTTAACAAATGAGTTATAATTTCATAATTTTTAGTTTTCATGAAATGAATTGTCAGTTGTTTTGTAAGACTTGAAACACGTTTCCAATAAAACCACAGTTTCTTTGAGTCAAAGGATTAATCCATAAATCCGTTGTTTACTCCCGAAGAACACACAATTCGTGTCCAAAAAAGAGTCGGTTTTTTTGTTTAAAAATATTTGAATTTCATTTCAATTGATTTTTTCTGTTTTTTCAGACATTTTCTAATAAACTCTTCGTTCGATTGGAAGACAAACACCACTTCTGCCAACACTTCTTCAGTCAATCCCTTCTTCCGGGTCTTTGTGTCCGCTTTTTCTGTCGAAATCTCGTTCAACGGTTCCACAGATTCTTCAGTTATATTGAATTTAATTAACATTTAATTTAAGAAAATTTTTAAAAAAAATCTTAAAATTGATTGAAATTCTAATTAAAAATAAATTAAAATTTAATACAAAATAATTGTCTTTTTATTTCAATAATAATTTCAATGAAAACTTGATTTCGATTTTCCGAAGAAAAAAAAATTACAAAAATATATGAATTTATGAGAAAATAATTAATTAATAAAAAAAATTCGACAAAAAGTAAAACTAAAAAAATAATAATTAAATTAAAAATAAAAAATGAAAACTAAACGACACTTGAATTCTCTGAACTCTCGTGTGAATTGACCGCTGATTTCATAGACAATAATAGGAGGCGACGGCCAACAGTGGGCGACAATACATTACAAAACAATACAGAGTGTCAGCACTTGAGAGGACAGTTGTGTTTATGAATAGAAAGTGAATGAATAGAGAAATAATTTAATGAAAAAAAATAGTAAAAATAAAATATAATTAAATTAATAATTAATTAAATAATTGGTCTCTTAATTGTGTCGAAAATAATAATAAAATAATTAATTAATATTAATAGTGATTAACGCAAAAAAAATATTTATAAAAATCGTCGAAAAATGCGAAATACTGTGGAATTTAAGGCACTTTTAGTCTCAAAAAAAAAATTGGTTTTTTCGCGGTTTTTGATTCGCAAATGAATTATTAAATCAATTAATTATTAATTAATTGTTTGTTTGTTTGAAAACATGATTGCAATCAGTCTTGAGATCATTGAAGACCTCTTCTTCTTCTTCTTCTTCTGCTATTAAATGGACGACTTGGAGAACGAGACGCGCAAATGGGAAGATTCGGACAATCTGTTCAATAATAAGAGATAATGGGATCAATTGGATCAAATCAATAGATCTGAAGACTTACTGATAGTTATGCATCTGAATCAAGGCGTGAATCGAGTCGTCGACTGAAGACAACTGAATTAACGCCATTTTTCTGTCTTTCGGAAAGAACTTGAAGGCAACGACTTGTGTCTGACATTCCTGTTGAAAGGCTTGTCGAATGTCTTCTTCTTGAACCGAAGCCGGAATGTTAGACAAATGAAGAGTAGCCGACGGCGGATAAATGTTTCCGTAGTTTTTGGATCCGGGTTTCTTGAAACGATGCAAAGCCGACGACGAAAAGTCTTTTGTCAGTCCGGCGTCCTATCAATGGATCAGTTGGTCATTGAATCAACAGATCAGTCGGTTATATCAACTCACGTGTTGGCCTTCTTTGGGCATTTGGACGACTTGGTGTTTGGATGGCGTCACGCGAATCACTCGACCGTGAAGTCGCACTTTATCCAAATAGTTGTGCGCCAGAGCCGCCTGACCCGGTTCGGCCATCTGGACCAAAGCGTTGTCCTTTTTGTTGAACAAAATCTTCACTCGAATTACGTCTCCATAAACTCCTGAAGAATTAGTTTAAAGAAGTTTTGAATTAAATGTGTTTTGAATTTGATTTTGAATACAAAAAAAGCGGAAATAATAATAAATAAGTTTTTTGTTTGTTTTTTTTGGACAAAAAAAGAGTGAAAAACGAACCGAAAAGAGTGAAGAGAGCGTCAGTTGTTGTGGTCTATTGTTATTTGGATTCAGATGTCGAAGAATCACAAGATTTTTAAAAAGATATAAACAAAAAAAGCGAAAAAAAACGAAGAATTAGTCGTAAAAAACGGCAAAAAAATGGGCGAAAAATCGGTTGAAAAAACTGTTAGAAAACTCACGCCTTCGTTGAGATTCGAAACCAACAAAACGGGAGTTTGAAGTCCAGAATGACCGCCGATTATACCGTTTCCCAATTGTTGGCCTAAACCGAGTCCGAGTTGGCCGAGAGCGCCGGCAGCCGTCAACGGGAGCAAAGGATTCAAAGCACGCAAAGCAGCCGTTTGGCCGACAAAAGGCCCGAAAGACGGATGTTGTGATTGTTGTTGAGCTAACAGTGCGTTCAGAGCGTCGTTGTGTTGCTGTTGTTGTTGTTGGTGATGATGGTGCTGCTGCTGCTGCAGTTGGGCAGCCGCCGCCGCCACGTGGGCGTGTTGCAGAGCGGAGGAGTGGTCGGCGGCCATTGGTTGTCCTCCAACTCCGCCGACGGGTGTTTGTGTGAAATCACGTGATTTATCGTTATTGAATTTGACGTTTAATTGCGTCAGTTTTGAAAACTCGACTCTCAATTGGTTTGCATTCGGATGAAACAGATTCTGTCCGTCCAGTAATGTCCGCGCCGTCTGGGCGTCGGTCGGAGTGGCCATTTGGATGAGAGCCTGGAACTGTTGGTTTTTAGTGAAAGTAACGATTTTATGGACTTTTCCCGCTCTCGCGAACACCGAATGCAATAAATCCAAAGACATGGCGTATAAAGCGTTCTCAACCACGACTCGCAATACACACGACGGCTCTCGACTCACGCCGTTGTCGTGGCCAGAATGCGGGTGATGTCCTCCGCCGCCGACCGAATGTCCGCCGAAGCCGTGATCGCCGTTTCCGTTGTGTCCATTACTTCCGCTGTTATTCTGATTATTGGTCTTCAGTTCCTTATGATTGGACAATTGGCAGAACACGTGACGGCCTCTGATGTTGGGTTGCATCGGAGCGGGAATTCCGGCCACAGTTGAAGACAACCAATAGTTGACCATTTGTTGGGCGGAATGCGATTCCAGAAACTCGACGAACGCCTGGGCTTTGCCTTTGAAGAGGAATTGCGTCAAAACTATTGTCAAAACAATCAATTGATTACCTCTTAGAATGAGACAATTGGTCACCCGACCGAATCCGGCCGCCAGACCAATCAGATCCGAATCGGTTGTGTCGACGGGAATGTTGCGCACGTGAACCACTCGGGACTTAATCGGCGGTCCATTAATACTGCGATTATTTGTCGTCTGATTATTGTTTAAATCGTCTTTCGGTCCATTAGTTCCCGAAGACGTCTCGTATTTTATCTTTTTTGTCGACAATTCGTTTTCATTAATTGTATTCTGATTGTTGTCGACAACAATAGTAGTCGTAGTGGTAGTCGTCGTGGGCGACGTCTGGGCGACGATTACTGGCGAAGAGCCGTCGTCCGGGACGACGACACATCCGTTTATCACTTCGACAGAAGTTTTCGAGTCCATCGCGAGGTCGTCTTGAGAGCGCTGTTGTTGTGATTGATTGTTGTGGACAAAGAAGTGGTGATTAGTGTGATAGTGATGTAGACGTCGGGATGAATTTGACGGATGGATGGATGGATGAGTTGGACGGACGGCGAGGAGATTGAGAGCAACAGACAGAAAGAGACAGAAAGAGAGAGAAAATGAATGGAAAGAACAGAACAAAGAGTTTTTGTGGTAAACAAAGAAAAAGGCTTTTCTTCTACTACTCTCTGACTCTGAAGGTGTGTCCAAACAACCGGACGGCAACACCCCTTACCAGAGAGAGAGAGAGAGAGAGGAGAGGGAGAGGACGTCACGTGACTGACTGTCTGTCTGTTAAGTCAAATACCTTTGTCATTGTTGCGCCGATTCTTCGGGCGGCCAATCAATACAAAGTGGTCAGCCAATGATCAGTGGACAGTCAGATCGGTTAGTCGGGTAGTCGGCAGTTGTTTCACCGCAGGAGTTGTCGGTAAAATTCAAAGACGAAAAACAGTTTATTTGAGAAATAAATAATAAATAGTTTTTTTTAAAGACTTTTCAAATGACAAAAACAAACGAAGAGCTCAAACACGACGACAGCCATTGAAACGCATGCGTAATGACTACTACTAGTAGTAGTAGTAGTCATTGGGTTCGCCCAAAAAGTACGTCCAGATAGCGGGCGGGACGGGACGGGACGGGACGCGGGATTAGCGGGAGACTAACACTAACTGAACGCATGCGTCAAATAAATATGTGTTTCAATACATATATATATATATAGTATTTCAATATAAATAATAAAATAAATAAATAAATAATAAAAACATTTTTTTAAAGATTTTTGAAATAAAAAATCTCATTAATTAATGGCCAATAAGTCGTCACAGCGACCGCCACTTCCATCGCCGCAGTCGCTATCGGCGGTCGCCGGCCAATGGATTGAAATATCCGAACCGAAAACTGGTGTCCAAATGTTTGCCAATCTGGTCACGTAAGTAGTAGTAGTAGTGATAGTAAAGCCACGCCTTTTGTATTAACTTCTTCTTCTTCATTCAGCGGTGAGTGTCGTTGGGATGAACCGCGCGGTCCAGGAGTGGCCATTGCTCGGGCATCGGATCCATCGGTTACTCAATGGTGGGAACTATACGTAAGTTGTTGTTTGCTGTTGTTGTTTGTGTTGTGTCGGGACGACGTCTTACCGAATGAAATCGTCTATCGGGACGACGACGACATGTTTCTTAAGTCGTCTATCGGGACGACGGCTTACCGATGAAGTCGTCTATCGGGACGACGTCTTACCGTTGAAGTCGTCTATCGGGACGACGGCTTACCCATGAAGTCGTCTATCGGGACGACGACCTACTCGTGAAGTCGTCTATCGGGGCGACGACCTACTCGTGAAGTCGTCTATCGGGACGACGACCTACTCGTGAAGTCGTCTATCGGGACGACGACCTACTCGTGAAGTCGTCTATCGGGACGACGACCTACTCGTGAAGTCGTCTATCGAGACGACGATAGCTAAACAACTAAATAACTTTTAATTCTAAGAACTAATTAATTAATTTATTTTCATTTTAAAGGATCAAAAAAGTCAACGCTTTTACTATTACTGCGCTCGCGATCAGCGGACAGTATGGAAGCGGCCGACAGCTGACGAAGCAGTTGTCGTTCCGTTAGCCAAACTACAGATTCTCAAACAAAAGACGACAAGTTTATCGCCGAAACCTTCGTCGTCCGGAACGACCACTACTACTACTACTACTTCAGAACGATCGACACAAACAGAGCCGCAGACATGCACTCGATCGACACAAACCAGTGGCCAGTGGTCTGATTGTAGCGGAGGAGGCGTTGGTGGCCACCAAATGGTGGCCGAATTTCGTAATCCTAGTCTTCGTCATTATCTGATATCTGAGGCCCGATTGACTCACGCTATGCGAGGCGTTGGCGGCGGCGGTGGCGGCGAATCGGGAACTATTCTGACCGGAGTATACGATTCGGACGACGATTACGCCGATGAAGACGTCGATGTGGACGAAAGCGATGTCTCATGCGATGCGGACGACGAATATGATTGCGATTTCTCTAATGATGACGACGTCTCGGACGACGACGAAGTTTCGGACGACGACCGCATCGATGCCGTTGTCGTCCAGAGACGACGCGATGTTCACAATAATGCTATTCAATCGCCAAATACTAGACAACCGGTTGTCGTCGTCCAGAGTGTCGTCCAGACGACGGCCACCACTGTAGCGACTCATAGATCGCCGCCACTGCCATCGCTTCCCGCACATCAACAGCCAACCGTTCAGTGCCAACAACAACAACAACAACACCAACCGGTCATAAAATCGGTATCTTTGAGTCAGATTTCAGTTCCGGTTTCTGGTCATAAAACTTCGGCCACAAGTCCTCAACCGAAACGAATGACAACTTTAGAAACGACGACAACAACGACGACCGCCGCCGCCGCCACCACTCGTATTCCTCCACTTCCTCCGCCACCACTGGAAGTCTTGTCTTCTGGTCTTTCGATCGAATCGTTTGCAAAAGAAAACATTGAAAGACATCGAAAGCTATTTATCGGTAAAAAAGTTTCGTTAAAACAAATGCTCGAATGGTCTAAAAAATCGATTCGAAAACCAATGATTTCATCGATTTCTGACCACAAACTCAGATCCGAAGCGAAACTCATGTTTCGATCGGTTCAACGCTTTATGCACGACATCCCCGCATCGCTAGACGATAGCCAACAACAAGTAGTCATCGGTGGTCAACACCAACAGCAGTTGTCGTCCGAAGCCGTGGACGACGATCTGTTGCTTCAATTGTTGACAACAGCCGCACAACAACCCATACTTCGAGACGAACTTCTCATTCAAATTGCAAGACAAACGACAAGAAATCCGTCGGAAGATTCCGAACGACGGGGTTTGCGACTGATGGCCGCTTGTTTCTGGTATTTCCCGCCCTCCCAGAAACTGGCCCCACATTTGCGGGCATTTCTGGCCAACCATACGAATCCGGAGGCCAGGGATTCGGTTCGCCGTAAATTCGAACAACAACTTCGTCGTTCACAGCAATCGCATGTCGTCTACGTTCGTCGTCCGCACGACAGACAAGAAGTTCGTCGTGTCCTCCGTTGTGTTGAAAGCGGTTTTGTCGGCGTTTTCGGCGAACGACTGGACGACGCACTCATCGATCGGCGACTCATTCCATGGTTTGTTGTAATCAGTGGTCGTCTATCCGTCTATCGGGACGACAGCTTTGCTTAACACACGAGTCGTCTATCGGGACGACAACTCATATATATATTGGTATATAATGTTTGCTTTTTTTAGGCCAATCGTTGCACTGACAGAAGCACTGCTTCGGTGTCGCGGATCTGTCGACTCTACGAACACCACTGCCGGCGGCGGCGGCGATGAAAGCGGTGACCAATCGGCGGGCGAGTGTTGCGAACGCGAAGGTGTGTTCCGTTGTGTCGGAGATTTGGATGAAGTCATGCGTCTCAAGATTAAGAGTAAGTGTTTGTTGTCGTCGTCGTCGTCGTCCCGAACGACCACTCATTAACACACTCTCTCTCTGTCTGTCTGTCTGTCTGTCTGTCTGTCTGTCTGTACAGTCGATACAGTGATCACTAGCGGCGACCATCCGGACGACGACATCCAATCGTCGGTCGATTTGAATCATCTGTTAAGCGACGACATCGACATTCATGTTATCGCTTCGGGACTGAAACTCTATTTTCGTGAACTACGGGAACCGGTTGTTCCCTACGATCACTATTGGGAAGCATTGGATGCCGCACACGATCCGCGTCGGGCCCGGCGTCTGGTCGATCGATTGGCACCCGTCAACCGTCTATCGTTGGCCTATTTGATCCGATTTCTACAAGTATTCAGTGCACCCGAACATGTAGTTACTACGAAAATGGACGACGCCAACTTGTCGATGGTCTGGGCGCCAAACTTATTGCGGGCGTCGCCGACTGCAGCCGCCGATTGCACGGCCTCGGCGTCGGTGACCAACAGTGGTCAACAACAACAACAACAGGACATGTCGTCGATATTCGAAAGAACGCGTTCGGAGATGTCGTTCGTTCGGACATTGATTCAACATTTGGACACTTCTTTTGTTTCGGGCGTTCGTTGAATAAGAATTACCCGAAAATAACGGTTAAAAACGGTTTTAAAATATAAGTTTTTTTCTCAAATAAAAACATAGATTTTAATCATTAATTAATTTGTAAAAAAAATTAAATTAATTGATTGAAATATAAAATCGTAAAAACATTTGACAAACAAAATATCAATCTTTACATTACATTATGCGACAAAAACATTGCCGCCGCCGGCGCTCTTGATTTGCCAATTGATTTGTTAATGTTTCCAATTGATTGTTTTGTTTGTCCAATTGTTTGACAATTGTCTTCAACAGGTCGTGTATATCTTGTTCGCCATTTTCGCCACCATTTTCGCCGCCGGCGTACGGTTGGCCGCCATCGGTCGTCGCCATTGAGTTATCCGTCGTTAATCCGGATAACCATTGACTAATGATAGAGAAGTTAGACACCGCCGCAAATAACTCAGTTGAAAGCAAACTTTGGTTGTCAATAGTTATCGGCGACGGCGGCAGCGGTTCAGCATTAGGATCGATGCAGCCATCAATTGACGATACGACGGGAGACGACGTGTTGTTGTGATTGGCCGACGAAGACGACAACGAACCCGACTCTGAAAAGTCGAGTCCATCGATATTTGGTGTCCATCGATATCTGTCCATCGATGACGACATAGTTCTGTCCAATTGTTTCAATAAAGTTGTCTTTAATAAACTTTGTCTTTGGTCTGATGTCTTTCGACGTCTCAATACAACAACTTTGTCAGTCAGTTGTTGTTGTTGTTGTTGTCTTGAGCTCATGACTTGAGTCGGAGTGTGAAATGTGACGCCAATTGACGGCCAAACTTTGAAACCATAAAAAACTTTTCCTAAAAAACTTTTTTTTACTGTTTTTTTGTTGTTTTGTTTGTTTGTTGACTATTAGACAGACAGACAGACAGACAGACAGACAGACAGACAGACAGACAGACAGACAGACAGACAGACAACTAAAAATCACGTGCAAAACATCGACACAAATAGATGGCGCTGACGGACGACGACGTCAGATATGTCGCTGAAGAAGAAGAAGAAGTAGTGGACGACAACTCCGACGACAGATTTAGTTCGCGAAAAGTCTTTTAGATTTTTGTTTAAAAGTAATGAATACTCAATAAACTTTGTCAGTGCTTCTGTCAGTGCAACGATTGGCCTAAAAAAACCAGACATTATATACATATATATGATATGAGTCGTCGTCCCGATAGACGTCGCAAACATTTTTTGATTAAAATATATATTTTTTTTTCTTATAAATAAAACTTCACTTTATTTTTTTTGAAATCATTTGAATATATTTTACATTAAATTACAAAACAAACGATTTCTTAATCTCTTTTCTTCTTTCAATTGATACTCGAGAACTGCTATTCGAGTCAACGAGTCTTCGAGTTTTGCTTCAAATTTCTTCTCGAGTCTGTCCTCTAATCTGCCGATTCGTTCGTTTGTTGTCAGCGCACGTGTAAGCAGGTCTTGCTGACCGCTGACCACTTGACGACCCACTGAATTGATTGATGTAATTAGTGATTGCATTGGCGGCGGCGGCGGCGGCGGCGGCGGCGGCGGCGGTTGTCCTCCAGAAGTGCTTGCTATAGCGTAATGATGTTCAATGGGAACAACTGCCACCTCCACCACCGCCCCCTCTTCCGCAACCAAAGATGAAATAGCCGGCGATGCCTGACTCGCATCTACAGCGGTCACCGGTGACGGTGGCGGCGGCGGCGGTCCATATAACGATGCCATCTTAGTTAACGTAAGTTTTAAAAGTGATATTTCAGTAATAGATTTATGATTTAATTTGTGACTTTGTCTCAAACTATTGATTGAATGGCAATCGTTGTCTTCAACTGTCTGTCGTTGACTTTCAATAGAAAGCATTTTTTTTTTTTTTTTTTTGCGTCAAATGAGACTCCAAATGGCGGTCAAAATGTGAAACTTTGACCAAAATTTTCCGAACTTTAGTTAAACTTTTTTGTTGTTTTGTTTGAGACGACAACTCAAAGACGACTCAATAGATGGCGCTGACGGATGACGACAACTGATTGATTGATTCGCGTGAAGAAGTCTTTTATTTATTTTTTTTTTTAAAGTAATGAATGAATGGTTTGATTTGTTTTTTTTTCGGTAAAATAAAGTTTTCGAAAAAAAAAATAATTGAAATTATTTTTGTTGTCATTTTGTGTTGTCGTTGTCGTCGTCGTCCCGAACGACGTCCACAATATTGGTGTTGCTGTCGTCCGGCAGTCGTGCAATCAATACGTGCCGACAGTTGGCCAACAAGTGGTCGGTTTCGACGCGAGACAAACCGGCCGAAGACATCCAATGGTCGAGCGATTGACACAACTATTCAAAATAGAGATCAATTGAATGATTGATTGATTGTTTGAATGGATTTAAACCTTTTCTAAGTGCGAGACTTGAAGTCCGCGAAATCGTTTGACTCGTCGTCCTAAACGAACACGTGATGAATGGCCGACTATTTTCGTACATAAATCGCGGAGTTTTTGGACGACAGAAAACACTAGTTTTTCTTTGCGAATCAATTGAACGGAAAGTTCGAACGGCAATCGATAGGAACCGTCGGCCGAAGAATTAGACGAATAATTAGTTTCCGAAACGTGAAGACATTTGAATCGCGAAACCAATGGCGACGACGACGAGGAGGAGGAGTCGTGGGATGTCATGTACGGCGAGAGAATGAGCGCAACAAACGGATGTCTATTATCTCTTGAAAACAATGTCTGGAATTGGGTTTGAGTTTCGATATCCCGAAGACTCGGTTGCGGAACAAAAGTCGGATGCGAATGATACCAACCGACGCACGACAGACGCATAGCTTCCAAACGCTCTTTGGCCAGAGCTTGCGATACTGTGGCGGCGGGAGATAGACGCGGGTCAGACTGCGGGACGGGACAGGACGGGACGGGATAAACGGCACTTACCCGGTTCCATATCGCACTGGAGATCGTCGTCCGATAGAGAAGCGCACGGTTCGGCCGTTAGGATTCGAAGTTCGCGCGATAAATGACAATAATGGCCGCCAAGCAGTCCAATGACTTCCGTTCGGACGCAATGGGCGTGAATGTCGACAATGGCCAGCGCTTCCACTGAAAGACGTAAAGCGAACGGCGCCTAAAAATAAATATCTTTAGAATTCTATTCAATCTTCTCGAGTATTTTATTACCTCTTCCTCCGAGTCGTACGTCTCGAGCGGAACCAATTTGAACGGATTGGGTCGGGTTCGGGCTTTTGTGGCCATCGGATGCGGCGGCAGTGGAGTCGGCGCTACGGACGCATCGGCCGCTGTTGTGTCGTCTATCGGGACGACGACATCGCGTTTCAATCGTTTATTTGTATTATTATTATTGAGTTGTTTATTGGGCGACGACTTTGACTTTGAGGATCGCTTCCGTCCACTTCTACCACTTCTACCACTTCTACGGCCACCACTGCCGCCGCCGTTGCGCATCAGTTCCTGTCTGGTAAACAAATTGATGGTTCGATGGGTTTCGAGAAACTTCTGGACTCTTGAGAATGCGGTAACATTTCCGAGATGCAAATGACCGACTTTTCGCAACATATCGTGATAACCGAACCGTTGCGGTCGACAGTGACGCCAATGACCGATAAAATGATTGCGAATTTCGCGATAAGAGTCCCGAGATTTGCCTTTTGTTTGGCCGTCGAAAAACTCGATCAAAACTGACTGTTCGTAATCGGAAACCGAATCCATTGAAACAGTTAGCGTTTCGCCCGTCGATAGCAACAAACTAAATGAAGATTCTTCGGCGACGGCGTCGGTGGCCATGACTTCGATTGTTGAGTCGTCGTCCGGGACGACGACAACACGAGTAGTAGTAGTAGTAGTAGTGGTAGTGGTGGACGACGACGACGATGACGATGAAGACGACGACGACGAAGAGCTGGCAGTAATGCCGGAGTCGACCTCTGATGATGAGATCTCTGAAGTAGTGGCAGCGGATTCAGTCGTTGTCGTCGATGTTGTTATGATTATCGGTGTCGTCGTTCCGGACGTCGACGACTCTTCGACTGCGAGCGACGTCTCGGACGACGACGGCGACGACGAAACTGAAGACGAGGTCGTCGTTGTCGTCGTCCGTTGACAGTCGTCACGTGATGTCATCACAGAAGTACCTATTGATTGGTTAATTCAAGTCAATTGAATGAATGTCTGACCAAATAATTAATAAATAAATAGTTACCGAATTCGACGACCAACGGGACAGTCGGCTCGCATTCGGCGTCCGATTCGATGCCGGAGTCGGTATTGCCGTTCGTTCGCGACATTCTTAGGTCGTGGACTTCTTCGGCGGCGGCGAATGACTGAATGAATTAAATGAAAATCGGGTTAAAAATCAATCACTAATGAAATAATCGGTAAAAAATTTTTGGTCACATTTCCGATGAATTATTATTTTTAATTGAAAAACATTTTTATTTATAATTTGTTTTTGTTTTGATTTTTTCTGTTTTCCTATAATTCTATTGAAATAAACTGTGATTTGATTTTTAGTTTTTATTTTTTTTTTGCCGACAATTTTGGTCCCATTTCTAACTATTTTCATTCAATAATAAGACAATTAGTGGGCTAACTGTATGAAAAAGGCCCAAAAAAATCTCTTATAACTAACTAATCGACTATCGGCTAGAATTCAAGCGCCAAATTCAACTCAATTGCAAATAAAACTCGAATATTTGGTCCTTTTTGTGATTACGATTCATATATTTAGATATAATAGACTCTAAATAGTAATAAAAAATACTAATTATTTATTTCAAGTTATTGTTGTTTTTAAAACCATGATTTCATGTCAAAAAAATTGGCGCAAAATTCAAATGAATTATTAAACCAATCAATCAATCAATCAATTGAACGGTTTGATTGACCGCAAAGTGACCGCTACTGACCGGACGTGACCATCAATTAACACCGAAAACAACGGAAACAGAAAAAAACAAGAAAACTTTTTTATATGAAAATCAAGTTTTTCAACAAAAAAAATAAAATAAACCCAAAAAAAGTCTGAATTTTACCGAAAAATAAAAACTTCGGAAAAGAGAGAAAAAACAGAATAATTAATAGATTTATGTTTTTTAATACAAAACTGGTTTCAAAATTCGTGTCTGTCTTGTCTACTGTCCTCTTGTCCACCGCCGCTGCCGTCGGGCGACATCTGCAGCAATTGATTCATAATGCGTTCGGTTTCGTTGGCCGCCCGTTGATCTTTCTCTTCGTCGGACATTAACATCAATAGAATCCCTGTCCACAAGGCATCGGCCGTTCCTTTGACGACGAAAAAAGTTCCCCGAATTCCCGACCAAATAGCCTTCGGAATGGCAAACAAATCGAACGACGGTCGCCGTGTAGTGGCCAATGGCCAGACTCCGCCCGACTTAAACGGCGGATTCAATGGTTTCAAAGCCGAACCGAACATTTGCTGTTTGGAATCGGTTGGCGACGACTCGGATGGCGTCGGAAGTGATTTCCACCACGGATTCAATCCGTAATTATTGACAACTCTTTGTCGACGAAGTCTTCGATATCTTTCGATCGGTCTTTCGATTGCTATTCGAAGCCATAATTCAAACTCTTTTTCGTCTTTTTCTTCATCACTAATCACTTCATTGTCTTCTTCTTCAATAAAATAATGTCTTTTTCGCCAACAATTGATCGGAAAATCGGCAAAAAATGCAATAAAAATACCGAAACTTAAGACAAAAGTCTTTGAAATGAAAAACATTTTATTTATTTATGTTTTTCTTGAAAATCACGTGTTTTTCAGTAAAAAAACAGATGTTTTATACAAACCTTTATTTTTTTGAACAGATTTTCGGTCGAAATGACCGACAAATTGACCGCAAATTCAATCAATTGATCACAAAATAATGTCTTCATTAATGAAAATATCGTTTGTTTTTCAGAAACAGTTTTTTTTGTTTCAATAAATCGAAAGACATTTCCGAAACTCATGTCTTTGTTATCACTTTTTTTTGACCGAAAATTAATTTTTTTTTCATTCAATTCAGCAGTTATTCAAAGGAAACAACATTTTCTGTCGATTTTATCAAAAAATGTTTTTTTAGAAAAAATGTTTAGTTTTGCAACAAATTTATCGCAAAAATTGCAAAAAAAGCAAAAAAAACGAATCAATGAATGAAAAAATGATTAAAAAAAACTAAAAACTCATTAAAACAGCAAAACTTCTTATCTTTTTCTAGTTTTTGACTAAATTTTGAAAATTTTTTGATGATTTCTATGTAAAAAATTTTCGCATAAAAAGACTGGAAATCTCTCGAAACAGACATCAGTTCTTCACAACAGAAGTCCAGAGAAGAAGAAGAAGAAGAAGAAAGAAGTCTTGAATAACAACAAGAAGTAGAAGAAGAACTAAAACCGAAAAACACTGAACAGAATGCGAGTTCTGCTCTTTGCGCTCTTCGTGGCCGTCGCTTCAGGTATTTATAATAACTGTCCTCTCAATAGCCGACTGTCCTCTGAAACCTAACCGTCCCATTCCTCTCCTCCCAAACGACAGCCGCTCTGACGACGCGCCAATCGATTCGTTTGAATTCCGGCCAAACCTATGTCTACGACTACTCCTCTCGACTGTTGTCCGGAATTCCCGGCGTTGGCGACCAATTTGCCGGTCTTGAGATAACTTCGCAGATTGTGATGCAATCTCAAGGACAGGACGGTTTGGTTAATATGAAACTCGTGAACATCCAAATCGGCAAACATAACGGTCCCATTGGTCACGAGGCTCAGCCCCAGATGGAGCACCAAATGGCCCAACAGTTGGCCCGAGAGTTGCAGAAACCGATTCGTTTTGTTTATACCGACGGCAAAGTCAAGGCCTTCGAAACCGACGAATCAGAGCCCGAGTGGTCGGTCAATATGAAGAAAGCCGTTCTTTCGCTTTTCAACGTCAATCTCAACCCGAAAAAGATCATCAAATCGCCGACCAATAACCAGATCTTCCGTCCCGATGCCGCCGCCGATCTGACCGTCTATCCGGTCTATGAGGACGGAATCGGCGGTCTTTGCGAAACCGTTTATGAGTTGAATCACATTCCGTACGAAAAGACGGGAAATAATGACTATTCGGACAACAATTTCGTATTGAATGTCACGAAAACCCGAAATTACGACAACTGTCTGACCGAACCCATCATTGTTAACGACAACTACGACGTTCGCGGCTGTCCTTGGGTTTGCCGTAAAGACAAATCCGGACCCGCAGTTCCCGGTTATTATCCGACTCCCGACGCCGTCACCGATCCCTATATGTCGGGATGTCCGTGCGGTCAGGAACCGCATGAATCGCCGGTCGATGCCTTCGCTCTATTCAAATACAACATTTCGCTGGTTTCGGGACATCCGGTCATTGAATCGGTTTTCGCCGATTCGAAGATCGCTTACAAAACAAATGGCGACGAATTAGTGATTATTACTCAACAAAACCTCACATTATCTGCCGCTGGATCCGCTCAGGTGTCCATCCAATCGATTCCACGACCGGTTCGTCATCAGGAACTGTCGTTCCGTTTGCCGAAACCCTATCAACACCAACAACAACAACAGTCGGGTGTTGTCGGACATCAACCGCTAGATATTCCCTACTATTACATCTTCGGTCAACCGAATACCGAAGAATTGCATCAATTGATCCCTCAATTGATTGAATCGATTGCCGATGATATCGTTTCGGGAGATTTGGCCGCCAGTAAGGAATCGCTTCAGAAAACCGTCCAAATTGTGAACGCAATGGCCGTTTTGGATCAGTTATCTCTCGTCCAACTGTTCGAACAAGTGGCCGAATCTGGCCGTCAGTTGCGATCGAATCAGAAACAACAAGTTCAACGCAAACTATTTTTGGACAGTCTTCCGCTTTGCGGATCAAATTCTGCAGCTTTGTTCATCAAACAGTTGATTTTGGCCGACAAGATCTCGACCTCGGAAGCCAAGGAACTGATAGAAGCCGTTCCCCAGAATCTGTTCCTCATCGACACCGCCACTATTGACGCCTATTTAGAACTGTTTGAATCGCAGAAAGTCCAACACCGCCGACACTTGGCCTCTTCCACTGGAATAGCTTTCGGTAAAATGGTCAAAGAAGCGTGTGTCAAACGCCAGACAACTCCCGGCGATATTCCCGACGGAAATCCAGTTCCCCATCAGATTCGTGGACAACAAGCCCAACAAATAGTCGCCACTTCTCAGTCGACCAAAAGAGTGACGATTCAGTCGCCGATCAGTCAATCGATTTCCCAACGAATGAAACGTTCGGTTAATTCCGCGGACAATGATTGGTCGCAACAATTCCCGCAAACCGTTTGTTCGGCTCAAGACCTCAACAAATACGTCCAGATTATCGGCCGATTGTTGGACAATGCCAACACTTTCCACCAGAAAGTCACACTAATCGAAACATTGGCTCATATGGGCGTTCCTCAAGTCCTGCCGATTCTCGAACCGTATATTTCGGGTAAAATCTCTTCAGCGAAATGTCCCGGTTATCCCATAGAAAAGAAATCACTTCAGGACGAAGAATGCGCTTTCATCCGACAAGTGGCCATCTATGCCGTCTCCCATGTGACCGACTATTTCCCCAAACAAGTCCTCCCATTGGTTCTACCCGTCTATTTCGATCCCTCCGAACCCTATGCCGTCCGAATCGCCGCCTTCTCGAACATCCTGTCCTCTGCCACTGATAAATCAGTTTACGAACGAATTGCTAGTGAACTGCATCGGGAGTCCAACCGACAGATCCGATCGTTTGTCTATTCGGCTCTTCAAACAGTCGGCAATTCCAGTCAACCGTGTCTTCAGAAATCGGCTCAATTCGCTCAACAAGCCTATCAACATCTGCCCGAAGCCGATTACGGTATGCAATACTCGAAAATGATGGGACACGGATTCTACGACGACCAGAAAGACTACGGTCTCTATTCGGTTGCCGAATGGGTGGCCAACAACAACTCGCGTGTTCCCCGAGCCGGATATCTGGCCGTTGGTCAGTCTTCGGGTCCATTTCAAGACGATTTGATTCAATTTGGATTCAATTCGAAAGGAATGGAATCAATTGTCGAACGAGTTCTCGAACCGAACGGACTGTTGGCCGATATGTTCGAAGGATTGAATGCCAAAGGAAAAGACCGAAGAATAACCAAACGAAACGCCGATTCCGTCGGACAGGCGTTGGAAGCGTTGAAATCGAAATTGAAACTCGAAATGCGTTCGGATAACGAACCCAAAGCCACCGTCTTCTTCAAAGTGTTGGACAGGACAGCCTATTACGCTCTGGACAAACATTACATCCATTCCCTCATTGACTCGATGGAAGATCAGCTCAAAGACGCCGCTCAATGGCTAATGCAAGGACTGGACTATCATTACGTCAAACTAGTTATGCCTCAACAGCTCTACAAAGTGTTGCCGTCGGAAATCGGTTTACCAGTCGTTGTCTCCCACAGACATCCGATGATCATTTCACTGAAGATTGACCAAGCTAAACTCCAATTGGAAACCGCACCCAAAACCGTCTACCCGACCGGTGTCAACCTGACCGCCCAAATCCAACCCTCGGTCTACTATTCGAGCTATGCTTTCGCTTTTGCCGTCAATCCGGCTGATCGAACCGCTTACGGAGCTCATGTCGAAAAGACAACTCAAATGACATTCCCGGTCGAAATATCTGCCGGTTATTCGCGACCCAAGAATCTGGTCACCTGGTCTGTGATCCCGAAAACCCAACAACAAGAGATCGTCTATCACAAGACCCAAGCGAAGACATTCATCGCCAAAACAGCCATCGCATCGGCACCGGACAGAGATTGGCTTCAAGACGCCAAAGATGTCAAACAAATGGCCGCTCCGTTCAAACACGACTCGACTTACGGCCAGGAAGAGCTCGGTCTGGGAGTTCGGGTTCAAATGAATACCGAAAATCCGTGGGAAACACAACCCTTGTACTCCACCCATACCTACAAACAACACGGCTTTGTCGCCGCCGCTATCCAACAATGGCGTAATCCGGGATTGGCTGCACGCGAAGTACACGTCACTCTCGAATCAGATGCCGAAGAACCCATCAGTGGTTACGACTTTACAATGCGTTACAAATGGATCGCCGACTCCGAACACGACAAAGACGCCGACGATTCAGACGAATCTTCTGCTTCTTCCGAATCAGATTCCGACGACTCGGATGACTCTTCGTCTTCGAAATCATCTGAATCCAAATCTTCGGCTTCCGATGAATCAAAATCATCGAAATCATCGAAATCTTCCAAATCTTCGGAGGAATCGAATGAATCGAAACAATTGAAGAAAAGAATTCGTCAAAGAATGTCAAAAGCAGTCGAAAGTCAACAAAGAAACCGAAGATCCGCTCAAAAGGAATCTCACGAGTCGTCCGACGAATCGTCCAACGAATCCGGAGATCTCTCGTTCTCGAAGTCCGGATCCAAAGAGTCGTCTCAATCGTCATCTTCAGAGTCGGCTTCTTCGGAGGAAAAACGAAAAAACAAATCCAAGAACTCGTCGTCCAATAAATCCAACTCAAAATCTGCTCAATCTTCTGAATCTTCGTCGTCTTCTTCATCAGAATCCGATGAATCAGTTTCAATGGAAGACAAGGTTTTCGGTTACGAATCGGTAATGAAATTGATTTTCGGACAAGACTTCAAAAGACATCAAATCAAACGATTGGCCAAACAATTGATCCGAAAAACGGCTAATATTTGGTCGAAACAATGGGACGAAGACAACGACTCGTCGTCTTCGGATGAATCAAATGAAAACGAATTGCATTCGGATTTGGTTCCCGCGACCATTGCCCACGACTTTGTCTTTACGGCCGTAGCCCGCGGACCCCGTCCAACCTTCTACGCCGCCAACGTTCTGTACGTTCATACCTACGATCACCGAATCGTTTGGATCAAAACCGACGGACACATAAAGACACCGAAAGGCGTTTACATGACTGTCCCGACACTGTTCTGCGCCGACGCTGTGGTCGCCTACCCGACCCTACCGAACGAGTTCTACTACGAACCGACTCAACTCCAGTCACAGAAAGCCCGACTCCAGGCTCACGCCGGTTGGGGTGAACAATGCCATAGTGAAGGAGCCGTTATTGTTACCGGTGTTTTCGAATCGACCGAAGATCGGGTAATCACTGCCCAGGATCTGGCCGTTCAGGACGGATCGTCGGCTGCCAATGTCCAGAACTGGTACTACAGACAGTGCGCTATCGATCGGGCCTCAGGTCAACCCCAATCATACGCTTGCGAACGATCTTTGATCGAAGATTCGTATTTCAATCAAATGATTGTCGATATTAAGTACAAAAATGTCGGAAAACAGTTGAAAAACTTGACATCAAAAGCAGCGATGGCTCTGAAAGTCGCTTTGTATGAACATTTGGACATCGATTCCACGGCTGATAATCAAAACAATCAGATCCGAATCACGGCTCAGTACTCGTCCCGAATTCCCGACATTCAGTTGGCCAATGTTGAGATCAAATCGCCGGAAGAAACCATAAGATTTGAACGCATTTCCACACCATATGTCCGACCCGTTAGCGCTTTGTTGCCAACTTTGGAAGTTTTCGGTAATTTGATTACCGGTTACGATGCCCGCGACAAATGTCAACTAATGGAAGATTATGTCCGAACCTTCGACAACGTCACGTTCCAAATGCCCGAAAGTCCGTGTCAGTACTTGTTGGCCAAAGATTGTTCGCCGAAAGAACGGTTCGCTGTTTTCTCGCAACAACTCAACCCCCAGACTAAGACCAAGACTTTGTCGGTAATCTTGAGCGGCGGTCAAGACATCAAACTTCTTCCACCGCAACAACAAGACGTCGCCCAAGTAGTCATCGCCGGTCATACTCACGAACTGACTGCTCGTAAACCGATAACTCTGAGTCAAGACGAATACGAAGTCCGTATATATCTTCGTCACACACCATCCGACGCCCAAAACCCGATAGTTGTCGTCGAATCGGATTTAGTCGGTCTTCGAGTGAAATACGACGGAAAGAACGCCAAAATCGAAATCGATTCCCAATATTCGGGCAAAACATGCGGTCTTTGCGGCGATAATAACGACGAATCCGACGAAGAATTTCTTGGACCAGATTTCTGTGAATACGATTTTGCCGAAGATTTCGCCAATTCGTATGCATTGAGTGGACAACACTGCGAACAGGCTTTCAAACCAAAAGGTAATAATCAATAACTAACTGTCCATTCAGTCAACTAATCATTTGATTTTTAGGTCCCAAACGGTGTCCAAACAAATCCGATGACTCGTCTTCTTCGTCTGAAGAGTCCATCGAAGCCAAAGTGATTGCACCCAATGGACAGATTGCCGGAACAGCAACCGGCGGTTCGCAAGTCGTGGCAGCTCAGGCTCAGGCCGAAGAACTCGGTCGTCAACAACAACAACAAATCGAGAATCAGATGACCAGACAACAAGACGGCCAACAGTTGACACCCGAACAGAAACAAGCAATGATCGGTCAAACACAACAACAACAACAACTGATCCAACGATTGAGAACTCAATACATCGAACGGGACGACATGATCTGTTTCACGACCCGACCCGTCCTCGGCTGTGTCCCGAACTATGGCCGTCCGTCGGCTCTGAAGTCCGTAAAACTGGACTTTCATTGTCTACAGAAACAGTCGCCGTTCACTCAACAGCTGATCCACGATTCGGCCACTAAAGTCCTGAAACAATTGCAGAACAAACGAGTCGATCTCCGACAAGTCATGGACGTCCCCGTGTCGTGTGTGGCCGCCGCCTAAACCCCCGATTAATTCCCGATTAACCGATTGATTATAAATATAAATATTTTTGTTAATAACGCTCTTATCTCTCAATAATTTAAATAAAAACAGCATTTAATTTAAAAAAACAATTTTCTATTTATTTATTTGACATTTTTCGGTCAGTTTTGGTCAGTTTTCAGACCATTCAATTCGGTGGACAACAAGTGTTGTCCGAAAGTTGAAAACAATTTGTTTAAAAAAAATCAATTGATTTCTTGTTTTAATAACAAAACAAAAAAAAAATCAATACATTTGAGAAAAATTTTTTTTTTTATTCAAAATCTAATTCAATATTAAAGTTGTTTTAGTTATCAATAGTTTATTGATTATTGCAATCAAAATATAGTTTAGTTTTTTAGGATTTAATAATCAAATTCAAGGTTTAGTTTCAGATCTGATACTATTTTATATAATTTTTTTTGATTTGAAAGTGATTTATAACTCAATTATAATTAAACTTTTCTTTTATTTAAATTTTTCTATTGATTTTTGAATATAATTTTACATATTTTTCTGATTTTTAATTTCATAATAAAGTGTTTTTTTTTTGGTTTAAAATTACATTTTTTAGTTGATTTCCTGTTTTAATAACAAAACAAAAAATAATTGAATAAAAGTTAAACTAAAAAATATCTGTTTTATTGACGCAAAAAAATATAATTCAATATAAATTGCGTCAAAAATATTCAATTAATATGTTTTGCAATCAAAAAAAAATATTTCTAAATTAAATTAAACTATAAATGCTTTTAAAAAACAAAATTATAAGTATTTGTGAAACAAAAAAAAATGTAATAATTATTTAGTATTTAATAAATATTATTATTATTTTTTAATTTAATTAATTGTTACAAAAAAATCAAATTCATTGACAAAAAAAAACAATATTTAGATTTAGAAAAACAAAAAGATTATATAATAATTTATAATTAAATTTTAGTAATTGTTTGCAATGAATAGTATTTACTTTTAATTATTTTTTTCCAAAAATACTATTGTCATTATCGTATGGTTTAGCTATCGATTCAATTGATACTATTTTTGATTTGATTAAAAACAAACAATTAATTAATTAATTAAATTGGAAAATAATAATAAAAAAAAATAATTACAAAAAGCAATGATAACTATTGCAACCAATTCAACGAAACGATTCATTGTTTTTATAAAAGTTTTCCCAAAAACTTATTGTTTTTTTTTAATTTTCAATACAATTCAAACACTGATTACTTATATTATAATCAAGTAATTAAAAATTATGTAAAAATATGTTAATTTTTTTTGTTAATTGAAATTAAATATTATTTTGACGTCAATTCATAATATATTTATTATTAAATTTTAATTAATTTTTTGATATAAATATTAATTAAACAGAAAGTAATATAATATACTATATATAACGGTATATCATGTTTTAGTCCTGTTTTTATGTTTTTATTGACGAAAATAATTGATTAAAAAAAGGATTTTTAAAAACTTTTGAATAAATTTTTGAATTAAATAAATAATTATGAATTAAAAATAAACTAAATATAAGTTTATTTTAGTTTTAATTTCTTTTAATTTTATTAAATCTTTTTGTTTTTTCAATTGCATAATAAAGTGTTTTTTTGGTTTAAAATTACATTTTTTAGTTGATTTCCTGTCTTAAGAAATACTTCAGAAAATAATTAAATGAAAACTTTGAAAATAATATCTGTTTTATTGACGCAAAAAAAATATAATTTAATATTAAATTCAGTATAAATTTCAATACAAATAATTAATTATAAATTGCAAAACATATGGATTCAAAGGTATAAAAGTTGATGAAAAAAATGATCTTTTATAAAGAAATTTCTAAAAACTTATAAAAAAAAGATTAATTACTAAAAAAAACAACAATTAATATAACAAAAAAATATGAATCGTTTTGTTGTATTGTTTTCAGTGATCATTATTGCCATTCGTAAGTAATGATAATTAATTGATTTATAGATAATTGAAATTAATTAATTAAATTTTATATTACTTTTATTCAACAACAAAAAAATAGTATCAAGCATAACTGATGCTAAACCAAGTAAGTTAACTGTCATTTATATTATTTATGCAAATAAAAAAAACTGCAATAAATATTTTCAATATATATATATATTAATATATATGATTTAATTATGATTTTTATAATATAATTAAGCTGCTACTGGTGATACTGAGAATATTGGCAATATATAATTAAATTACCCCGGCTACAATACACAAAACAACAACAACAACAACAAATACAAGCCCCCTAACAATATAATGAATTAATTTGAATCTAAAATACAATATAAATTTATTTTTAAATATTTATGTTTTTGTACTCTAATTTTATAATTATTTTTATTGTTAAACAAAATTTCTAAATAAAACAAAATTTTTTGTTGTTGATAATTTAATTGATTTTTTTGAAAAATTAATAATTATTAGTTATCTTTAGTTTTATATAAAAACAATAATAAATTTTTGAATTAATAAATAAGTAATGAATTAAAAGTAAACTAAATATAAGTTTTTTTTAGTTTCAATTTCTTTGAATTTTATAAAATCTTTTTGTTTGTTTTTTATAATAAATTGCATAATAAAGTGTTATTAAAGTGTTATTAAAGTGTTATTAAAGTGTTTTTTTTGTCTAAAATTACATTTTAGTTGATTTCCTGTCTTAAGAAATACCAGAAAATAATTTATCTAAAAACTTATGTTTTATTGACGCAAAAAAATATAATTCAATATTAAATTCAGTATTATATTATATTCAACAACAATAAAATAGTATCAAGCACAACTGATGCTAAACCATGTAAGTTAACTGTCATTTATATTATTTATGCAAATAAAAAAAACTGCAATAAATAATTTCAATATAATTATGATTTATTAATTTCAATTTTTTCATTTTTTTTAAATTAATAATTAAGCTGCTACTAGTGATCATGAAAATGATGAATAATTAAATTGTAACAATACACAAAACAACAACAACAACAACAACCGCTACAATATAATGAATTATAATTTAATCTATAATTAATTTATTTAAATATTTATGTTTTGTTTTGTTTTTGAATCTAATCTTATGATTTTTATTGTTAAACAAAATTTCTAAATAAAACAAAAAAAATTGTTTTTTGATTATTTAATTGATTTTTTTTTAAAAAATAATAATTAGTATTATTACTAACTTTGGGGGGAAAGCATTGTAAAGCTTCCCCTGTAATGTATTTTTTAAGAAACATAAAATATATATAAAAAAAACTAATGAAATATCTTAATGAATGAAATGATTTCATTTTGATTTCATTTTCATCAATAATTGTATCAAAAATTGAAATTTAATTATTTATTTACAATAATTTATACTAAGATATTAAATAGTAATAAAAAATAGTTAATTAAAATAATAAATTATAAAAACTGTATTAATTTTAGCATTTTATTTCAAAGTCAAATATTAAAAAGTTAAATAAATAAAGTTAATTATTATATTTTATATATTTTTATTTTATTTTATTATATTATTTATTTTAAAATACAGTAATATTTTTAATTAATGATTAAAAGTAAAAATAAGTTTAAATAACTTTTTATAAAAATGATTTTGAAAATAAATTTAATACAAAATTATTAGTTTTATTCAACGACTACACCCTTGTGTTTCATTATATATGACTTTTTAGTCTAACAGTGTTTTGTGTACTGTAATCACATTCAGGCCACGAGCACCGGTAGACAATATCACCCGAATGTATATTGAAATGGTAAGTCATCGCAGCGTTTGACACAAACCTACGCTCACATCCCGGCCACTGACACGCGTGCGGACGGGGATTGTTGTTGTCCTTGACGTGTGATTTCCGATGTTTAAGATATTGATGTTTAATAGTAAACGTTTGGTTACAGCCATCGTAATCACAGTCAATGTCCATTAGTTGATGATGTAGTCTGTGATGCCATTTCAGACGGCTAACAGTCTTAAACTACGGTATGTTCGGATAGGCATCGGGATGTACAGTCAATCGATGACTATGTAGTAGTTGTTTCATTGAAAATGGGTTATCAGCGACAATCCCGGCACTCGTATGGCTTATCATAAATCATAATAAATTAAAGTAGGATTTCATTAAAGGAATCTCAAAACATATTAAAATGAGAATATTATTAATTTAAAATACGAAATCATTTAATATTATTTCACAATATAAATAAATATAAATAATTATATAAATATAAATAAATATAAATAATTATATAAATATAAATAAATATAAATAATTATATAAATATAAATAAATATAAATATAAATAAATATAAATAATTATATAAATATAAATAAATATAAATAATTATATAAATATAAATTAATATAAATAAATAATTATAAAAATACTTATATATTTTTAATTTAATATATTCTTAATTAACTAGATTTAATTTAATTATTTATTAGCTATAATTTATTCTTAATTTACTAAAATTTATTAAAATTACAGAAACTAAAAAATTATATTAAAAACTGTAATTAATTAATTTGTGTATTTTTATTATTAACTCGATAGTTTTTTTTATTAATACAAATTAATATTAATTTAATACAAAGCAAGAAACAAAACAAAAACATTAAAATAAATTTTCATAAATTATATTATTAGAAATCAATTATTCATAGATAATTAGTTAAATAAAAATTTTCATTGGATTTTTGAAAAAATATATTATTATTATTATTTAAAAAGTATTATTAATAATAAAATAAAATTATAGTTAAAATTATAAAAATAAAATTTTATTCGGGTTCGGGTTCAGTACACTCTAGACAATTAATTATAAGATCTAATGGTAGATCCGATAGATTTTGGACATTAATTTTAACCATATAATAGATAAACTCTTTTATTGTACAATTGTATAATTGTTTTTATTTTGAATAATTTCTTGTAAATAATCAAAAAGTCCATCGACACCATTACGCTGGTAATCATTACCACCCGCTGTCCTAGCTAGACAACCACGAATTGGATTATAGAGATTATACGGGCTAACGGTTTCTAACATCTAATTTTTAAAAAAATAATAATAATTAAAAACTTATTGAATTGAAAAAAAAATTTTTTTTATAAATTTTTACCGCAAATTGCATTAACCAGACGTCTAGTATCGGTTAGAGTTAGAGCGCCGGTGGTTGTGGTCATAAAATTTATGGCCAATACAATGACAATCATGACATACAATATACGCATTATGTTAACAATTTTTTTTATTATTTAAAACAATATTTGTTTTGTTTTTTGTTGTTGATTATTTTAAAGTTAAACATTGGCTTATATATATATATACACCTAAAATAAGTGGCAAAAAACTATTATTATTTTTGTTAATTGAATTATGTGTTTAATTAATGAGTTTACAATAAAAATAAAAATACTAATTAGTCATTGAATAGTTAATTATTAATAGAATTTGTCATTAAATTATGAGTTTATTACTATTTAATAAAATATTTATAAATATTTAAATTATTAATGAGTTTGTTATATACAATAAAAATAAAAATTAGTCATTAAATAGCAATTTAATCAATAAAAAAAATAATAAAATAATAAAATAATAAATATTAATTAAAGCGATTAAAATTTTTAAAATTCTTTAAACATGTTTAGTATTTATATATTTTCTAATTTAACATTAATTATGAGTTTATTACTATATAATAAAAAATATAAATTATTAGTTATTTTATAGTAAATAAACTCATAAATATTAATAATTAATTTTAATTTTATTATAATTTTTAACATTTGATTTAAACAAAATAATGTTGTAATGTCTGTTGTAATATAATTTTTATTATATGTTATTTAATTAATTGTTAATTTAGTTTTTTTTCTATTAATTTGTATTATTATTAAAATATTTAACATTTATTACAAAATATTAACAGAAATTTTTGAAAAATATATATAAAAATATTAATTAATTTTTTAATACAAATAAATATTTAAATCAAATATATAAGTAATCAAATAATTAAATATTAAAATTATATTTCTAGTAATCAATTATCGCAATTATTTAATTAATTTAATTAAAATAATAAAATCTTTTTTTTATTGATTAATATATTTTTAAAATAAAACTTATGTTAAAACCATGTTTTTATTTAAAAATTATACAAATTAAAATTTTATGGCTTATCATCCGAATGATTCATGTATTTTCAAATGACTGGTATTGTTGGCCATAAAACTGCACGAATCGATCGGACACTTGAATCCGTACCCAAATGTTGGTGTCGGTGCCTACGAAACGCTGAACAACTGTTCAATAGTTTCCAACAGCCAACCCATGGACCATCCGATAGGTACGACATTTGTTGGTATCAAACAATTCAATGCCATCACTGGTCAGCCGATTTGATTCGCTTCTTAACAACAACAGCTGTCGTTGACTTCTTTTTCTTCTTCGTCTTCCTTACCACTGTTTTATTCATTTCATTACTTGTATTCTTTGACTCAATCGATGTCTATTCAAATAATATAAACGATCGGTAATATACTGACACTCATTGTCTATATCACACCTTATGTCTATGCATATGTCGTCTGAAACGTTGTAATTGTCTCCATGTTTGCTTGCAGTCCGTCCATTGGCACCGATATGTGCCGTCCGGTTGTCGACATTCAGATATATTCAATAGTTTTTCTTTATTACCAGTCCTTCTCTTCTTCACTGATCTGTTGTTTGTTTCACTATTTAATGACTTTATTCTTCTACTTCTTCTTCTTCTTTGATGACTATCTTCTGTAATATCATGTTTGCTGTCATCAGTATTGCCACTCAAATCCCTATCTAATAATTGATGTCTATTTCTATGTCTATTAAGTATGTATTGATTGCGGAACCGTTTCGTACAGTCATTCAAATTGCATTGATATTTAGATAAAGTTTTATTATTCAGATTTTTATTCATCGGTTGATTGACTTTTACCACAACTTCTTCTTCTTCTTCATCATCACTAGTATTACTACTACTACTCTGTTGTTGTTGTAAACCATCACAACTGTTGTATTCATCTGTTTCGCTATTATTTAATAATAAAATTTTGTCATTAACTTTACTGACGTTAAAAATCGTTTCAATGGTGTCTTCATTGACATTAATTCCTCCACCGGTGATGACATTGTCGTCAAAATTATTGTTAACTTTATTTATCTGAATGTTGTCTTCATTGGTGATATTGTTTGCGACAATTGTTTCGTTATTATTATTATTATTGGCAGACAATATAGATGTCACTAATCACCATCAAGTGATCCAATTGTTTCATAAAATCCAAAGACACGGAATTTTTGTTGGAATTTCATATGAATTAACAAAACATTTTCCGCATTGATA